AGTAAATGTTACAAGTAATCTAACATTAAGGTCGCGCTACGTGCATCGATTTTTATTTTTTGTGGTCCGGAAGACCCGATATCGCTTCGGTAATTCCCAAACGCCGCTTAATCACCCACGGTTTCTGCAGCCAGTCGCGACAAGACGCCGTCTTCTTATTGCCCATTACCTCCGCCGTGCCTTATCCATTCCATTGGATCATTTTAATTTAATATCCCAACAGTCTTCGCAGCTAATTCGCCAGCACAACTCGTTGTGGCTAGATTTCTGAAAAGATAAGAGTGCGACGTAATTAGATGTTAATAGGCGCGCCGATCAAAAACAAACAATTCCTCTAGAACTATTGCGCGTCTTCATTAAGACATTTTTGACATTTAAATTAAATCCGTTCAAGCATGGTTTAGTACCGGCGCTTAATTGCCTCCGAGATTTACAACGCTGGTTTTTGTTTATGGTCGCACATACCAGAGCGCTCCCATCCCCCATCGCACCACTTGATGTTTTTATTGCGCTAAGTAAACATCGAAGATCGAGGTATGCGCGCGCAGCGGTGCGTTAAGCCCACGGTTTTCACTTTCGGCGGCGTTCCTGGAATCCCTTAGCCACCCACGAGTCCATGAACAGTTATGAAATAAAAACGAGAGTTCGGGCGACGAATTCGGACGCGGAATTACGAAATCGCCCATAATTGAGGTGGCGTGTGGTTAAATAACGCGAGAGGGCGTTTATGTTTGGTCGTTGGACGCCCACCACGCTGCGTCCTCAAGTGGGTTGAGGGTACTGACTGCGGTACTGAGTACTGACCTATAACGGCATCCTTTCTTCGCCAATTAAACGTTAGAATATTTTTATTAATTGCGAGTGTTTAACGTTCTAAATTTGACAGTGGTCGCTGGAAATGTCAAGGTCCGGACCGGTTTAACTGTTTTAGACATGATACGGTAAAAAAGCCTGCTGCTACTGATGATGGTAAAAATTGCACTGTCGTTAAGTGTACTTACGCCGCTATCTAGTAATTGTTTTTGAAGATTGGCTTCCTGGTATCTGTTATGTAAGCCTGTCGAGTGAGTCTTTTTTTTTTTAAATAAGTTGCAATTTATAGATCGGATGGGCGTTTTTTGCACTTAATTAAGTATGCGCATCCGACGAGATTGTCTCATCGCGAAGTGGCTACATTTTCATTTAAATCGCTTCCTACTCCAATCAGAGACATTGTGTCCGCTTAACTGGATTCATACATTCAAATTGATCTAAATTTTATTAAAATATGCGCAAGTTCTCTTTTTGGCTTCCACCGAGATAAATGCTTCTATTATTCTCTTTCAACTAGAAACTTATTTATTGCTGACGCTGCTCAAATCCTCGACTAATATAGGCGTGTCTGGATTTGACGGAGAGAAATCGTTACTTAAATAGCAAAATGTGGATCTGGAGAGCCCGAGCTGAGAGGAGTCGACGAGATTGAAGCTTAATTGCCTTCTGACAACAAAGGAAATCGATTATGGTTGCTTACGACGTGCCATACTCGAGTAGGAAGCTTTGACAGGAGCAGGAATTTGAAGTTTTAGAGATTGGTTACACGTTCACGGTTTGGCACGTCGAGAAAATCGACACGAAGAGCACAATGAGGGAATTCTGAGCCGGCAGCCGAGCGGAACTCCCCGAAATGCACTAGTAGGACAACTAAAAACTCGAAAACCCTCGTCCCCCAAACGACTTTTTAACAATCCAATTCTCACAGAAATCTGTAACGAGTTCTATGTCGTTAAATGTCTTAATAATTTTCGCGTTTCCTCTCTAATTCTATCGTTAAAATCGCCGCAAAGAATCGGAGAGCTGGGCGAGAAAATTACAAACTAGACCTCGTTAGCTAGGAATTTACGACGGCACGTAAAGGGTTGCTCCAATATTGTATAAATTGCGCGAAATGGCCGGCGATAAAGCGAATTATGCCAGTGACGTATTTCCAACTAGTTCAGCGCTCATGCCTAATAAGGAGAGTCTTGGTTAACCGAAGGACATCTCTTCCTACGCTATTAGTCGTAAAGGTATAGCGCATTCGAGGAACTGATTGCGCATTCTTATGCAACTCGGTTGTGTTTTGGGTGCTGCAGCTCTTATCTTGTGCAAAAGACAGCGACAGCGCTCTTTTGGCACTAATTGTCATTAAACACAACGCGGGAGATAAAGATACTCGTTAATAAATCACCCTGTCGTCCGGCATAGGCAAAGAACTTTCCATTTCCGAGACTCACAATGGGCTCGCTTTGACATCGCTTGACATGCACACTCGCACTATCGACACACATGGTGTTAATTAAAGTTGAAAAGGCGCAAAAACTTCTCACATTAAAAGACGAAAAATTCAGGAAGTGTCGGACTTACCGTTGGAATTCTTCGGCGCGGTAATTAGGATGCGTGACGTCAAGGAACAAGCGACGAGACTTCAATTCGACGCCAAGAGGCGAACCCTAGGATTGTCGACAAGTCAAGAACAATCTCACGCCCGAAAAGCTAGAATCTCGTTTGATGCCAGATAAAAATATGTGTTATATCATCTCTGAGTTCTAGACCTTGATCTTGGCAATCCTCTGAAATCGTGATGACGTATCAGTTGCATCTTCAACTTCGACATAATGAAAGTAAAAGCTGTTTTCGATAATTTTAAGAATCCCATTTAGGATTCAAGGCAACAATTGTGATAAAGTAATGTTCAAAGCCAACAAACATTGCTATTACGACTTAAGTAGTCATAAATTTCGACCAAGTATACAATAATTAAAACACAGTAAGCAAAGATGATACAGAACAACATTCACGACACAAAATAATCACTAAATTTCGTTTTATCACCGAATTTTGACTTTTATTCGGTATAGTTGACGTAAATTTCCGTTTATTGTCTTATATACGTGGATCTTAAATTGGTTATGACGTAATTCTGTGCTTTTCAAATTCTCGACCATTAAATTTTACAACTGACATAACCATAATTTCGGTTTCAGGTGTTTGTATCATGTTACGAAACAATCATTTAAACAGCTAATTATTATAAATAAACTAATTGAGAAACATCATGGCCATTTGTCATAAACACGCATCGCAAATGTTGTTTACCTTACGTTTCGTGGACACCTTTGAATTAAGTGTTTGACTATCAAATCGTAACTTCTTCAGAGTTACTTGGTAACAACAAGAAGAACCTGATCTTAACAGTTTTACGGAGATATAAAATTATCACTCGGCGGATAACCGCTCCATTAAAAAGTAAGGTTGAAATTTATGCAGATTTGACGCTTCTTCAAAGAAGTTAAAACGTTCTTTGTGATCGAGAAATGCCAGATAATTACTCGGGGGTTCCTGATCAGTGAGCCTTGAAACTTTTTACTTAGTAGCACGACACATTTCGCAAATATCTAAACAGCAGCCGAAATGTTAACTGATATTTTAGAGAATCTGGTTTTGACTGAGCAAATAATGATCACGTTCAAGCCAAATAGCACCCTTATCTTGACCGCGTTTGATGTGTGGTTCGCACGATGCAGCCGATGACCGGTTTCGTGTCCGCCATGTGTTGAATTAATTTATTCCGACGATATAGTAATATCGGCGGTCCGCTTCCTGGTTTTTTGCGCGCGAACATATGTTCGATTACTGTGCTTGTAGGTGCCAATGTGCACTATTTTCCTTATGATTGCAATGCCCCGAGTGCGATAACGGTACCACAATCGGAATCCTTATAGGTCGTATTAAAACCCGCCGATTTATATAATTCCGATTCTATTAAAAGAGCATAATCTAAAAATAACTGTACGCGTGGTTGCGAGGGGAGGTACTCGCCAGAAATTTGCATGCGATTAGATAACTGTTCGGTCGAGAATAGCACTTATCTTGTCTCATCATTCCATATTGGAGGTGTCAGAAAAACGGCGTGCGGAATTCTCACAGGTTGATTGTTTTAGGGGATTTTTGTCCGCAATTTGAGCTTATTAGCGGCGAGGTTAAAGCTCGCTGATTACCTCTGGATTCTTGTCAACGGAAAAAGCGCGTTCCGCGCCAATTAAACCAAAATTAACAAGCGATTCGTTTCTTACATGTTCTAATTGAACGGGATGATTATAGCCGCTTCGCACCAAAAGCGGCAATTTGGGCTTTTTATAGAGGAATAAACTTGATAGTTCTCGGAGCATTTAGTTTAGCATTATCTACGCGGATGCGAGTAATAATACACCGGCGGCCATGATTTGTTGAGATCGATCGCGAAATGGCAACTGATAACGGTTATGGGTAGGCTTATCGGCCACGATTTACCCATTTTCGAAAGCACGACCCCCGGCCCTGACCACCTGTCGCGCTCGTGCCCAAAGTGATTGTGCAAATGGGGAGGCGAACGTCTAAATTGCACTTAATTTGACCGGATATAGAGTTATTGAGCGAAACCGTTTCCGTTCGTGAAGGTTTTTTTTTAAACCGTTAGATACACTCGAAGGCCGCGCAAATTTATTAGATTCACTTTTATCAGATAGTGAGACACTTATTCTTCTCGGTCGTCAGAAATAAACGCTCCGGATGATTATAATAATTATGTAAACAGTTTGACGTGTTGACCTGCAAGGACATTTCTAATAGGCGGCTAACAGTACCGTGTTTGCACAAACCATATTCGTTCATCAAAACAAACTCGAAAATCGTCATTAACGGTCATTACGGATCTTTGATTAAATGTTTGCTCGTGGGGATTTCGAGGATGTACACAATTATTCGATGCAACCTTCAGTCGGATGGGGTTATGCAAATAATTGTTGTGCAAATGGGAGCTTTCGGCCTCTGCTAATTGATCGATTCATTACAAGAATCCTTGGAGATCATTGTTTGGGTTGCAAATTTTTCGCCCACTTTCGCCGCCACGCCTATGATTTTCCATGAATGTCGCCAAATTTAAGCATCACGCATTATTACTATTACAACACTTTTATTAACTTCCTTTGTTTTTGTTTCAGACTGCCCAGTCCTTCACCGGGATTGGATATGGTATAAAAAACGAAATCTTTTTTCTGAATCTCGAGGACGGATACTTTGGCTGCCAAGTTAACGAATCGACGGACGTTCTTCAACTATTCGAACTCTCAAAACTCTGCGATGGAACGCCGAACTGTTTTTTAGGTTCCGACGAGTTGCGAGACAAACTCAAGTGTACCAGTGAGTAAAAACTTGCCCATGATAACTTACGTCGCTCGTCACTTTTGGCAGCTGATGTCAAAAATGCGCCGCTGATTGAAGGAGATTCTGTTTCTCGCGTAGCCACTTTCCTTTCGTCAGAAATGTGTTACAAGAACGATATTTTCTCGGTGTCGACTTACAAAATAGTCTCCGGTTTTCCCATTACTTGTTAACGTTTTCTTATTTGTCAGACGCAGCTTCCAGCGTGGCTAAACATGGACAAAACGGGCGTTATCTGAAGAATATCAATAAGAAACACTTTAAGTACTACTGGATTTCCTAGTTCTCAATTACTCGACCACCGTCGTCGACTTGTCTTTTATTTACAAACAGAGGCTGTTGCGAGAGTTTTTGCGGCGACTGTCGATGGCGATTTAAGCTTATTGGTTTTATTACGGACTCTGCTCAGGTTTAGCAGCACGCTTTTTGTCCTTTTTTTCGTTGTAATATTTAAAACTCTCACTTTTCCATTTTATTGGAGCGACGTTTTTCGTCGGGTGAATCTTCTACGGTCGCGTTTCCTGGCGGTATTGGCACCTTCACAGCGTGAAAGGTGTTAAACGGGGACTTCACCTGAGGCTATTGTGATTCTGGAAAAGTGTTTATTTTTTCCCGCTATAATAGGACTAATTATTTATGCTATTACACGCGCGGTGTAAGCATTATTAACTTGTCTTGTTACATCCTTCATCTTAAGATTGTAATTTATTCAAGTAAAATTATAGTGTTAAATACAGTTATTTTCCAGCGTGAGTTTTTTGGTTTTGTTGAGATAATCTGCTTAGTTTGAGTTGGCAATTAATTGTTGTCGGAATGCACGCAGATAGAGGAAGAAAGGGCGATCAAACAAATAGTTCGAATGTGAGCATAAAACGATCTCCACATTCCTCGCGTTCATACTAGATGCCCAAAGCCTCTGAACTGTAAAATGAGTGACCTTGCAAGTATCTATTATACATAGAACATAGATTATCAGTGCACAATGCTTCTGTCCGGACACACCTCCGCTGCTTCTTTTTAATACCATTCCTGGTACCATTGTCGTACCATCGACTTCCTTGTGCGTTATAAATAGCGAACTCGCTTTTAATTGCACACATTATAGTTTTCGCAGCACTCGTTACTTAACAATAATTGTCAAGTAGTTACGCGTGCGACTCGTTATTAACTTGTCTTGTTACATCTCCACCGTAATTCTTTCAAATAAAATGTCAAATGCCCATTTTTCCTACCATAATTCCAACCGGTCATGAATCTCGTTATGATTCATTTAATAATTAACTCCACTAGGTAAATAGAGCCACAAACAGGTTTGAAAGAGTTAATTGTACCTTACAAAACAACCACCAGTCTGTTGCAAGAGTGTAACCAATTTGCATGAATTACCCGTTTCGCGCAAACTGCGCCATGACGAATCGCTAAATTAAAAACTTTCGCGAACAACCCAAGGAAGAACACAAATCTCGGTTAATTTTCCAAGCGACAATGCGGCCATAAATCGGCGCTGAAACGTCAAGGACAGACGCATTTTTCCCTGAAACAAAAGCAATAAATTGCAGGAGCAGAAAGCGAAAGCCTCTCGAACATCCCGAGATATATTCCGTCCGAACAAAAGCTCCACCATTTAAATGCCAATGAATGATTCATGTGCACGAAGACGCAACTATGTCCACCGCGAGATTGCCGGAGTAGATTCTGTTCTATCTGTGCAAAAACAAGATTGCCTTCCACCGTGTCGCACGTAGGCCGCATTTTTCGGTTTCCTATACCCGATAACCGTAGTAGATCAAAACTGTGGGCGCCACCAAGGATAAACTAGTTAACTATCCCCGGTGGAATTGAAACGGGCGTGCGGTCCAGAGGGCAGCACGAACGCTCTTGAACTTGCAACAAAGACGTTTTATTTGTTATAACGGATCAATTAGCCGCGGAATGGAGGAAACGCGTTTTTTCGGCCTGCACGCATTCGCGGCTTCCTCGTGACCGAGCTAACGAACGCAGATCGAAGGCGGGTGTCGAATTCTCGACACTTATCTCATTAACCATCTCGCCTGTTTACATTACGGCGAATCGCGGCTACAACGAGAATATTCACGTTCCTGGATCGTGAGCCATTCGAGGGATTTTTCTAATTTAATGTATCTTTCGATCCGACCTAGAGGGTTCTTTGTTTTCTTATTTTTAAGCCTCGTGCCTTTTAACCTACAGCTATCCGAACAACGCCATTTACTCAAGTTATAAATTGGCTTGTCGAGGTACGGGCATTCGGTTGATCGAGGTACTTTATCAGCAGGCGGATCGTACCGCGGTTTGATAACGTCGCTCATTGTGGATGCTTGCAGATGACTGTCATAAGGAAGACGGATCCTTGTGCCAAAACGGCGTCTGCCTGGACGGCCAGTGCCATTGCAACGACGGTTACGGAGGCTGCAACTGCGAAGTACCAGGTAAGACAAGTAGTACCATCATTATCCCATTTCCTGGCGAAAAAGCTAACAATGCGTAACGCAAATTTGGCAGCGAGAGACCACTTTTTTCCTTCACATGATTAATACATTGTTCCACAGTACTCGCTCACGTGGCTTAGAAGAAACAACAGTTAGATGTAGATGATGTAAGCACTATAAAAATTTTATAACTTTGTTACGGTAGTTGCAGACAAACAAAATTAAACACAATTTAGAAAACCCGCTAGAATTCTCAAAAAAAAAAAAAAAATGCGACAGTAAAAAAGATTTACGACTCCGCTGCCAACGACAAATTACCCCGACGCCTCTAAAGAACCCGATTTACGCTCCAAGTCCCAACAATGGGCAATTACCGACTATTATCGTGCCACCTTTTCCAGACGAAAACGAGTGCAAGTACCGTCCCTGCGACGTCTTCGCCCACTGTACCAACACCCTGGGCAGCTTCTCCTGCACTTGCTTTCCGGGCTACCACGGCGACGGCTTCCGCTGCGAAGGTAAGTCATTACCATTCCATCTCCGCGCCGTTCATAAATCATCATCAAATGATTCCCTTTCGCCCAGCGGCGGCCCGTTTTACTGTTACATCCAGCGCTCGTGAAATGAAAACCAGCGAGCGAATTTTATGAAGGCATATAACATGGCATATAATCTTCAATATCGCAGTCACGACCTTCCTCACGGCCGCTCGCTACGTAGTTAGCGCCCAGGAATGCTTCGCTTTCAGTGACTGTTCGCTGAACCCGACTGCTGGCTGCTACCCCTATTGGGATATCTGGGATCTGGCAGATGAATAGGGGCTCGGCGGCAACCAAACCGTAAAAGTCCATTCCAAACGTATTCAAATGATGCGAGAGCCGATAGACACTGATTCAACATCCGTTGGTCGTTGAACTTTGCCAAAACACATCCGCGGACCGATATGGATGGTACAGGCGAGCGGTCATAAATCGTACGTGTAACGGGGTTTTACCTAATTCGAAGGATTTCTCTTGGGTTTGGCCGAGTACCGCTTTTCGAGGGTCCTAGTACGTGTCGGAACTAGAAAGTCCTTCAGGTTCCAAGGTGACCTAGTGTCGCGGTCCTCTGGGACTATTCGTACTCCGTGAAGCATCCCTACGAGACCGGGTCTCGTCATAATCCACTAATTCGTATTGATCTATTTAGATATCGTCACAATACAGTCGGCCACATTCACATATCATGTGAGTAACGGGGTTTTGTCTAATTCTCAGGCCATTTCTTGAACTTTCCGACGGGCTCAAACACCAGAACCGTTAACCCGAAGCTTTTCAGGCAAAGAAATGTGACTTTTCTTAATCCTTGTGCGATTTTTAGATGACTGGAATCAGAAAGAATTACACTCGGTGAAACGCTCGGTTAAGCATCCTTCTGAGTTTGAAATCGTTCCGATCTGCCATAAATCATGCGCGTAACGGGGTTTTACCTATTTCGATGATTTTTTCGTCAAATTAGCGAAGTGTGGTTTTCTCAGGCTTGGTTAGTTGCTGGAACCAGAAGTATGGTCAGGTTTCAAGGTTAAAAGGTCCTCAGTGGTCAAATATCGCGTTTATCCCCTGTTCCAAGCCTTTTGGAAAATCACAGTTTTTACCATTGAAAGGGATCATAAATATTGATCTATTCCAGTCGGATTGTGTGCCTCTGGGCACCATATAATCGGACACATTCACAAATCGCGTGATTAATAGATATTTGTCTAATACCATGGAAGAAATTTTTAAATTCGGAACGGGATCTAAGATAACGTTACTGGTCAACGAAAATCGCACATCTGTTAGTTTCTTTAGAAGTTTTGGCGGTATTGCCATCATCTACAACCAAGGTCCTAGTGTTTAATCTCCGGGAAAGCATCCCCGCGAGATCAGGCGTCCTCTGAATCCAGTTTTTCGTTTTTTTTACGAAATGAGTCGACGCCATGGAAAGACCTAAAGGGCTCGAACTTTTTCTACAAAGTCGTAATCATCCACTTAGATATGATCACTATACAGTGGGTCATGTTAAGAAATCGCGTGACTAACGGATTTTTGTCTAATTCTCAGGCTATTTCTTGGACTTCCGGACGTTCCTAAGACCAAGACCGTTAACCGGCGCTTTTCGAGCCACGAAATGCGGTTCTTCCTGGTCCCGAGTTAATTTTCGTCCGAAGCGAGACGGTCACTTTAACATCCTCCCGAGTCCGGAATCGTGCCGGTTTGAATCGTCGGTTCGTTTATCGCTACTCAGGTAGCCGACTGCAGATGAATGAAGCAAGTGCGAATTACCGACTGGTATTACTAGACGCATTGTTGAAGATGGTCCAGCCTTGATCGTGGAGCTATTGATGATTATTTAATTGCGCGTGAGGGATAGGCAATTACAAAACAGTTACAGAGGTGTTAGATAATTGGTGTAAATTAATAGAATACCTTGTGCAGTTAATGAACACCTAGGTGGCGGGAGACCTTGTTTTCTTTGCTCGGTTGACATTTAGTGAGGAGGTTTACTGTCAGAAGAACAATAGAGCCGACGCCTTGTCCACCGAATCTCGTGCGTGTGTAAGAAAACGGCTAAAAAACCTTGATCTCATTAGCTGCTCTAGCAGCGCTCCGTAATTCAAAAAAGCGGCACGAAACGTCTTAATCCAACAAAAGTAAAATTACGACTCGTTCTTTCACGGAATGCGGTAGTGTTTTTACGGGGTTTCGTTAATATAGCGACCGGGATATGTTATAGCATGCTTAGAAGCCACAAATTACATCCCTGCGAGTGACTTCGAAAAAGTCGTAAACCATTTTATTAGCCGTAACGGGAAAAATATAACGATTTTTGAAATTATTGTTATTAATGAGTGAAGGTACCGTCCGGCAAAAATGCCGCGGTCTTACGGTACGAACAGTTACATCTCGTTTGATTGTATCATTAAAATGAGCGTATGTAGCGCACTCGATTACGCTAACTGTACTGGCACACGTGAAAAATACGTAACTACTGTTTTGTTGTGGAGGCGAAACGAAACCCGAGATTAACCTCCGACTCGACGTCGGGTTATTAATCAAATTTTGGCCAAGGCTCCGCTGGAACGTATGATTATGTTATCATTAGCGCGATTTAATTAGCCGACGATGACACATTAGCATTGTTGCTCAGTAAGGTAGTTAAATCCGCACGTGGTTTGGATGCTCGTAGCTGTTCCAGGCGCCATCATCGTCGCTTTCCTTCGCTAATGAAAAATATCGCGTCAACTACTGCCGTTGAGTTAGTTCGTTGATCTCGAGCGGACGTTGCTCTTGACGTGGAGCATTATGAGATGGCCAATCGTGCTAAAGATTCATTCGGAACGTTTCGCGATGACCCCGTTAGATACTTTTGCTTTTTGCCAAAAATCTTTAATTACGCACAAATGAGAAGAATTTCGCCATTAAGCTAACGGAGCTTGCCAATACGACCACTACGATTATCGACGCTTGCCAAATCCACAAGCAATTCGACGCAAATCTAATTACAGCTAACACGATTAATCATCCGGAGGGTCAAACATTTCGATCTTTGATTCCTGCCCAGATTGCGTTTTTTCTTGTTGTTGATTGACGCATCGCCTACAATTACCGCATCGAATCGAGAGCAAGATCAATCCCGACGACGAGATTGCCATCATGTGGATTTAAATCGCATTGTGTAACTGGTTCACCGTTAGCATCTCCATTAATGGTCGAAGATTTATTTTCATTTGTTGCACACAACCGCGTAATTATTGTCATTTCGCGAGCGCTTAACAGGGCCGTTGCGAAATCCGTTCACTTCGCCATAAATCTTGCACTTCCCCCGTCGAATTCGCAATCAATTGACGCCGATCGATGTGTTTTAGACATCAACGAATGCGAGGATCCCGCAATCTCCGCCAGGTGCGTGGAAAACGCCTGGTGTTGCAACCTGCCGGCCCATTTCCTCTGCAAGTGCAACGCTGGATTCGAGGGAGATGGGGAAGTTCAATGTCTCGGTAAGTCCCGCTCCGAAAGTCCCATAGCCGTGACGTATCAAACAATGAATAACTCCATTAGCGAAATCCAACGCCACTCACTGACACAGATTCGAAACAGCTTGCTAAAACAATCCCACGTAACAGATATCGACGAATGCGCCCGACCGGACGCTTGTGGAAGGAACGCCCTCTGTCACAACACTCCCGGGAACTACAGCTGCTCCTGTCCGGAGGGCTTCGCCGGCAACCCCTACGACGGATGCGTGGACCAAGACGAATGTGAAAGCCCCGACGCTTGCGCTCCGGGGGCCGTGTGCACGAACGTGCTGGGCGGCCGCCAGTGCCACTGCCCCCCGGGCTTCGAAGGAGACCCGTACACCACCGGATGCGGCGACATGGACGAGTGCTCGAGGTCCAACCCCTGCGGGAGGGACGCCCTGTGCTCGAATCTCGAGGGTAGCTACAGATGCGCTTGCCCGCCGGGGTACATCGGAGACCCGTTGACGGCCTGCTCAGGTATGCGTTTGCGCAGTCTGGGGACTAGCCTGTACATAAGTGTAAATATCATGTGTCGTCGAGAAACAGACACGTGAAGACTGATTTTCTTGTACAAAATCATCACTTAACCGGACTTTTACCAGTAGTCGTAGTAGAAGGTATTTGCGGCAAGTGTTAAGAAAATCAGTTTTGGGGGACACCAAGGAGTTAGTTGACCGGGGGCACTTTAATAACAATGAGATAACACTCACGATTTGCTGCAACTGCCTTGAATGCGGTGTCCGTTTATAATAAACTATTAATCGAGTAAAAGTCCTCTTACTAAATCGGATTTTAATTGAGAGTAACAAGAATTAAATTACTAAGAAAATCTCTCTTCCGAGCTAACAAGTTAACGATCTGCTAACGCTTTAACATCGCTAGATATTAACGAGTGCAGTTCGAGCCCTTGTGCCGCAACTGCACAGTGCGTCAACACTAACGGAAGCTACGCCTGTTTGTGTCCGGAAGGGTACACAGGATCGGCGAATGAAGAATGCGTGGATATCAATGAGTGTGGAAGGTCCGGAGCTTGTGGAATAAACGCTAAATGCATTAACGTCCCGGGTTCATTCAAGTGCATATGCCCGCAGGGTTTTACGGGACAGGGACAACAATATTGTGAAAGTTAGTCGAATCAGTTTTACATTCTAGCTTCGCCTTCGCTATGCTCTCTAACACTTCTAGTTCGTTTCGTTTCGAATGCTTGAACGTCGTAGATCTAAGATCGAATCATTTTATACCTAGACCTGTACTCGTATTTCTAGTATTAATTGTTTATTTATTTATTTTTTCCCGTAACAACTAGTATTTTTATCGACTGCAAGCCTAACTGTACTGTATACAATGTTTTTGTACATGTGTTTCACCTTGTTGTTAATCCCAGTTTCAATTTCAGATCTGATCTCTTGTATATTGTATTGTCTTGTCTTTACCTGTTCTGTTTCTTTCAGTCTATCCTCTGTAGGTTATCTCCTAAACTTTTAAAGAATATGTCGCAATGTTTTAAACTTATCCTCAGATATAAACGAGTGCGAAACGAACCCATGCGGAGAAAACGCTATCTGTAAAGACACTCTAGGCAGCTATACTTGTTCCTGCAAGGAAGACTACACCGGCGATCCTTTCAAAGGATGCGTCGATCTCGACGAGTGCCAAGCGCTCGAAAGGCCTTGCGGTGCGCACGCCCTCTGCGAGAACGCAGTACCGGGCTACAACTGCGTGTGCCCTCAGGGCTACCAAGGTAGACCTTCACCGAAAGTAGCATGCGAACAAGTACGTCCCTTATCCCTCCGCCCGACCCCCACTAACCCGTCTAATTCCAGATCGACGTAAACATACTCTGCAAATCGAACTTTGACTGCACGAACAACGCAGAATGTGTAGACTCTCAATGCTTCTGTCAAAAAGGCTTTGTTGCCAAGGGCGCGGTTTGCGTCGACATAGACGAATGCCACGCTCAACCGTGCGGACCCTTTGCGGTCTGTACCAACACGATGGGCAGTTTTCACTGCGACTGCGAAAACGGCTTTGTGGGTACCCCACCCATGGTGCAATGCAAAGCGCCGTGCCATGACGTGAAATGTGGGGACCACGCCTATTGCAAGCCCGACGGGCATGAAGCCTACTGTATTTGCGAAGACGGATGGACTTTCAACCCCATGGATATCGCAGCGGGATGCATAGATATAAACGAATGCGACAAAGTTAATGGCCCGAGCGGACGATGTGGTGTTGACGCGTTGTGTACGAACCTCCCGGGTACCTTCGCTTGTCACTGTCCTCCGGGATTCACTGGTAACCCGTCACACCAATGTCAAGATATAGACGAATGTTCGCAACCGAACTCGTGCGGAATCGGGGCTATTTGTGAAAACTCCCCGGGTACCTTCACTTGTAAGTGTCCCGAAGGTACCGTGCCTAATCCGGACCCGCGAACCAAATGCAACGAAATCGTCACATGTAAACTCGACTCCGACTGTCCTGGGAATGCAGTTTGTGACCATAAGAAACGGTGTTTGTGTCCAGAACCCAACATTGGTAACGATTGTAGACGTACGTATTTTAATCATTTAGTCCGATTTGTTTAACGACGATTTTTCTAGATCCATGCGAGACCACAGTTTGCGGCCCCAACGAACAATGCATGCTCATAAATCAAGAAGCTAAATGTATATGTAGAGAAGGTTACACAGGAACCAACCTCGGTTGTGTGGATATTGACGAATGCGCCGGCAATCCTTGTCAGTTGGGAGCTATCTGTAAAAACGAACCCGGGGGTTTTTCGTGTCAGTGTCCCGGAGGCACTACCGGGGACCCTTATCGTACCGGCTGCGCCAAATCCGAAGTGCCTTTTAGTTGTTCGGACGCTAAACCGTGTCCTCCAGGGGAGCAATGCATCGCTGACGAGTTCGTAGGAGATAGCGTCTGCATTTGCGTCCAAGGGTACTTGAGGGACCACATTAGCGGCAAGTGTCGCGACGTCGACGAATGTACCGAATTCCGAGATAAACCCGCTTGTGGAGTAAACGCGGTCTGCAAAAACTTACCCGGAAGCTATGACTGTCAGTGCCCACCTGGCTTCAACGGAAATCCTTTTCTGGAATGTCTCGAGTGTAACAGTCCCGATTGTCGCTGCCAGCCACCGTATAAACTCGCTGATGGTAACTGCGTTCTGGCGAGTTGCGACGACGACGGCTCTTGTCCTAACGGAGCCGAATGTATTACTATTACCGGAGGGGTTAGTTACTGTGCATGCCCTAAGGGCTTCAAAACCACCCAAGATGGATCTTGCGTCGACATTAACGAGTGCGTGGAAGGAAAACAAGTCTGTGGCTACGGTGCCGAATGTCTTAACTCGATAGGGTCGTACGAATGTCACTGTCCGAGGGGCTACAGCGGTGAGCCCTACAACGGACTCTGCGCACCAGCACAAAAACGTTGCATACATGACAAGGAATGTTCAGCTAACGAAAGATGCGTGCAACCTGGGGAGTGCGTCTGTCCTCCACCATTTTTCACCGATGTTTCCGACAACAACAAATGTAAGAGTCCTTGCGAGAGGTTTCCTTGCGGAATCAACGCGAAATGTACCCCCAGTGACCCACCTAAGTGTTTGTGCGAGTCAGGCTACAAGGGAGACCCGCTTCAAGGTTGCGTAGACGTTGACGAATGTACAGACACACCTTGTGCCTATGCAGCCCAGTGTCTTAACCTGAAAGGTAGTTACAAGTGTATATGTCCAAGAGGCATGACCGGAGATCCGTATAAAGGTGGATGTATTCTCGATATCGAAAAAGGCAAGAGCGAGTGTCAGAGTAACGAACATTGCGCCAACACGCTTGTCTGTGTGGAAGGAACTTGCGTCAGTCCGTGTAGAACCCTGGTCTGTGGTCCTAACGCGTATTGTGAACCCGAAAATCATGCTGCTTGGTGCAGATGTAGCGTAGGTTACGCGGAAAACGAGAAAGGAGAATGCGTTTCAAGTAAGTGGATCGCTAATTTTACGTTTTCATTTTACTAAAGGTACTTGTTTTAGTTTGCGAAGGTGCTATTTGTGCACCCGGAGCTCAGTGTATACCGACAAACTCCGGCCCGACGTGTAAATGTCTGGAAGGTTTCATGGGAAATCCGTTCCCGGGTGGCAAGTGCACGACCGACGTTTGTTCCGTGACGCATCCTTGTGAAGAACCCTACGTGTGTATAGGCGGAAGATGCAAAGAGAGATGTGAGGGTGTAGTATGTGGAGTGGGGGCACACTGCGACAAAAACACGAACCAATGTGTCTGCAATTCTTACTTTATTGGAACGCCGGAACTCATCTGCATGCCTCGTAAGTACCTCGGGTCTTACATTTTCAAGTTTAACTTTACGGTTTTTGTAGCTATCATGAGCCCTGTTTGTCTACCAACTTGCGGTCACCACGCCCACTGCGAATACGGACTCAACGGCAATACGTGCGTTTGCAACTCTGGCACTAGCGGCAACCCGTACGAAGAATGCTTGCAAGTCGAACGTAAAACGTGCGATTCAGCGACCTGTGGACAAAACGCCGAATGCAAACAAACCTATAACGACATCCAGTGTATTTGTCTTTCTGGTTTCACCGGAAATCCCTTCATTGGTTGTCACGATGTAGACGAATGCAGCAGCGATGGTGTTTGTGGACAAAGCGCTGTTTGTATCAACACCATCGGAAGCTACGACTGTCGGTGCAAGGAAGGTTACGCCGGAAATCCCTTCATTATGTGTTCGCAAGTACAAGGAGGCATCTGCAGAGACAGCAAAAATTGTAATTGTAACGACCGGGTTTTCTGTCCCTCGGGCTTCAGTTGTGACAGAGGCAGATGTAAGAACTTGTGCGAGAAAGTTAAGTGTGGACCTAAAGCTACCTGTCACGACGGTCAGTGTCTTTGTCCGCCCGGTTACATCGGTAATCCTAATGATTTGCGAAAGGGTTGTACCACTGAGGGTCACTGTCACAGTGACAACGATTGCCACAACGCCGAAATCTGCTTCCAGTTAGGAAAAGGAGTACGCAAGTGTTTGGATGCGTGCAGTAAGATTCAGTGTGGTCCCAATGCACTTTGCGTGTCTGATAACCACAGGTCGTCGTGTATATGCGCACCAGGTTATCGCGGCGATCCCAGCGACTTGAACATCGGGTGTCAACCTGAAGAACGCGTTTACAAGAAGGAGTGCGAACACGATGCGGATTGTCGCCCGGGTACCATTTGCTCTGTCAATGTCGACGGAGTCCAGAAATGTATAAGTCCATGTGAAACCGTAGCCTGCGGGCTTAACGAAGTGTGTAAGATAGACGCCGCTGGTCACCCGACTTGTGCCTGCAGAGACGACTACGTCTGGAACCCCGTGTCATCATCGTGCGAGAAACCCTCAGTACCCGACTGTACCACCGACCAAGACTGTCAACCCGTAGCAGCCTGTCAACCCGACGCTCTAGGAATTTTGAAATGTGTACCAGTGTGTTCGCATTTCACGTGCCCGAGTAACGCGGCTTGTGTGGCAGAATCACACAAAGGACAGTGCCAGTGCTTGTCTGGATACACCGGAAACCCGAAAGACCGCAACGGGTGCAAACTGATAGTCCAGAGTCAGTGTACAACAGACGCCCAGTGCTCCGAACACGAAACCTGCAAGAAACAAGGTGAAACTCTGATGTGCAAACCGGCTTGTGATTTCGTTTCTTGTGGCCCTAATGCAGTCTGCGTCACTAATAACCACGTAGCGCAATGTCAGTGTCCTCCAGGATCCTTCGTGGGTGACCCCACGGATCCAAACGCCGGGTGCAAATCAGTCCCGTGTGTGTACAACATCGACTGTCCACCATCACAGTTGTGTAACCGTATGACGCATACTTGCTACGACGTCTGTGACGAAGAGTCCTGCGGAACTAACGCAGTATGCATTGCGGAGAACCACAAAGCTATCTGCCAGTGTCCGCCGGGGTACAGCCCGGACCCCCTGCCAGAGGTCGAATGTGTCCCTGTGGAAGTTTGTAACCCGAACCCGTGTCACGGCTCTGCCATCTGCGAGGCTACCGGTTTTGGACACACTTGCAAATGTCCCCCGAATACAATAGGAGATCCTTTCACTTCAGGGTGTAGACCCGAAGGAGACTGTCCTAATGGAAATAAAGACTGTCCGGAAAAATCAGTATGTCAAGCAGGACGTTGCATAAATCCTTGCGATCAGTATCACTGCGGTCCTAACGCGATATGTACCGTTGAAAACCGAAAACCGGTATGCATCTGCCCTGCTAAATTCAGTCCTGGCGCACACGGTATTCAAGACGGTTGCGTCAGAATTGCTACGTCCTGTAGCTCAGATATCGACTGTGGACACGAGGTGTGCTTCAGTGGCCAGTGCCGAACCGTGTGCAGGAACCACGATGACTGTTCTTCCGGTGAACGTTGCCTAGAGAAAATGTGCATGATTCCGTGTGCAAGTCACAGCCAGTGTAGACAAGACCAAGCTTGCATTTCCGGGATGTGTATAATCGGATGTCGCAGCAACAAAAACTGCCCCTCGGACCAAGCTTGTGTCAACAACAAGTGTCAAGATCCGTGCAAACTAGAGGGCACGTGTGGTCCCAACGCAATTTGTTCCTGTGACAAGCACAAAACGATTTGTACGTGTCCCGAGAATTTCGAGGGTAACCCGACACCCGAAGAAGGCTGCATTCGCATACCACTCACCTGTCAAACTCAAAAGAATTGTCCAGCTGACCACACTTGCTTCAAGAACCAGTGTTCTTTGCAATGCCAAGATAACACCGCTTGTGCTGTAGGCGAAAGGTGCGCTAGCAACGTCTGCGCCAAGGTTTGCTACAGCGACAGCAACTGCTTACCGGGTGAAGTTTGCCTGAAAGGACTATGTCAACCAGGGTGCGCGGTAGACGCGGACTGTAGAACATCGCAGGTTTGTCTCCAAGGACAATGTAAATGCGCACTTGGTTTCATCGGAACGCCGCAAGGCTGCGAAGACATAAACGAGTGCGAAGATAATCCATGCCATAGAACAGCAGTTTGCCATAACCAGAGGGGGTCTTACAAATGTGTTTGTCCCGAGGGAACAGTGGGAGACCCTTTTATCGAACCCGGCTGTCTTTTGCCTAACCAGTGTGCACGTAGTGCCGACTGCGCGGATAACCTGGTTTGTAAAACTGGAAAGTGCCAGGATCCGTGCGAAGAAGTGAGATGCGGACCTAACGCAGTGTGTAACGTCTTCAACCACAAGTTGGCTTGCTCGTGTCCGGCTAACCATCTGGGAGATCCGTTCGACGCCAAGCTTGGTTGTTTCAAAGTGGAATGTCTCGAGGATGGAGACTGTGCGCACGATAGGGTGTGCGACAAAGAGATCAACAAATGTCTAAGTAAGTTGATAGGTTTTGTTTGTTGTTTAGTGTGTTAACGTTTTAACGATGTTTTATAGATCCCTGCGATATAATTAGTTGCGGAAAAGGTACCTGCATCGTCGAGGAACATCAAGCTTATTGCAGTTGCTTCGAAGGGTACACCCTCATAAGAGACAAATGTGTGGATATCGATGAATGTCGAACTTCAAACCCGTGCCACAAATCAGCAATGTAAGTCAACTAAAACCCACAAAATTTTTGTTTAAGTACATAATCGTTGTAATTGCAGTTGTTCGAACAACGACGGAGGCTTTACTTGCGTTTGCGGCGAGGGTCTAGTAGGAGATCCTACGGTTGGCGGTTGCCGTAAACCCGGCGACTGCTTCACCGACACCGACTGTCCTTCCTCCGCCACTTGTGTAGACAACTTCTGCAAAAACCCATGCGAAAATCCCTCTGCGTGCGGACAAAACGCCGAATGTATCCCTATAAACCACGAAGCTACGTGCAAATGTCCACCAAAGACGCGCCAAGACGGTCAACTCAACTGTATCGCTTTGGAATGCGTCGACAATAACGACTGTTCTCAAGACAAGACCTGTATCGACTCCTCGTGCGTCAACCCTTGCACTTTGGCAAACGCCTGCGGACAGAAAGCCGACTGTCGTCCTTCCAACCACGTGGGTGTTTGTTCCTGTCAAGCAGGAACCACCGGAGACCCACACCTGGGTTGTGTTTCAGTCCAGTACTGCGCCGTTGAAAACCAGTGTCCTTCGGGATCTCAGTGTTACAACGGAATTTGTACTTCCGTGTGTACGTCGTCACGAGAATGCATCTCCGATCAGTTGTGCATCCAAGGAATCTGTCAACCCACGTGTAAATCGAACTCTTCTTGTCCCGACTTCCAGTTCTGCCAAAATAACATTTGTACCCAGGAGTTCAAGTGTCGGTCCAGCGATGATTGTTCGTTTAACGAGAAATGCTTAGCGAATACTGTGGGGCAAAACGAATGTATCGATGTATGCGAAGGGGTTCTGTGTGGACGAAACGCGGAATGCGTGTCGCAGAACCACGAACCTTCGTGTATTTGCAAGATCGGGTACAAGGGTAACCCGAATGATGATAAGTTGGGTTGTCAACGAGTCGAGTGTGAGAGCAACGAACAATGTTCCAATGACAAGCTTTGCGATCACTACATGTGCAAGATCGCGTGTTTGGTTAACAATCCGTGCGGACGGAACGCTCTTTGTTCAGCCGAAAGTCACAAGCAAGTTTGCTATTGTCAACCTGGGTACACCGGAGATCCGTATGGTGGGTGTCGATTGATCGACTTCTGTGCTGACGCTCCGTGTGGCCCTAAAGCCAGGTGCCATAATTCTAGAGGGTCGTTCAAATGCCAGTGTCCGCAAGGCTTGGTCGGAGACCCGTACAACGAAGGGTGTAGAACTCCGGTTGAGTGTAACACAGACAAAGATTGCCCGAATGTCGCTAAATGTGACAAAACTAACGGATTACACAAGTGTAGAGATGTGTGCGAGAGCACGGTGTGTGGACCTAACGCAGAATGCATAGCGGTTGACCATGCGGGTCACTGCAGTTGCAGGAACGGCTACCAAGGCAATCCGAACGATCTCACTTTAGGGTGTACGCCTAAACCGGTTTCGTGCCGACATACTTCTGACTGCCCCGCCAACACCTACTGTTACGGCGACACTTGTAGACGTAAGATTCGTCGTGTTTTAGTAGCTTTCGTTTTGTAATTGTTGTTATTTTAGCACCCTGTCAAACCAGCGACGAATGTATCCCCACGGAACAATGCCTCCAAGGTCAGTGTCTGGACCCGTGCGATTTACGCTCCGCTTGTGGAATGAACGCGGAATGCAGAGTCAACAATCACGTGAAGCAATGTACGTGTCCACCGGGCTTTACCGGCAATCAGGAAGTCGAGTGTTTCAGACGTAAGTAGAATTACTTTTTTTTGTAGAGAGTTCACGTGCGTTTTCTTGCAGTGCCGATTTCGTGCTCCGTCGACAGCAACTGCGTCTCCGGTTTCGTCTGCAAAGATAATTTGTGCCATCCGCAATGTGCCGCCGATAATGACTGCGCCTTCAACGAGAAATGTCTCAAAGGCAACTGTATTTTAACTTGCCGGGTTGACAACGATTGTTTCCTGGGTCACATCTGCCTCCACAACATGTGTATTTTCGGGTGCCATCACGACGACGACTGCACCGGCAGCGAGTCCTGCAGAAGCAACAATTGCGTAGACCCTTGTGCCGAAAACCCCTGCGGACCCAACGCTCAATGTACCGTTTCTAATCACAGAGCTACTTGTTCTTGTGGTACCAGCTTCGTGGCAAACCCCACACCTAAAATCGGTTGCGTCAGAGCACCGCCACAACAGTGTACTCAAAACAGAGATTGTAACCCGGGCACTACTTGCATTGACCAGTCTTGTCGAACCCTGTGCTCTTCCGACGCCGGATGCTTCAACAACGAAAGATGCGACGTTGGCACCGGAGTGTGTAAACCTATTTGTAGACGCGACGATGATTGTAAGAATGGAGAAATTTGTGAAGGACTTGCGTGCACCGTGGGCTGCAGAAGCGACTCTGGGTGTTCGTCGGAGAAGAAATGCCTGGCTAACCAATGCGTTGACGTGTGTGCTTCACCCACAGCTTGCGGAACCAACGCCGAGTGTGCTGTGGTCAATCACAACAAGCTGTGTTCTTGTCCGCAACCTCTGGTGGGTAACCCGCTGGAGTACTGCAGATACCCGGTGCAGCCGTGTGCTGCTGACGGAGAGTGCGTCAGCGGACACGTTTGCTACCAAGCCTTGTGCCAACAAATGTGTAGATCGTAAGTTAAGTTAGGTTTGTCGAGATGTGGTCTAACTTGATCTTCCAGGGATCACAACTGTCTGTCGGACGAGAAGTGCATTAGAGGGGTGTGTCGAACGGTTTGTAATTCCGATGACTTCTGTAGCGTCAATCAGATATGTAAGAGCCGCTTGTGTGAAGTAGGGTGTAGAAGCGACTCTTCGTGTCCACCGAATCACGCTTGTATAAACAACAAGTGTCAGAGTAAGTATTATTTTTCGAGAAATTAGTTCGTCTGACTCTTTTGTTTGTAGATCCTTGCGATCATAACAGTACTTGTGGAATTTGCGCCGACTGCAAAGTCAAAAATCACGTGGCACAATGTAGTTGTCCATCAAACTTCCTGGGAAACCCTCTTGTGGCGTGTACCAAAGCGGCAACCGAATGCGACGGATCTTGCGAATGCGACGAAATCGGCTACTGTACGAAATCGTGTCGATCCTCTAAGGATTGTTCGTGTGGAGAGACCTGTTCTTCCGGAAAATGCAGAAACAAATGTTCATCCCAGATACCTTGCGCGAGAGGTCAGTTGTGCACCCGAGGCGCTTGCTTCCCTGGGTGTCGCTCCAACAACGACTGCTCCTCCTCCGAAGTGTGCAGAAACAAAAAGTGTCAAAACGTGTGTAAAGATCCACATAGTTGCGGCAAGAACGCCGTGTGTCAAGCCACCGACCGAAGGAAGGTGTGTTTGTGCCCCGACGGCTACCAAGGCGACCCCAAGGTTGAGTGCAAACCTTACGAATGCAGACTGGATACGGATTGCGAATCCAACAAACGCTGTAGCCCGAAAGGGGCTTGCAAGAACCCGTGTTTGGAAAATAGAGCTTGCGGGGTGAACGCGCAGTGTAGGGTGATCGAGAGAAAGCCCCACTGTACTTGTCCTCCCGGTTTTATCGGTAATGCCTTGGTTGAATGTAAGAAGGGCGGCAACGAAGAATGTTTGAAGAATCCTTGCGGAGCTAACACTAAATGCAGAGACGTCGACGGCAAGTACGAGTGCTCGTGCGCGCCGGGATGCGTCGGAGATCCGCACAGAGGGTGCGTTTGTGAGACGGAGTTGGTCAATTTGTGTAAGAAGAAGCTGTGCGGTGCTGGAGCACAGTGTAGGATCGTTCATGGGAACAGGACGGAGTGTTTCTGTCCGGCTGAGGCGCCGGCTGGGGATCCGACTATAGAGTGTAAGTGCGGGTTGAGATGAGAAATTTCGGTTTACGTGGATTGGTGCTTCAGGTACCGTGGAAGAGAGGCACGTCGTCGACTGCAGGACGGAGGGATGCGGTAAGAACGCGGAGTGCATCCGCGAACAGGCGTTCTTCGTCTGCCGTTGTCTGCCGGGACACACGGGCCGTCCGGAAGTAGAGTGTAGCAGGGGTAAGCCGAGTTCATCACTAACACATTTACAAAAGTCACATACATTGTATACAGTACATAGGCTTTCCGCAAGACTAATGCGATTATGCATTAGAACTTTGTACCCATTAATATTATTCACATTGTGTACAAAAACTTGCACGTTGGATCACAATAACACGAGTATTGAACTGTAGCCAGTAAACGTTTTATGTGTTGTTCTCTTGATATTGGAGTACATGGTCTAGGTTTGCCAGTCGGAGCGGAGTATGTGTAAATAAACTAGTTGTTGGCGTCGCGACACACATGTGGAATGTACACTTCAGGGTTCCAATCTGCCTTTCACACGATCCCGACACGCCCCTTCACCCAGCCACATTCCACACACAACTGATAGTTGAGTTATTAGTTAGTTAGATGGCGCGGTGCAGTTGTGCGCGCAAAGCGGGTATGATGGATGATAAGTCAGATTGGGAACTATGAAAGGAGCATTCTCACATTTTGTATATTAGCATTGGTCTCTGCATCATCACTGCGCTTGTAAATACTACCGCTTGTTCGGTGTCTCGTTGAGATGGCCTCTTTCATTCCTCTCACCCTCTGACTTCTTGGTCACGCCCGCATGCGATGTTGTGTATTGTGAGATGTATACTTCCTTTCACGGTTCTTACGATTGCTTTCTTTTTCTGCCCACCCCGACGTTTCCGTAGATGCCGAATGTAACAGTGACTTAGAATGCTCCAACGAAAAGGCGTGCATCAACTACCAGTGCATTGACCCGTGCACGCTGCGCGGGGCTTGCGGACTGAACGCCCTCTGTCGTACGGTCCTGCACCGCCCCCGATGCTCCTGCCCCGAGTGTCACGTGGGCATGGCGAACACGGAATGCCGCCCCGACCCCAAATGTCTCTCAACGCAGCCGCGCCCCTCCACCCCCTCTCGCTGCCGCAAAGACGCGCACTGCCCCGCCAGTCTGGCCTGCAACGCGGCCTCGGGCGAGTGCTACGACCCCTGTAGCAACCCCGCGTTCAAGTGCCGGGGCAACAAGAAGTGCGAGGTCTCGCACCACCGCCCCACTTGCGTCTGCAAAAACGGCTTCGTGGTGAACGAGCGCGGGGAGATCGCCTGCGCGCCCGAGATCAGCGAGTGCTCGCGCGACGCGCAGTGCCCGTCGAACCGGGCGTGCGTAGACGGCGTCTGCCAGAACCCCTGCACCGCTTCGAAAAAGTCGCCCTGCCCGCCGGAGAAGGGCTGCGACGTGCTCAACCACAAGCCCGTTTGTATTTGCTTGAAAAATTGCAACCCCTCCTTGTCGATTTGCCTGAGAGACAATGGGTGTCCGGCGCACCAAGCGTGTAGGGCATTTAGGTGCGAAGACCCATGCGAGACGGCCAGCTGTCCGGAGAACACGCCCTGTTACGTCGAAGATCATAGACCTATTTGCAAGTTTTGTCCGCCCGGATTTATATCAGACGCAAAGTATGGATGCCTCAAAGGTAAAGATAATTATCGGTGCAAACTCTTAGTGCTTGACGACAAACATCAATGAACGATGAGTTCCGTTGCTTTCGGTTACAGTATGCAGTAATAGACCAACTTTCTATGCTAGGTCGTTACTTACTCACAAGTAAAGATAAACTGCTACAGAGACAAGCCGTTTACCACTTGTTCTCCAGTTTTTTTTTCGTCTTTCCCTTCCACTCTCTGTTCTCACTCAAAAAATAAGGACGGCAGTACAAGCTGTATTCTTCAGTGTTATTATATTATGCTACTTCACTCCTGCTACTTTCCATTAATATTTATTTACCTAACCGCTCTGCACACGACTAATTCAAATGTTTTGTAAATAAATTTTTATTGTGTATCTATGTATGTATAATGTATTCACAGCTGATAATGCGACAAAAGTTACCTGCACTTCGGATTCCGACTGTACGCGAGCACAAACCTGCATTGGAAGCATATGCATAAATCCTTGCACCAAGACTTGTGGCAAAGGCGCCATCTGTCAGACGATTGAGCACAAAGCGAAATGTTCATGTCCGACTGGCTACGAGGGCAACGCACTAATCCAATGCTTCCCCGCTATCCCCCAGACCGCAACCCCTAAAACTAACCTATCGGTAACAGAACCACCCCTTTACACACCCACACTCAAACCTTACAACCAAACGAGCACGACTCGAGAGCGCGGCATCAACCTGGACACGGTCAAAAGCACGACTCCAGGCATCAGCTACGAAACGAAAGATAACAAAACTCAAGTCGAAAAACCGTCGACTCCTAGAGACTCGACGAACGCGGAAACGACCACGACTCCGACCAAAGTAGAAATGGTGACGTTGAAAGAATTCGACGTAAATTACACCACGTTCGTCTATACCACGGTACCCTCGAGAGGTACGACCGAGCTGCCCCAAACCACGACAGAGAAAGAGTCGACGCCAGAAATATTATCGACCGTACCTTTTGCGTCTAGTACGGTCGGGACTGAAGGTAAAGTAAGCGAAATGACCGCCCCGAGTTTAATAAAGACGGAACATACCACCCCCAGAGATCTGACGACTTTAGAAATGGGAACCACTTTAGCTAACGAGACGTCCACTAGACCAACAGAAACCATGACTTCTTTAACAGGTTACACAGAAGTAAGTACCGAGATGTCTAGCCCTGCGAGTTTTACAGAAAAAGAGGTCACCACACAATCCCAAGGTGTTACAGAGTTTAAGACTACTCGAAAGTCAGATATTGGTACCGAATCCACAGTATCCAGAAGTTTTGAGACCGAAAAACCTACTACTCTAAGTAGTGGTAGTACTGAGCCAGTTAAAACTCCGACGAGTACTCAATTCGCCAGTACAACGTCCATTTACACAGAAACAATAGCAACCCCATTTTCAGAAAGAGTACCAATTTCTACTAACGAACCGACTGAATACTCGACAATCTCGGTAGGTACCACCGGCGGAAAAATCACTACAGAACCTCCATTTTTCACTAAACCCATAAAATCTACAACGCAAGAGACAGTAACTGAAACAATTTTCAGTACCGCTGGTGGTACTGTCACTAAAACCGAAACTACCACGGCTTATACAGAGCGGCCAGAAACGTCTCCCACGAAGGCGGAAACCGCAAAAGCCTTATCGACGCCCACAGAGCCGGTGACGAGTACTGAAAGATCCGAGCTTTCTTCGACCCCAAGAGACCGCAACGAGTCGATGCTTGTGACAAAATTTTGCACGAATCCTAACAATTGCTCCCATAACACCACGTGCATAAAGAACGCTTGCGTCGATCCTTGCACCCACTATAATCCTTGCGTAGCCGGCGTAAACTGTAGGGTGATTGCCCACGAGCCCACTTGCTTGTGCCCACTAAAGCAAACAATAACGGAAAAAATTGGTTGTAAGATAAACCCAGGTAAACACAATAAATATTAGCGACTCTGCAAGTCATTTCTTGGATCTCCATGATTTCGCAACCTCGTAACACGCAACAGGAGGTTGTGCAAGGTCCAAAATACAAAAACCTTGGACATCATTTGCATGGCCCTTAGATATCTGGATCATCATTAAAAAAAAAATCGATGAAAACTGATCATTTTTATTTCATTTTGTGTTTTGTATATACTGTTGTACATACTCGTAGTGTGCGTGGTGAAGGGTGGCTTCTGGTGGAGGTTTCCTTTTACGTTGTGTTTGTAGTGTAGATGTAAACATTAGGCTTGTGTTTTCAGCTTATTTGCTTGTTGTATGTGTTTAAATCATTGTTTTGTGTTTGACTTGTGAATGCACACGAATTTAAGTCCGTTATGCTTTCCATAGACATCAAATGCTACCAGCATACGGACTGCACCTCGCAACAAGCTTGCATCAATGGAAAGTGCCACAATCCATGTTTAGTTTCTAATCCTTGCATTGAATCGCACGATTGCCAGGTTCAGGACCATCAACCTGTTTGCGTTAAAGGTACGCAAATACCACTCGCGCTTCGTTGTACTAATGCCATTTTGCAGTTTGTCAGTGCCAGAAACACACGGACTGTGGTGCCACCAACATGGTTTGTGATGGATGCAGATGCGTAATCAGTAAGTAATAAGACCATCAGCAGTTACGAATTCTCTGCACTGAAACACCTTCCAACACCAAATTTTGCGACAAATTAAGACTAAAATAATAAAAACAGATCGTAATTCGGTTTTGGTGTTGTGGTCTTTCGGTCTTTAATCTTCCCTACCGGTTGTATAATTCTTGTGAATCAATTAGGAGAGGAACCGAAGATCGTTCCTGGGTGCGAGCACTGTCCTCCGGGCATCGCTTGCGATCCGACTACCGGAGCGTGCATTAAAGGTAGGTCCAGCAGGTTCGGTTTTGTTATTTTGTTTGAATTGATGACGACAAATGTGTTGCTGTTTTTTATTAAACCATATTCCTTCCCCCTCTACCATCCTCACATAAATGCAAAGATTTAACAACGAAAAGCCATTTGAACTGGACAGCTTTCACATCGCCGCAGAATGGTAAAGTACATCGTAACAATACAGTTATTGATGTTGACCGATGATTTTATTGCTGATGTTTTGTGTTACAGCTTTATCATCTAACTGTATATTCTTCCTAACAATGTACCTATTGTAAATTGTGTGAAAATAGCAACACTCTATATGTTCTCTCATTGTGGCATCCATGCTCAGTGCTGTTGTCAAATATGACTGACGGTCTCTTTTTTTCAATATTGTGAATTAGACATGACCAATTTCACAAAAATGTTTTTGTTTACTTGTCTTTCACTATGTAGCGACTTTGTATATAGTTGTATTATTTTTTCATCTACTTTTACCTCACTTCACTTGTGGTGTGGCAGCTTCAGCTTTTCATTGCACAAATACTAACATCTCCATAGTCACTTTGTACTATATTTGAAATAAATAAAATAATTCACCTTTACTTACTTTGTTGTTTTTTAATATAACAGATATGGCTTCAACACCAGGTACACTAACCGAAACACAAACTGTGACTATTTCACAAATAACAAACCAAACTAGTGCTACTACTACTCCCACTATCCTAACATTTAGTGAATTTGGAAGTACCGAATTAACTACACAATCAATAATCGAACCTACAACGTCGGAAATCAAAGAATCGATGACACCCTTTACTTCGGCACCTCCAGAGAGAATGACCACCGGAAGCGAACTGTTCACGTCTGTACCCTTAGATAAACAAACCACAACTACCGCTTCTCAACCAGAAACCGTTTACACGAGCAGACCGTTTACGTCTACTGACAAAATGATGACAACAACCGAAAAAACAGATTTAGTTTTTCCCCTAACCACAACGACAGAAAAATTTGTTACGGTAACTCCACAATACCCAGAAACTACGCTTTTTGAAACGAGTACCGAAACTGGAAGTACTACTTCTACGCAGAGCACGACACAATATAGACCGACAGTTACAAGCGAAGAAACAGGAACGTCTACATCATTTGAATATACCGAAACACCACCCACGATTTCTGAAAGAACCACAAAACCCAGTTCAGAAGTACCGACGTCTACGATGTACACGGAAGTGCAGAAAACTACCAAAGCTTATGAGACTTCTACAACGGAAACGATACCTGGACGCGTTACAGAAAAAGAATACACGGAATTACCAACCACGATTGGCGAAACAACTAGAAAAACAACTTCTGAATATGTCACTAGTGCAGAAATAACGGAAAAAACAACAGAAGCAACAGCTGCGCCTGTTACAGTTACATCTATTGGTCAAAAACCTACTACAGAAAAAGAATACACAGAAGTACCAACCACAAGTGGCGAAATAACTGGAAAAACAACTTCTGAATATGTTACTAGTTCAGAAATAACTGAAAAACCAACATCCGTGGTGTATACAGTGACACATGAAGAAACTACAAAACACGAGACGTTAACACCAGAAACAACAGCTGCGACTGTTACATTTACACCTATTGGTAAAGAACCAACTACAGGGGAAGAATACACAGAAGTACCAACCACGATTGGTGAAAGAACTATAACAACAACAACGAGTCCTGAATATGTCACCAGTTCAGAGACGACAGGAACATTTACTGTTACTGGAGAAGCGCAAATGACTGGTGAACCTCATGAGATTCCCACAAAAGAAACTACGATCAGATATACTACCCCTAAAAGTTCTGCAACTGTAACCGCTGGTATTACAAAAGAATTTACGCAAACGTCAAGTACTGAAATGAAACCTGAATACACAGTTACGACAATCAAATCTATCCAAGAAACATCGAAACCAATAACCACTGCAGGTACCACCTCAAAGATAACAACAGAAGAAGTTTTAACACCTCCTACTGTTATTGGTTTACCAGAAACTACAACAGGAAGAGTACCGTTAACACCTGGAGGCACACAACCCTTCACAGAGACGACAGGATTTGTTACTACAAGTACCGCAAGAACTACTGGGTCAGTACCGGAAGGTACATTATCCACAACCTACTTTACAGAAACTACACCAGAAGCAGGACGTACAGAGAGCACTGTGAGTGTGAGGACTCCGAAAGTTGTGTTGAGTACTGAAAAAACTTTGCCAACGGAATACACAACTGAAATAGTGCATACCTACACACCAGAAAAAGTATACACACAGGTTCCATCAACTACAGAAAAATCCTTGGGAACTGTTATGACTGAAGGCACAACTCCTGAAGTTTTAGCACCTGTAACTATTACTGAATTGCCAAAAACATCAGTCAAAGTCGAAACTACGGAGTACACAGTATATACAGAAGCGACTAGAGAAACGTTTTTGACAACGGGAGGGCGCGAAGGTACTACACGGATACCAGTAGAAACTTCCCGAACAGAAAGTACTTCAGGCTTTCCTAGCATCATAACTTCCACAGAGGAAACTTTGTCTACGAAAATAATCGGACAAACTACTCCGGAAATATTAACGACTTCTGGAAAGTCTACAGAATTTTCGAGAAGTACCGATGAGACAACTACGTTTACAACTGGAAAATTAACGCCTGTAACTATAACAGGAATTCCCGAAACCACCACACAATTATTTGTTGAAATAGAAAATGGTACCGAGACAACTGAAGGTAGAACTGTGACAAAAAGTACTCCAGAAGCAATTACGACAGAAAGAACATCAACACAAGCAGTAACTTCAAAAACAGAACAAATTCTGACTCCTGTTACTGTGATCGGATTGCCTGAAGCGACGCCTGAAACCCATACTACAGAAATCTACACTGAAAAATCAACCCTTACTTCACCGACTACTCCTTCTGGAAGTACTGTTTCTAGTACTACAGAAGTACCGACTATAAAAGTTTTTACTCTTCCTAGAGAAACTCACACAACTACAGAACCCGTTTCAACTAAAGGAAGCGACGTTACAACAAAATCGTACGTAACGTTAAGTACTGAGAGCGGTACTCCATCTACACAGCAGCCAAGCAAAGCATCAACTGTTTCTGAATTCACAGATGTTTCCACTATCAAAGTATATACTATTACAGAAGAAGCACAAAAAACTACAGAATTTATTTCAACTTCCCCAAGGACATCGGCTGAAACCGAAAAAATGACGCCGTTTGAAACAACTTCTCCAAAAGTATATGCGACAACACCTTCCGTAAGCAGTGAAGGTACAACATCTGAAAAAACAACTGGTAAACCTTTCACAACTTTGTCGGTACCAACAGGGCATCCGGTAAGTACTGAAACAACAAGCACTTATGGCCAGCGAACTACGGAATACGGAGAAACTACAACCACTCAGGCGACAAAAGAACCAAAAGTACCAATTTCAATTTCAACAGAAGCAACGACGGGTAGTTTTGTTACTCAAACTTCAAGTGAACAATCTATTTATACGACTGGTTATAGTACTCGGAAAGAACTTACAACGGATACTATAATACCGGAAATCGGTAGTACCGAATCTACGTCCAGATTTACTGAAAAAGTGTTAACGACCGTACCACAAAGTACACCCACAGAGCAAACGACGTATACGGAAAAGATTACAAGTACTACTGCAAGGAGTGGAACCGAAGTTCCTGCAACGACAACACAAACTAAAACGGAAACTAAACAAACCACAGAATCTCAAATGATAACTGGTTTCACAAGTGTTGGTACAGACAAAATATATACGTCTGCAATGGTACCTACAACACAGGAGTCATTTAAACCAGAAACAACAACAGAAGAAGAAATAATTTCAACGTCCTATGGGTCTGTTCCTTCTATAACAACAAAAAGTACTGCCGAAACTCGTAAGACATCAAGTACGGAGGAAGGAAATTTTACTCCTACTATGGTACCGACAAAAGAGCAGCCACTTACTCCAGAGATAGTGGTTTCGGAACATACCACGGTGCCCACAAGTACTGAACAAAAATATACGACAACTTACTACCTAACGCAAAGTACACCAGAAATTATTTCAACACAGTATAGTATTCCTTCCGTTGTATCAACTCATAGTACTGAAAGTACTAAAAAGGAATCAGTTACATCATCAAGTTTTATGACAAAACCCGAAACAACTACTCAAGAATTTAAAAGTCCTTCGACTACAGAACATGTGCTCAAACCGGAAACAACGATGTTCGAATATATTACTACCGGTAGAAGTACTGTGCGAGAACCAATAACAACAGTGCCCACAAGTAGTGGAGGCACAGTTAGAATACCTAGTACAGAAGAAATTTATACATCTATGACGAGTATTGAAACAGAAACAACTGTTACAGTACCTAAAAGTACCGAAACAGAACAAACAACGCACAGTACAACCGAGAGCAGAACTACATCAGCGCGTTATAGTACTACCGAACAAACCGTAACACCTCCCAGACAAGATTTTACCACAACACCATCGAGGTACGGTACTGTTACTTCTGTAGCAACTGAAACATCAAGCACGCTGTCGACGCAACCTGGAACCTTTATACCAGAAAAACCAGAAACAACTACAGGATATATTCCTCTGACTAAAATTTCAGAACAAACGACAACTCGATCTGGTACCACACCTTCTGTAACAGGAATCCAAACAGAAGAAACTTTTTCCACGCAACGATATTTGACGACTACAGAATATGAAACTACAATTTCTACACCACGGGTTCCTACAGAGCGTGGTACTACTACAAGTGAAAGAATTTTAACAGAAACAGTGACACCGGAACAAACTGTTAAGACTACAGAAGCAGAACGTACTACAAGACCTTCCGAGGCGAGTTTATCACCTGTAAGTACCGAAAGCAGTACTGTGACAGAAAAGGTACCAAGTAGAGAAACAGAAAAAACAGTAACCCAATACACTACGCCAACTATTAGCCAGTTTACATCATCAGGCAGCTCAGTAGAAACAACCCTCACTTCCACAGAAGGTGGAATAAAGTTCACCACACCAACTGCACCTGAAACTACGAGTACCGAGGAACATACTTCTGTGAAAATAGTACATACAGAGACTACTTATCCTACTAGTAGCATTAGTACTAGAGTACCAACGGCACAGGAAGGTACCTTTACAACCGTTACACCACCAGTTAGTACTGGCACACCTTTTACTTCAGTTAGTAAAACCGTCACAGAGTACACTTCAGCTACTAAAAAAGAATTTGAAATAACGACGAAATCTGGCACTGAATACACTTCGCCTGTTAAAGTCGAAACAGAAACTACTCCTTCGGTAGGCACAGGCACTACTCAGGAATTTACTTCGCCTCCTAAAATTGAAACAAGTTCGTCTAGAGAAGGTACAGGTACTACTGAAGAATTTACCTCAAGACCTAGACCCGAAATTGAAACATCTACGCCTCGATACGAATCCACTGAATTTACTTCTCCAGTAAGGACGTCTGAAGTTACGGAAACTTCAGTACCGTCTAAATTAACCACAGAATCTGAAACGAGTACTAGGTCGTCGTTTGGTACTTCACCAGGTGTCACAACAAGAGAATCAATGTCCACAGAGACAACCATTGAAGAAGAAAAGACAACAGCTTACACTTCTTATACTCTAAATACTGGAGAACCTGGAAAATCGACAGAATTTTCCAGAGTACCAAAAGTTACAGCCGGTACGGAAACATTTAGTGTTACGAGTTCTTCGGAAAGGATAACTGAATATACAAGTTCAGGAATTAGTTCTTATTCACCTACGATCGAAACGACCACACAAAAAGTAACTGAAGGACCTTTCACTATTCTGTCAACAAGTAAAGAGGGACTAACGATGTATCCTCAAATGACTCCTGAATCTTTCGTAACAGGGACTACAACCAAGCCAAACGTCACGATTGAAACTACAACTAAAGAAAAATTGACGGAGAAACCAACCAGTAGTTCTTCTCAGATACCGATAACTGAAGAAGTTACCGTTCCGCCAGAACCAGAAATACCGTACACCAAGGAGCATACTATCCCTGTGGTGGTTATTGGAGTAGAAACCACTCCTATGACTACAGCTCATAAAACACCAATTACACCTGTTACAATGCAGCCGTTTACAGAAAAAACTACACAAAGAATTGAAACCTCGACTTCTTTTGGAGGTACATTAACTGAAGAAACTGTTTTACCAATAGCGACTACTTTAGAGTCTATAACGTCTTTTGTACCGGAAGTTACGGGAACTTCTGCCGTTAGTGTGGAAAATGTAACTTTGCCAACTTTTGTTTCGGTTACGATACCTGAGGTGAGTTCAACAGAAACATCGATTCAAAATACAACGGATCAAATAGGTACAACACTCAGAACTGTAAGTACGTCAAGCGAAACAATATCTCATTTTACTGAAAACGTAACAATAGAAGTACAGAAAACAACAACAATGATTCCTGCCGAACATATAACTACTTCTGAACAAATTTATACTACGACAAACATAAAAGAAAGCACCACGGGTGCTACAATTACAGCTGCTGCTACTGGAAAAACAACTTTTAAACCTACTAGTCCAGAAACTGGAGCTACATTTACATATACAAGTCTGGAATCCGAAGGTACCACAAGTCCGTCTAGAGAAACTGGGGCTACAATTAGTACTAAAGCTTCTACCTCTGAAGCGACAACGCAAGAAGGTTATACAAGAACCAGTTCTGTGAGTACTACAGGCTTTACTACAAGTAGTACGGAGCAAGGTTTTACAAGTCCGTTTAAAGAAACAGGAACGACAACGAGTACGTCAGGTTTTAGTTCTGAAGCAACAACACAAGAAGCTTATACAAGCATTCCTGTGAGTACGACAGGGTTTACGACAAGCAGCACGGAGCAAGGTATTACAAGTCCGTTTAAAGAAACAGGAACGACAAAAAGTACTTCAGGTTTTACTCCTGAGGCAACAACACAAGAAGTTTATACAAGAACGATCCCTGTGAGTTCGACAGGTTTTACGACAAGTAGTACAGAGCAAGGTATTACAAGTCCGTTTAAAGAAACAGGAACGATGACTAGTACTGCAGGTTTTACGACAAAGAGTACTTCAGGTTTTAGTTCTGAAGCGACAACACAAGAAGCTTATACAAGGATTCCTGTGAGTACGACAGGGTTTACGACAAGCAGCACGGAACAAGGTATTACAAGTCCGTTTAAAGAAACAGGAACGACGACTAGTACTTCAGGTTTTACGACAAGTAGCACGGAACAAGGTTTTACAAGTCCGTTTAAAGAAACAGGAACGACAAGGAGTACTTCAGGTTTTACCTTCGAAGCGACAACGCAAGAAGGTTATACAAGAACCATTCCGGCCAGTACTACAGGATTTAGGACAAGTAGTACGGAGCAAGGTATTACAAGTCCGTTTAAAGAAACAGGAACGACAAAAAGTACTTCAGGTTTTACTCCTGAGGCAACAACACAAGAAGTTTATACAAGAACGATCCCTGTGAGTTCGACAAGTTTTACGATAAGTAGTACTGAACAAGGTATTACAACCCCATTTAAAGAAACGGGAACGACAAAGAGTACTTCAGATTTTACCTCTGAAGCGACAACGCAAGAAGGTTATACAAGAACCATTCCGGCCAGTACTACAGGATTTAAGACAAGTAGTACGGAGCAAGGTATTACAAGTCCGTTTAAAGAAACAGGAACGACAAAAAGTACTTCAGGTTTTACTCCTGAGGCAACAACACAAGAAGTTTATACAAGAACGATCCCTGTGAGTTCGACAGGTTTTACGACAAGTAGTACAGAGCAAGGTATTACAAGTCCGTTTAAAGAAACAGGAACGACAAAAAGTACTTCAGGTTTTACTCCTGAGGCAACAACACAAGAAGCTTATACCAGCATTCCTGTGAGTACGACAGGTTTCACGACAAGCAGCACGGAACAAGGTATTACAAGTACGTTTAAAGAAACAGGAACGACAAAGAGTACTTCAGGTTTTACCTCTGAAGCGACAACACAAGAAGCTTATACAAGAAGCAGTGCTGTGAGTACGACAAGCAGCACGGAACAAGGTACTACACCTCCATTTAAAGAAACGGGAACTACAATTCGTACTTCAGGTTTTACTCCTGAGGCAACAACACAAGAAGTTTATACAAGAACGATCCCTGTGAGTACGACAGGTTTTACGATAAGTAGTATTACAAGCCCGTTTAAAGAAACGGGAACGACAAAGAGTACTTCAGAGTTTACTTCTGAAGTGACAACACAAGAAGCTTATACCGGAAGCATTTCTGTGGGTACGACAAGCAGCACGGAACAAGGTACTACAAGTCCATTTAAAGAAACGGGAACTACAATTCGTACTTCGGGTTTTACTCCTGAAGCAACAACACAAGAAGTTTATACAAGAACGATCCCTGTGAGTATGACAGGCTTTACGACAAGCAGCACGGAACAAGGTACTACAAGTCCGTTTAAAGAACCTGGAGCTACAACTATTTCTTCTGGTTTTACTGCTGAAGCAACAACCCAGGAAACTGATACAAAAATCGTTCCTGTGACTACGCCTGGCTTTACGAAAAGTAGTACGGAACAAGGTACTACAGGTCCGTTTAGAGAAACGGGAGTCCCAAGTAGTACTTCAACTACGTCTCAAGCAACAACACAAGAAGTTTACACAAAAACTACCCTCGAAAGTGAGACAGGTTTTACAACAAGCGGTGCAGAGCAGGGTACTACAACTCCATTTAAAGAAACTGGAACGACAGTTAGTTCTTCCGTTATTACCTCTGAAGGAACAACACAAGAATCTTATGGAAAAACCACTGCGAGTACGACAGGTTTTACAACTGGAGGATTCACGGGAAGATCTTCAGAAGGTTATACGCCGTACGAAACAACGAGTGTCGTTTCTACTTTAAGTTCTGAAGCTCGTACTGCAAGTACTGTAAAAGTCAGTACTGTGGGTGAAACTTTGGCGACTACGATGCCAACGGTAATTCCTACAAGTCCTATACCCATCGATACCTACACAGATCGAACCACTAACCTCACAGTAACCTGTAACACAGACCTGGACTGTCAGGCGTACGAAACGTGTCTATGCCAGCAATGTGTTAACGTTTGTGCGATCGGTGGTCGTTGCGCTATAAACGCAATATGTACGCCTGAAAACCACACGGCGATCTGCATGTGTCCGCCGGCATACTCAGGAGATCCAAAGAGGAATTGCTTACAAGGTATAAGCCACAAGTTAATCGCCCCCGAAAATACGAGTTCCCGAGTAAAATCGGCCTCTTTTGTATTATATAGCCCATCTTGTAAATTGAACTAATTGCACCAAATTGATTTTCAAAAAGTAATAGCATGCTATTTTAATTTTTGGTTTGAGGTAACTTGTAAATATTTATTTTGTCGATGACGACCTTAATCGAGTGACGTTGCCTTCTAACTCTTGCAAACCTCATTTGGTGTGTTTATAATATATTAATATCTAACTCTCTACTAGAACCACCTCATTCAAAAGCACCTAAACCGTGCGAATCAGATATGGACTGTCTCGAAAGCGAGGCTTGTTACATGTCGCTGTGCGAAGATCCTTGTGCATTTACTAACGCCTGTGCAAAAACTGCTAAGTGTCAAGTGAAAATGCACAGGCCTATATGTACATGTCCGATGGGATACGAAGGAAATCCTGCGATTAAATGCTTCAAGTCCCCAACAAGTAAGATAACATTTAACTTTCCCATGTAAATAAATAAGGTTTACGTGATTAATTTGGAATTAAATTAAATCAGTAATCAACAACATAACAGTTAAACTAATCAACAAAATTGTTCGATATGTAAATTGGCTGTAATTTTGTGAATAGTGTGAATACCAGTTAGAATAGCCCTTCTTCTTCTTACTTTGTTCTTTGCACCCTTTTTCCTAGTGAGTTGCACCAACAACAACGATTGTCCCTTGACCGAAGCCTGCATCGGGCACGCATGTCAAAGACCATGCGATGTACACAACCCGTGTGCCCATAACGCCGTCTGCGTCAACACCAACCACGGCTCTGACTGTAGTTGTGCGGAAGGCTACCAAGGAAACGGTTACGTTGGCTGCGTGCCAGGTAAAATTATCCGCAACCCCCAAGCCAACCGAATTCACACAGTAATTCTAGTTCACGACTACAAACCCATCTGCCAATACAACGAAGACTGCCCACCTAACAAACTCTGCGACAGACTCAACAGAATATGTATCAACCCCTGCTTCGACGATTCCTGCGGCGAAAACGCCGAGTGTCTACCCAAAGATCACGGAATCGAATGCCGATGCCTCCCCGGATACCAAGGAAACCCGTACACTCTCTGCGACCAAGTCCTCGGCTGTAGATCCGACCGCGATTGCTCATCGAACGAAGCCTGCATCAACGGCCGCTGCGGTTCCCCTTGTCGCTGTGGCCACTACGCCGTCTGCGAAGTCCTCAACCATAAACCGACCTGTAAGTGCCCACCAGGATACCAAGGAAATCCGGCAACCGGATGTCAACCACCCACCAACCCTTGTGACCCTAACCCCTGCGGTTTGCACGCCCAATGCGAAGTCGATAAAGGGAGCGCTGTTTGCTTCTGCCCTAAAGGTCTAACCGGAAATCCGTTTGTTAGTTGCAGTAAGTGAACGACAATTACCGACATTTACTTGTTACGATTACTTTGTTTGCAGTTCCTGAAGGAGATGAGTGTTCTCCAAACCCTTGTGGACCCAATTCTGGTTGTAGGGTAGTCGGTGGTAAAGCCGTTTGCTTCTGTTTACCTGAATACGAAGGAACGCCTCCTCAAGTTCCGTGTGCCTTACCTGCGAACCCCTGTAACCCGTCTCCCTGCGGACCCAACACCCAATGTACTATTTTGGGCAGTGGTTTTGCCAAGTGCACTTGTCTCCCGGGTTATTTGGAGAGCCCCAATACCATCCGAGGTTGTATCGAGGCGAAAAACCCTTGCGAACCCAATATCTGCGGTCAAGGTGCTCTTTGCGATCCCTTACGGGAACCCGTCTGCTACTGTCCTTTAGGCAAATCCGGAAACCCTTATAGAGTATGTACTGAACCCACTGTGGCTCCTATGTTGTGCTCTCCCGGACCCTGTGGTCTAAATTCCGACTGTTACGTTTCAAACAACCAAGAACAGTGTTACTGCAGAGCAGGTTTCATCGGTGATCCTTACTCAGGTTGTAGACTCCAACCTCCTAGTCCTTGCGTACCCAACCCATGTGGGCCGGGAGCTCAATGCACCGTTTCGCCCGACGGAAAGTCCATGTGTCGCTGTCCAGACGGCATGGGAGGTGATCCTACAGGACCGGCTGGCTGCCACGGATACGAATGTGTAGTCGATGATAATTGCGCCGACCATCAAGCTTGCATGGGTTATAGATGTCGTGACCCGTGTCCGGGTTCTTGTGGGGTTAACGCCAACTGTCGAGTGGAAAAACATCATCCTGTTTGCACCTGCGAACCCAATTTCACCGGAAATCCAGTCATTAGGTGCTTCCCCATTCCGCCACGCACGCCCGATAGGAACCCATGTTTGCCAAGTCCTTGCGGGTTGAACACCCTCTGCCAAGTCGTAGGAAGTCGTGCTGTTTGCTCGTGTTTGCCTGATTTTCAAGGAGATCCACAGTTTGGGTGTCGCCCAGAGTGTGTTCTGAACTCCGACTGTCCTATTAATAAAGCTTGTTTGGAACGACACTGTGTGGATCCTTGCACTATTAACAACCTGTGTGGAATCCACGCTATTTGTCAAGTTCGGGATCATACTGCTACTTGTATTTGTCCCGAAGGATACATGGGAGATCCTTTCTATCAATGTTTGCCGACTCCTCCGGTTTCTCCAATCGCCAATGTTTCTAAACCGTGTTTACCATCACCGTGTGGGACTACCATGGAATGTAACAACTACGGTGGACAAGTGGCTATTTGTGACCCTTGTTTGGGTCCTGACGCTCCTTACAACCCCCAATGTAGACCAGAATGTTTAACCAACGCCGACTGTCCTTTCAACAGAGCTTGTCTAGGATTTACTTGTGCAGACCCTTGTCCTGGATCTTGTGGAGTGAATGCTTTGTGTACTGTCGTTAGTCACACGCCGGTTTGTAGTTGTCCCCAAGGCCTCATCGGGAACCCATTCGAACACTGTTCCACCCCCACAAGTAAGTACTTTCAAATGTAGAAATCTCAGTACATAAATGTGTTTTTCCAGAACCCATCGACCGAATCGACACTTGTGAAAACGTCAGATGTGGTGCGAACGCTGATTGCAAACAACAGCAACGTGCCTTGTCATGCGTTTGCAAAAAAGGCTTCTTTGGCAACCCCTGGATCGCTTGCAGACCCGAGTGTGTGATAAACCCCGACTGTTCTCTCGACAAAGCGTGCATCAACAGCAAATGCGTAGACCCGTGTGCTGGCGTCTGCGGTGTAGGCGCTCAGTGTGAAGCCATAAACCACATCCCTATATGTTTCTGTCCACCTCAACACACTGGAGACCCCTTCGTTAACTGTTATCCGTACAAACCACCAGCACCACCACTGGTAGTCGTTCCCGGCAATCCATGCGATCCTTCTCCATGTGGTCCCTACAGCAGATGTCTCGTCTCGTCTCAAGGTTTCGCCACTTGCTCGTGCCTTCCAAATTATCACGGTGCACCACCTGCTTGCAAACCTGAATGTATCGTCAGTTCCGAGTGTCCCCAAACCCGAGCTTGCATCAACCAGAAATGTACTGACCCTTGTCCTGGAACGTGCGGCAATAACGCCATCTGTACGGTGATCAACCACAATCCCATCTGTAGTTGTCCACCGGGACAACAAGGCGATCCGTTCGTTAACTGCTACGCTACAACAGTAACCGAAGAACCCAGAATACCACTGAACCCTTGTAGTCCATCTCCGTGTGGACCTAATTCAATCTGTCAAGTCAAAAATAACCGACCGGTTTGCTCTTGCAGTCCAAACTATAGCGGTAGCCCTCCGTACTGTCGCCCGGAATGCGTCATCAGTCAAGAATGTCCAAAGAACAAAGCATGCGTGAAAGAAAAATGTGTTGACCCTTGTATCAACACTTGTGGTCAAAACGCAAAATGTGATGTAGTCAGTCACACTCCGTTCTGTAGTTGCTTGTCTGGCTACGAAGGTGACGCTTTCGTGGGTTGTTCAAAGGTTATAGTCGTTCCTAAAGATCCCTGCAATCCTTCTCCGTGTGGAGGGAACGCTCAATGTACGGTATTGAACGGGGCTGCTAGATGCAGTTGCATTCCACCATACATCGGCAATCCTTACGCCGGTGGATGCAGACCTGAGTGTACCATCAACGCCGACTGTCCGAGTCATTTAGCTTGTTTGAGTCAACACTGTAGGAATCCATGTCAAGGCCTGTGCGGAGCAAGAGCCGAATGTAACGTTGTCAATCACGTCCCGGTTTGTGTGTGTGCTAGAGGACTTGTAGGAAATCCGTTTACTTCTTGCCGTGAAGCAATACCAGAACGTAAGTATTCACTACAAAATTTGTGAATCTTGTTTGTTAAGATTTATGTCAATAGCACCCAAAAACCCATGTGAACCGTCTCCGTGTGGCCCGAACAGCGTCTGTCGTGTTAGGAACAACCAAGCGGTGTGTTCGTGTCAACTGGGTTATTTCGGATCACCACCACTCTGCAGACCCGAATGTCTAGTCAGCTCGGAATGTAGTCAACACACAGCTTGTATTAACCAGAAGTGTCAAGACCCGTGCCCTGGCGCCTGTGGATTTAACGCTCGCTGTCAAGTAGTCAATCACAACCCGATTTGTAGTTGTCCTTCCAATTATATAGGAGACCCATTCGTGCAATGTAACAGAGAAGGTATAAGCGCGTGTTTTTTTGTCTTGCACGATTCTATCAAACATGTTTGTTTAGAACCCAAAGTACAGCCACCAACGAAAATCACCCCATGTATTCCATCACCGTGTGGTTCTAACGCCGAGTGTCGACCAGTCGGAGATCGCCCTGTATGTTCCTGTCTTCCTGGAATGTTGGGTGCGCCTCCAAATTGTCGCCCCGAGTGTGTCATCAACCAAGATTGTCCCTCACATCTCGCGTGTGTTAATAATAAATGTAAAGATCCGTGTGCGGGTTCGTGTGGATATAACGCTCAGTGTACCGTGTTTAACCACCAGCCAACTTGTAACTGCCTTTCTGGATTCGAAGGAGATCCGTTCTCTGGTTGTAGCCCCGTGCAAGGTAAGTACCTTACGATGATTTTAAATCTTCGTCTTTTCTTCTACTCTTTACTGTATCTTTTATCTTTTTATAGTTATTGATATTCCTCGAAATCCGTGCAACCCCTCGCCTTGTGGGGCTAACGCTATTTGTAAAGAACGAAACGGTGCGGGTTCTTGCACTTGCGTAAAGAACTACTTTGGTGACCCTTATGCCGGATGTAGACCCGAATGTGTTATGAATACTGATTGTCCCCACGACAAAGCATGTTTAGCTATGAAGTGTCGAGACCCTTGCCCAGGTAGTTGCGGCCTAAACGCAGAATGTAAAGTTATAAATCACAATCCGCAATGTTACTGTCTCCCTGGATTTACTGGAAACGCGTTGACTCTATGTCGAGAAGTTCCAGCCAGTAAGACACCACAACCCTCAAAGACCCACCCCTTAATCTCTATTTCTTTAGTCACTGACGAAGAACCTAGGAGAAACCCTTGCGTGCCGTCCCCTTGTGGCCCCTACAGTATTTGTAGAGTGCAAAATGACAGACCCGTATGTTCTTGTTCTTCTGGTTATTTAGGCGCGCCACCCAATTGCAGACCGGAGTGTCTAGTCAACTCGGAATGTCCCTTAGACAAAGCATGCTACAAACAAAAATGCATTGACCCTTGTCCCGGAACTTGCGGTTTTAACGCGAGATGTAAAGTGGTGAACCACAATCCCATCTGTAGCTGTCCTTCGGGATATGTGGGTGATCCCTTCAGTAGATGTACTTTAGAAATCAGTAAGACTACCACTATCTTTCTGTACTCTTTTGCATGTAGCTTTTTCTAGAACCGCCAGTAGTAGAGATACAAAACCCTTGCAGACCATCCCCTTGCGGTTTATTCTCCGAATGCCGTGTCCGAGATAATCGGCCAGTTTGTTCCTGCTTGCCGAATTACTACGGCCAACCACCCAACTGTAGACCCGAATGTGTCGTTAACTCTGACTGTGCTGCGACCAAAGCATGCCAAAACGAGAGATGTCGCGATCCGTGCCCCGGTTCTTGCGGCGCAAGCGCAGAATGTAGAACAATCAATCACTCTCCAGTTTGTTATTGCTTGCAAGGATTTACCGGCGATCCTTTCTCGGGATGCCACCAAAGTAAGATAACTTTAACCCTAAAACTGTTAAAATCTGACGCCACGACGATCTTGCAGTTGTGGCCATCGAAGAAGCTAGACACCCTTGCAATCCGTCACCATGTGGAAGTAACGCCATTTGTCGCGAACAGAACGGCGCAGGATCGTGCGCTTGCATACAAGACTATTTCGGTGACCCTTACGCAGGTTGTAGACCCGAGTGTGTGACAAACTCAGACTGTCCACGGGATAGAGCTTGCGTTAATAACAAATGCAAGGATCCTTGTCCAGGGACGTGCGGATTGAATGCTGAATGTAGAGTTTACAACCACGCACCAACATGCAACTGCTTGTCAGGATACACTGGAAACGCTTTGCGATCATGTCACCTTCCGCCTCCACCTCTGCCTTGTAAGAACTCTTTCTAATCTGTTTTTCTTTACTTTTTTTTTCACTTTTCTGTAGCACCACCGGAACAGGAACTCAATCCATGTCAGCCATCACCTTGCGGACCATACAGTCAATGCAGGGTTTCTAACGGGCATGCAGTCTGTTCTTGTCAGTCTAGTTACATAGGGACACCTCCCTCTTGCAGACCCGAATGCACGGTCAGCACAGACTGCATGCAGGATAGAGCTTGCATTAATCAAAAATGTCGCGACCCTTGTCCCGGCACGTGCGGATTAAACGCGAGATGTAATGTAGTTAATCACAACCCTATCTGTAGCTGCTCGCCTGGATTCGAAGGAGATCCTTTCGTCAGATGCATTAAAACAGAACGTAAGCCTCTCTCTACTTACCTTTACTGTCTCTATGTTCTCTTTCTTCATCTAGGACGACCTGTGGTCGAACCCAGCGGAAACCCTTGCGTTCCTTCGCCTTGCGGCCCTAACTCTCAATGCAGAGTCGTGGGTACACAAGCCGCATGTTCCTGTTTACCAAACTATATCGGTCGCTCGCCTAACTGCCGCCCAGAATGTACCATAAACGCGGAATGCCCCAGCAATTTAGCTTGCATTAACGAAAAGTGTCGCGATCCTTGTCCCGGTTCCTGTGGAGTTCAAACTACTTGCGTTGTCGTCAACCACTCACCCGTGTGTCAGTGCCAGGTTGGTTTTACCGGTGATCCGTTCGCTGGTTGCTCTCAAATACCTCCAAGGCCAACCCAACCCGAAATTATTAACCCTTGTAATCCGTCACCTTGCGGTGCCAACGCCGTTTGCAAAGAACGTAACAACGCGGGATCGTGTACTTGTTTACCGGAATATTTCGGAGACCCGTACTCGGGTTGCAGACCGGAGTGTGTCATCAACACCGACTGCTCTCGCGATAAAGCTTGCATCAACAACAAATGTAAAAATCCTTGTCCAGGAACATGCGGTTTGAACGCGGAATGCAGGGTCGCTAATCACGCTCCATCTTGCTCTTGCCTAGTCGGATACACAGGAAACCCGGCTGTTGCATGCCACCTACCGCAGCCTAGTACGTATTCTCTCTGTCTTTTACTCTTGTACTACTTTCTTTTCGTCTAGTTTTGCATGAAGAACCAAAGACTCAACCTTGCCAGCCTTCACCTTGCGGACCCTACAGTCAGTGTCGAGTAGTGAATGGGCACGCAGTATGTTCCTGTCAAGCGAACTATATCGGATCGCCACCGATGTGTAAACCCGAGTGCATGATTTCAGCCGACTGCCAGTTAGACAAAGCTTGTATAAACACCAAATGCCAAGACCCGTGCCCAGGCACTTGCGGTCTTAACGCGAGATGTCAAGTTGTAAATCATAACCCCATTTGTAGTTGCCCTACAGGTTTTTCAGGAGACCCGTTTGTGCGCTGTGTGCAAGAACAACGTAAGCTTCTTTTTCCATCTACCTTCACTCTCTAACTTCATTTCTTCAGCTGTAGAACGACCCAAACCGCCAGAAAACCCGTGCGTCCCTTCACCTTGTGGCCCCAACTCTCAATGTAGAATAATCGGCAACACCCCCGCGTGTTCATGTCTACAAAACTACATCGGCCGCCCTCCCAACTGTCGCCCAGAATGTACCATTAACTCCGAATGCCCCAGTAATCGCGCCTGCCAAAACGAGCGTTGCGTTGATCCTTGTCCCGGGTCGTGTGGAGCTTTCGCGGACTGCGTCGTCATAACTCACAGATCAGTTTGTTCGTGTAAAACTGGCTACACCGGCGATCCTTTCGCCGGCTGTAACCTCATTCCTAGTAAGACGATCCCTGAGTTTGAATTTCCCCGCTCATGCGACCAATGTTTCAGTCCAACAACCCGTCGAAGAACCACGAAACCCTTGCAACCCTTCACCTTGCGGCGCTAACGCCGAATGCAAAGAACGAAACGGTGCGGGTTCTTGCAGTTGCTTGCCTGAGTATTTCGGAGATCCTTATAGTGGCTGCAGACCCGAATGTGTTACCAATTCGGACTGCCCTAGAGACAAAGCTTGCACGAATAATAAATGTAGAGATCCATGTCCAGGAATCTGTGGACTTAACGCAGAATGTAGGGTTAGTAATCACGCGCCGTCGTGCTTCTGTTTAACAGGATACACAGGAAACCCGCAAGTTTCTTGTCATCTTCCACCTCCTAGTAAGACTTTTTAACACTAATTAGGAGATTTTTTAACCTTGTTGTTTAAGAACCGGAACAACCAAGGGGTAACCCTTGCGTGCCTTCACCTTGTGGACCGTATAGTAATTGCAAAGTTGTAAACGATCACGCGGTATGCTCTTGTCAAACTAATTATATCGGCGCTCCGCCTTCTTGTAAACCGGAGTGTATGGTGAGCACTGACTGCCCGCAGAATCGTGCTTGTATAAACACCAAATGTCAAGATCCTTGTCCCGGTACCTGTGGAATTAACGCGCGTTGTCAAATTGTCAACCACAACCCGATTTGTAGTTGTCCTACTAACTACATCGGCGATCCTTTCGTTAGGTGCATTTTGCAAACGAGTAAGAATTTTCCCCTTTTTCTATAATGTCTCTGCTACTGTGACACTTTTTAGAACCTGAACCACCTACACCTACTGGCAATCCTTGCGTACCATCTCCTTGTGGATTAAACTCTCAATGCAGAGTCATCGGCAGCCAGGCTGCTTGTTCGTGTTTACCGAACTACATCGGACGTTCTCCTAACTGTAGACCTGAGTGTACTATCAATGCTGAATGTCCCGGAAATTTAGCTTGTCAGAACGAGAAATGTAAAGACCCTTGTCCGGGATCCTGCGGTTCTAGCACAACGTGTACCGTCCTTAAACATTCACCGGTTTGTGTTTGCGTGTCTGGATACACTGGTGATCCCTTCACCGGATGCTCTCCCATACCGCCTCGTAAGATTCCCCACTCTAATGAAACTTCTTTACCTTCAAAACTATACTTTTCATATCTTTTAGCTGCTCCTGTCACTGAAAGACCCACCAACCCATGTAACCCATCACCTTGTGGTGCTAACGCTGTATGTAAAGAAAGAAACGGAGCTGGATCGTGTGCGTGCTTGCCCGAATATTTCGGCGACCCGTATAGCGGCTGTCGACCAGAATGTGTTACCAATTCAGACTGCGATCGCAGCAGAGCTTGTGTCAATAACAAGTGTGTCGATCCTTGTCCGGGTACCTGTGGAATAAACGCAGAATGCAGAGTAGTCAATCATGCTCCTTCCTGTTCTTGTATACCTGGATACACCGGAGAACCTCTACGAATTTGTAACCTCGTACAACCTAGTAAGATATCCAGCTTTCATATCCTACCAGATACAAGTGTCTTTTTTGCTATAGTTGAAGAAGAACCTCCTCAGAACCCTTGCCAACCGTCACCCTGCGGTCCCTACAGTCAATGTCGCGAAATAAATAACCACGCAGTTTGCTCCTGTCAACAAAACTACATTGGAACGCCGCCCATGTGTAGACCCGAATGTATCGTTAGTTCAGAATGTCCGCAAGACAAAGCTTGTTCTAATCAAAAGTGTTTGAATCCTTGTCGAGCCGGAGCGACACCTTGCGGTCAGAACGCAGACTGTCGAGTCGTAAACCACAATCCCATCTGCAGCTGTATACTTGGCTTTACTGGAGATCCTTTCACTCGTTGCTCTAAAGTTGAACGTATGTCTACTCTCTCTAACTGTTCTGTTCTATATTTCTTTTCATTTCAGTACCTCCACCTCCAAGGAATGACACAAACCCTTGCATACCTTCACCGTGTGGACCAAATTCACAATGTAGAGTCATTGGTACTCAACCTGCATGTTCTTGTTTACAAAACTATGTCGGCCGCCCACCGAACTGTAGGCCCGAGTGTATTAACGATTCCGAATGTCCAAACTATAAATCTTGTAAAAACGAGCGATGCGTAGATCCATGTCCGGGTACTTGCGGTACCAACGCACAGTGTACCGTTGTCAATCACAGCCCGGTCTGCTCTTGCTTCTCAGGCTATACTGGCGATCCTTTCTTTTCTTGTACACTGCCAATTTCACCATGTAAGAAACTTTCTATTACCGTCACCGCTTCAAAAAATTCACCCAATGTAACTAATCACGAAATTTCAGCAACGGAAAGAACTCCGCCCACAACACCGTGCTTCCCATCACCCTGCGGCCCGAACGCAGAATGTCGCGAGAAAAACGGTGCGGGTGCTTGCATCTGCCCTCCGGGATACTTCGGCGACCCATACGACAACACCAGAGGCTGCCACCGCGAATGCGAAATCAACACCGACTGCTCGCCGACCCTTGCCTGCGTCGCCTACAAATGCGTCGACCCGTGCATCGGAACCTGCGGAACGTACGCTGAATGCCGCGTCAAAGACCACGTACCCACATGCAACTGCCCCGCCGGTTTCACCGGCGACCCGTTCTTCCAGTGTAGAGAAGTCATTCCAGAACCGCCGCGACGTCCCGAAAATCCATGTATTCCTTCGCCTTGTGGACCAAACAGCCAATGTAGGAACGTCAACGATCAAGGAGTGTGTTCTTGTCTACCCAACTTCATCGGAACCCCTCCGAGTTGCCGCCCCGAATGTGTCGTCAGTTCAGAATGCTCTTCAGATAAGGCGTGCATCAACCAGAAATGTCGGGATCCTTGTCCTAATACGTGCGGTCTAGGCGCTCAATGCAGTACTCGAAACCACAGCCCCATTTGTGCTTGTCCTCCAGGATTCACGGGAGATCCGTTTGCGAAGTGCACACCACAAGGTAGGTTTTTTAACAAGTTTGTGGATGTTTCTAACGGTTATTTGCAGTTATAGTAACGGAACCGACGACTGAGAGACCTCCGTCGTGTTTCCCGTCACCTTGCGGACCCAACTCGCAATGCGAAATCCGAAACGGCCTACCCTCGTGTTCGTGTCTGCCGAATTACACCGGCGCCCCACCGTCTTGTCGTCCAGAATGTACCATCAGTTCGGAATGTAGCAGTACCTTGGCGTGCATCAATTTGAAATGTCGCGATCCCTGTCCGGGTTCGTGCGGTTCGAGTGCCAAGTGCCACGTTCTCAACCACATACCCGTGTGTACTTGCGAGGATGGTTACACCGGAAATCCCTTCATTCAGTGTACTTTGAAACCTCCAGTAACTGAGCCACCGGTGCCGAAAGATCCATGCAATCCTTCACCGTGCGGTCCTAACGCACAGTGTAACAACGGTGTCTGCACTTGTCTGCCCGAGTTCATTGGGAACCCTTACGAATCCTGTCGACCTGAATGCGTACTCAGCACCGAATGTAGCAGAGATAAAGCTTGCATTAGGAACAAGTGTGTGGATCCATGCCCTGGCACTTGCGGTTCCAACGCTCGTTGCGACGTCATCAACCACATACCCACGTGCTCTTGTCCCGACGGGTACACCGGAGATCCGTTCACGAATTGTCGTGTATCCGAAGCGAGACAGCCTACCGTCGTAGATCCTTGCAACCCGTCACCTTGTGGCCCCAACAGCCAATGCAAAAACACCAACGATCACGCCGTGTGCTCGTGCATCCAAGGGTACGTCGGAACGCCACCATCTTGTAGACCAGAGTGCGTCGTTAGCGCGGAATGTGCCGCAACTAAAGCCTGCGTCAATCAGAAATGCGTGGACCCGTGTCCCGGCTCGTGTGGCTTAGGAGCACGCTGCGAAGTTATAAACCACAGTCCGATATGTAGCTGCCAGGAAGGCCAAACAGGAGATCCGTTCCAAAGCTGCAGACCTATTCCGCCTCCACCGCCGACGCCGCCACCACCAAGAACCGACCCTTGTTTGCCAACCCCGTGCGGACCAAACTCGATTTGTCGTCGCGTAGGAGACACGCCGTCTTGTAGTTGCGCACAAGATTACACCGGAAGCCCGCCGAACTGCAGACCTGAGTGCGTGATCAACCCAGATTGTCCCAGCAACCTGGCTTGCATCAACAACAAGTGCAAAGATCCATGTCCCGGCAGTTGTGGGGTTAACACAGAATGTCGGGTCATCAGTCACACCGTTTCGTGTTCTTGCTCCCCCGGCTTTGTGGGGAATCCGTTCGTGCAATGTACCGTAAAACAAGAGGAGCCTGCGAACCCGTGCGAACCTTCGCCATGCGGTTCTAACGCTATTTGTACGGAAAGGAACGGAGCTGGTGCCTGTAAATGCATCGACGACTACCAAGGAAACCCATACGAAGGATGCAGACCGGAGTGCGTCTTGAGTTCGGACTGCCCAACGAACAAGGCTTGTATTAGAAATAAATGTGGAGACCCTTGTCCAGGAGTATGTGGCGAATTTGCTGAATGTTCTGTGATCAATCATGTGCCTACTTGTACATGCGTTAAAGACTATATTGGGGATCCGTTTACCAGATGTACGCCTCAACCACGTAAGTCACCGGTTCATAGCTTGTCTGTAGAGGATTTAATTATTTTTTTGCAGCTGTGACAGAACCGACCGTTTACGTCGACCCATGTAACCCGAGTCCTTGCGGACCCAACTCCCAATGTAGGAACGTAAATGATCAAGGTGTGTGTTCCTGTTTACCGGAATACACCGGTTCTCCACCCAACTGTAAACCAGAATGCGTGGTCAGTTCTGAATGTCCCCAAAACCGAGCGTGCCATAAATTCAAATGTGCCAATCCTTGCACCGGAACTTGTGGTATCGGTGCCAGGTGTGAAGTTATCAATCACAACCCTATCTGTAGTTGTCCCTCTGGTTTAACCGGAGATCCATTCCTGAGATGTTACGAAATGGTAGTGACACCACCACCGCCTACCCCTGTACCAAGAGATCCTTGCTTGCCTTCTCCTTGTGGACCAAACTCAGCCTGCAGAGCAGTAGGAGATCAACCTTCTTGTTCTTGCTTGCCGAACTATATAGGATCGCCACCCAGCTGCAGACCCGAATGTGTGGTAAACACGGACTGTCCCTCTAACCAAGCTTGCATTACCGAGAAGTGTAGAGACCCGTGCCCGGGTTCCTGCGGCTTCAACGCCGAATGCAGAGTCCAGAACCACATTCCCATCTGTACGTGCGCCGCCAGATTTGTCGGAGACCCATTCACTCAATGTACACCCGAAATCAAACAAGAAGAACCTAAAGTACCGCTGGATCCATGCAATCCGTCTCCTTGTGGTGCCAATACTCAGTGCAGAGACGGCGTCTGCTCTTGTCTGCCAGAGTACCAAGGAGATCCCTACCGCGGTTGCCGCCCCGAATGTACAATGAACACTGACTGTTCTCCGAACAAAGCTTGCAGTAACCTTCGTTGCATAGACCCCTGCCCTGGAACATGCGGACAAGGCGCCGTCTGCGACGTCGTCAACCACATCCCCACCTGCAGCTGTCCTTCCGGCTACGAAGGCGACCCCTTCACCAGTTGCAGACCCGTCAAAATAGGTAAAACCGTCTAGGCCCTGTCGAATTCTTCTAAAGACGCTTTTTCTAGAACCACCCCGCGACCCATGCAGCCCATCTCCTTGCGGCCCCAACAGCCTCTGTAGAGTGAATAACGGCGTGGCTGTCTGCTCGTGCCAGCCCGGCTTGATCGGAAACCCACCCAGTTGTCGTCCAGAATGCATCGTCAGCGCGGAGTGTCCTCTCACCAAAGCCTGTCTCAATAACAAATGCGTGGACCCGTGCCCAGGAACCTGTGGAATCAACGCCAGGTGCCAGGTGGTCAATCACAACCCTATCTGCAGTTGTACGGAAGGCATGTCCGGGGATCCGTTCACCAGGTGCGCGCCGGTCGTAATCCGCCAACCGGTCAGACCGTGCGAACCGAGTCCGTGCGGGCCGAATTCCATCTGTCAAGTTCGCGGCGAGAGTCCGGCGTGTACGTGTCTCGAAAACTACGTCGGAGCACCGCCGAACTGCCGGCCGGAGTGTACCATCAACCCCGAGTGTTCGAGCGTTACGGCTTGTATTAATCAAAAGTGTCGCGATCCGTGTCCGGGTAGCTGCGGACAAAACGCTGTCTGCAACGTGGTCAATCACAGTCCGGTGTGCAAGTGCAATCCAGGATTCGAAGGAGATCCGTTCGTGCGCTGCGTGCCGGTCGTCGTACCAGGTAGGATTTTTTGTTTACAAAGGGAAAGGTAACACCATGAAAAAACACAAGATGAGGCAGTTTTTTTAAAACCACGAGCGGTAAATTTAAGGGATCTTCATAATTGACAATTTGACACGTTATCTTCAAAAATTTGTCTACATGGTGTTACATTTCCGACAAAGTGTACATATTCTGTTTCAACCAATTCAAACTCCACTACGGCCTGTAAAAAGTATCATCAATACTCATGCAGCTTGAAGCTTCAGTGGTGGAGTTTGATTTTGTGTAGCATGTGCTGTAAATACTAAACTGCTTTCGCTTCCGGGGATACAGTAAGGTAAGGAAAACGTATCCCCCAACGATAACAACGAGCTTTATCAACGCAATGCCCTAATGCCCCCATTATGTTGCTATTATACCATCAAACGAATGCGCTATCAACCCCCCCCCCCACACCCCACGGAAACAAATAATTATACCCCTAATGAATAACGCTTTAAACAAAGAAACGGAAAATAAGGAAGGTACAATGCGGTACATACATACACATCCCCTGCAATCACCCCCTTGGCGCTTAAGGATAATGCCCCTAATATAAGCTTATGTCACCCCCCCTCCCCCACACCATGCAATTTTGCGCAGCAGCAGCAGCTAATAATAAGCGTGATGTAATGGTTATTACGTAAATAATTCGATTAATCCACGGCTTATGCACTGAGAATAAAATACTTACCCGGGCAAATTGGTACTTATTGTTACCGAAAACTTTCAGTTCAAATCCCCTCGGAAGTGTTGACTCCTTGTTCACCATCACCTTGTGGCGCAAACGCGATCTGCAAAGAAAGAAACGGAGCAGGTTCATGTACCTGTTTGGCGGATTATGTTGGCAACCCTTACGAAAGTTGTAGGCCCGAGTGTGTCCACAACTCAGACTGTCCCTCTAATAAAGCGTGCACTAGAAACAAATGTATTGACCCTTGCCCTGGTACTTGTGGACAAAATGCGAACTGCCAAGTCATAAATCATTCCCCTTCGTGTACTTGTTTGCCTGGATACACTGGCGATCCTTTCAGGTTTTGCAACTTGCCACCAGTTGAACGTAAGATAGTGAACTTTAACGTAACCGTTTGCTAAAAACATCCATCAGCCCCTAGGGACGTAGTTCCAGTCAACCCTTGCCAACCCAGTCCATGTGGACCCAACAGTCAATGTCGGGAAATAAACGGACAAGCGGTTTGTTCTTGTTTACCCAATTATATAGGAAGCCCCCCAGGATGCAGACCCGAATGTGTTGTTAGTTCCGAATGTCCATCAAACAAAGCGTGTATCAATCAAAAATGTTCTGACCCTTGTCCCGGAACGTGTGGGCAAGCCACAAATTGCCAAGTAATCAATCACAGTCCCATTTGTACTTGCCGCCCAGCATACACCGGTGACCCATTCTCCAGATGTTACCCCATACCACGTAAGATACCTCAAAGTGTTCCCATTTCGGGGTTTGTGATTTTTCCATTTTAGCACCACCTCTGGAGCCCCAGCCGTTGCCGCAACCGATAAACCCCTGCGTACCATCACCGTGTGGACCTAACTCTCAATGTCGCGATATCGGTGGCTCCCCTTCTTGTTCATGTCTGTCCGAATTTACCGGGAATCCTCCGAACTGTAGACCAGAATGTACCCAAAATTACGAATGCCCAAGCAATTTAGCTTGCATAAGGAACAAATGTAAAGATCCTTGTCCTGGAACCTGCGGCGTTGGAGCAAACTGCCTCATAAATAACCATCTCGCTATATGTGTTTGTCCCGAAGGATACACCGGTGATCCTTTCAACAACTGTTATCCCAAGCCACAAGAAATAGAACCTGTAGTAGAAAAAGATCCTTGCAATCCTTCACCGTGTGGATCTAATGCTCGCTGCGATAACGGCATCTGTACTTGTCTACCGGAGTATCAAGGTGATCCGTATAGAGGATGTAGACCTGAATGTATTATTAGTGACGACTGTTCTCGAGATAAAGCTTGCCGTAGAAATAAATGTATGGACCCTTGTCCAGGAACATGTGGCCAAGGTGCTCTCTGTACCGTCACTAATCACATCCCAATGTGTAGCTGTCCAGCTGGATACACAGGCAACGCCTTCGTTGTTTGTAGCGTCCTAGAGAGTACGCCTTGCCTTTTACCCTTTGATTTTTAACTCACTTGTCACTATTTTAGCACCCCCTCCGAGAAACCCCTGCAGCCCGTCCCCATGCGGCCCTAACAGCCAATGCCGTGAAGTCAACACGCAAGCCGTGTGTTCGTGCGTCCCCGGATACATCGGTAGCCCCCCCACTTGTCGACCAGAATGCATAACAAGCTCGGAATGCCCCCTGATTCAAGCTTGCGTTAACCAAAAATGTGTAGACCCATGTCCTGGAACTTGCGGCCTCAGCGCCAAATGTCAAGTCATTAACCACAACCCCATTTGCAGCTGTCCTCCGGACTACACCGGCGACCCTTTCACTAGATGCTTCCCCAAACGTAAGGACCCCAACTTCTCTCAATCACCCTCTACTCTTAACATTTTAGCCCAAGAAGAACCAGTTAAAATTCCAACCGACCCATGTCAGCCGTCACCTTGCGGCCCCAACTCTCAATGTCGAGCAGTCGGCGACTCCCCCTCTTGCTCCTGTCTCCCCGAATTTAGCGGCTCGCCGCCAAACTGCCGCCCCGAATGCATCACCAACAGTGAATGTGCCTTTAACCTCGCCTGCATCAACCGCAAATGCGCGGACCCTTGCCGGGGCATATGCGGATCAAACGCCGAATGTCGTGTTGTCAATCATGCCCCCAACTGTGCTTGCGTACCAGGTTTCGAGGGTGACCCCTTCGTGCAATGCATACAGCGACGACCGCCGCCACCACCCGAGTCTGTCAATCCATGCGTTCCGTCACCGTGTGGTTCCAATGCCGTGTGTAAGGAACGTAACGGTGCTGGATCGTGTGTTTGTCTCCCGGAATACCTCGGAAACCCGTACGAAGGCTGCCGACCAGAATGCGTTCTGAGCTCAGACTGTCCCTCGAATAAAGCCTGCGTGAGAAACAAATGCGTGGATCCGTGTCCCGGAACTTGTGGCCAGAATGCCAACTGTCAGGTCATTAATCATTCTCCATCTTGTACTTGCATCCCGGGGTACACCGGAGATCCGTTTAGGTTCTGCAATTTACTGCAACCCGAACGTAAGTTGTTGAGAATTTGTAAGTAAAGTCCTAACGGTGATGATTTAGCTGAGAGAGACGAAACTCCCAAAAATCCGTGCCAGCCGAGTCCGTGTGGACCCAACAGTCAATGCCGGGAAGTAAACGGACAAGCAGTTTGTTCGTGTCTTCCCAATTACATAGGTAGCCCTCCAGGATGTAGGCCAGAATGCGTGGTTAGCTCAGAGTGTGCTCAGACTAAGGCTTGCGTAAACCAGAAATGTGTGGACCCGTGTCCTGGAACCTGCGGACTTAACGCGAATTGTCAAGTGATCAACCACAGTCCTATTTGTAGTTGTAAAGCGAGCTTCACCGGTGATCCTTTCACTAGATGTCTACCTACTCCACGTAAGACTTGTTTACGTGACCCGTGGACTATTCTATTTGACGTACATTAAATTGCAGCCCCTCCCATTGAACCACCGAGACCTGTCGAAATCAATCCATGCCTACCAAATCCGTGCGGTCCTAATTCACAGTGTCGTAACGTAGGCAGCACACCTTCTTGTTCCTGTTTACCAACATATATAGGCACACCACCAAACTGTAGACCAGAATGTACCATTAACCCAGACTGTCCAAGTAACTTGGCTTGCATTCGCGAAAAATGTCGAGACCCTTGCCCAGGTTCTTGCGGAACCGGTGCCCAATGTAGTGTCATCAACCACACACCAATATGTAGTTGTCTCGAAGGCTACACAGGTGATCCTTTCAGTTTCTGTCAACCGAAACCCCAAGAAATCGAACCTGTGAAAACCGACCCTTGCAACCCCTCGCCTTGCGGACCGAACGCCCAGTGTAACAACGGCATTTGTACTTGTTTGCCCGAATATCAGGGAGATCCGTACAGAGGATGCCGACCTGAGTGTGTCTTAAATAACGATTGTCCTAAGGATAGGGCTTGCATTAGAAATAAATGTAAAGATCCGTGCCCAGGTACTTGTGGTCAAAACGCTGAATGTTCCGTAATGAACCACATCCCCATTTGTACTTGTCTGCAAGGTTACGTCGGAAACGCTTTCATTCTTTGTTCACCGATTCCAGGTACTGTCTTAACCAATCCGAAGACTTGTAATTAAACAATTGGTTGTAGTCGATAAACCCAAAAACCCATGCAGTCCTTCACCTTGTGGCCCCAACAGTCAATGTAGAGAGATAAACGGGCAAGCTGTATGTTCGTGTGTTCCCGGTTACATCGGAAGCCCACCATCTTGTAGACCTGAGTGTATTACAAGTTCCGAATGCTCCCTCAACGAAGCTTGCGTCAACCAGAAATGCATAAACCCGTGTCCCGGAACTTGTGGTCTTAATGCTAACTGTCAGGTCGTAAATCATAACCCTATTTGTAGTTGTATTCCAAGCTATGAAGGCGATCCTTTCGTTAGATGTTTACCAAAACGTAAGAACTCGCAGCATTTCAAATTACTTCGTTAAAGTGCCAGTACTTTTAGCTGAAGATGAAGTACTTCCGGTACCTACAAACCCATGCCAACCATCACCCTGTGGTCCCAACGCTGAATGTAGAGAAATTAACGGATCCCCGTCTTGTTCTTGTTTGCCCGAATTCCAAGGATCACCCCCTAACTGTAGACCAGAATGCGTTAGTAACAGCGAATGCGCTAGCAATTTAGCTTGCATTAATAGAAAATGTAAAGACCCTTGTCCTGGAATTTGCGGTCTAAATGCCGAGTGCCGCGTGGTGAGTCATACTCCAAATTGTGTCTGCGTAACAGGTTATATAGGTGACCCCTTCACTCAATGTACCGTCCCGCCAACACCTGTTCAAGAAAATTTGACACCTTGTAATCCATCCCCTTGTGGGGTGAACGCTGAGTGTAAGGAACGAAACGGTGCAGGCGCGTGTGTTTGCATCCCCGAGTACATCGGAAACCCTTACGAGGGTTGCAGACCAGAGTGTTCAGTTAATTCTGATTGTCCATCGAACAAAGCTTGCATACGAAATAAATGTCAAGACCCGTGCCCAGGCACTTGCGGCCAAAACGCTCAATGTCAAGTAATAAATCATTTACCTTCGTGCACTTGCATACCAGGTTACACGGGAGATCCATTCAGATATTGCAACCTTCCACCTCCGGAACGTAAGACAAGGTTTAAATTCGACTGGGGTATCTATTAATTTTAACATTTTAGCCGTCGAAACTCCTAAGAACCCTTGTCAACCATCACCCTGTGGTCCCAATAGTCAATGTCGTGAGACAAATGGACAAGCAGTTTGCTCATGCCTTCCCAATTACGTTGGTAGCCCTCCAGGATGTAGACCCGAATGTGTCGTTAGCTCAGAGTGCCCCCTTACCAAAGCTTGCATTAATCAAAAATGCGCTGACCCATGCCCAGGAACGTGTGGACTAAACACAAACTGTCAAGTAATCAATCATAGTCCTATTTGCACTTGTCAACCTGGTAATACGGGAGATCCTCTAACCCGATGTTACCCAATTCCACGTAAGACCTCACATGTAAACAATAATCTTAGTTTCACACATAACGTTTTAGCTCCACCTCCCGAAATTCCAAAACCGGTTATCAACCCTTGCGTACCTTCACCGTGTGGTCCCAACAGCCAGTGTCGTGACACCGGAGGCTCTCCATCCTGTTCTTGCTTACCTAACTTTGTAGGAAGTCCACCAAATTGTAGACCCGAATGTACAATCAACTCGGAATGTGCCAGTAATTTGGCTTGTATTCGGGAGAAGTGTCGAGATCCATGTCCCGGCTCTTGCGGAGCGGGTGCTCAATGTAGCGTTATCAACCACACCCCGATATGTACATGTACCGATGGATACACCGGCGATCCTTTCAGCTACTGTCACCCACCACGTATGCTTTTGCAACTTTGTAAGACACGAAGAATATTTTGTAATTTTAGCTCCCAAACCCATCGCAGACGATCCTTGCGGTCTAGCATCTTGTGGACCGAATACTCAGTGCAACGACGGAATATGTACGTGTTTGGCGGAATATCAGGGAGACCCTTACAGGGGATGCAGACCTGAATGTGTACTCAGCTCGGATTGTCCTCGAGACAAAACTTGCATCCGGAATAAATGTAAAGACCCGTGTCCCGGTACTTGTGGTCAAAATGCTGAGTGCAGCGTTTTGAACCACATACCGACATGTACCTGTATTCAAGGCTATATCGGAAACGCTTTCATTCTTTGCTCTCCCATACCCGGTAATTATATTCCATTTGAAGGAAAACCAAATCGTAATCAAACAATTCCAGAGGAAGTTAAGAAAAACCCATGTAATCCATCTCCTTGTGGTCCCAATAGTCAGTGCAGGGAAATTAATGGCCAAGCAGTTTGTTCATGCGTTCCCGGTTTCATAGGTAGCCCCCCAACGTGCAGACCGGAATGTGTGACCAGTGCGGAATGTTCGTTAAACCAAGCGTGTGTCAACCAAAAATGTATCGACCCTTGTCCTGGAACTTGCGGCTTGAACGCTAAATGTCAAGTCGTCAACCACAACCCCATTTGCAGTTGCCCACCTAAATATTCTGGAGATCCGTTTATTAGATGTCTGCCAATTCGTAAGATTCTTATATTAAAATCACCTGTAGGTATTTAAACTGGTGTTGTAGCGGAAGACGTGCCTCCCCCTGTACCACTAAACCCGTGTCAACCATCTCCTTGCGGCCCCAATTCTCAATGTAAAGTGTCGGGAGAATCACCCTCTTGTTCCTGCTTACCGGAATTCAAAGGCTCACCACCCAACTGTCGTCCAGAATGTATCAGCAACAGCGAATGTGGTGACAATTTGGCTTGTATTAACCAAAAGTGTAAGGATCCGTGCCCCGGTACATGTGGATCTAACGCCGAATGTCGCGTTGTCAGCCACACTCCGAACTGTATTTGTCCACCAGAATACATCGGCGATCCTTTCTCTTATTGTACCCCCAGACCACGTAAGAACTCTCTTTTTGTCCCTAATTTTTTAACTAATTTCGTTTAATGCAGCGATTCTTCCTTCCGAACATCTCTCGCCTTGTTCGCCATCTCCGTGCGGAGCTAACGCTCAATGCAGGGAACAAAATGGAGCCGGTGCTTGTGTTTGCTTACCAGATTACATAGGAAACCCCTACGAAGGATGTAGACCCGAATGTGTTCTCAATTCTGATTGTCCATACAACAAAGCTTGCATCAGAAATAAGTGTATTGATCCTTGCCCAGGAACTTGCGGACAAAACGCCCAATGTCAAGTCGTCAATCACTTGCCTTTGTGTACTTGTAATCCAGGATACACAGGCGATCCTTTCAGATTCTGCAACTTACCACCTCCTGAACGTAAGATCGTTACGTTATTGAAACTCATTTTGTTGACGTTAAAATTGTTTAGCTATTTTGGAAGAACCCAAGAACCCGTGTCAACCCAGCCCGTGCGGCCCCAACAGCCAGTGTCGTGAAGTTAACCAACAGGCTGTTTGTTCTTGTTTGCCCAATTATGTCGGTAGTCCCCCGGGTTGTAGACCAGAGTGCGTGGTGAGCTCCGAATGTGCCCAGAACAAAGCTTGCTCGAACCAAAAATGTATCGATCCTTGCCCGGGAACCTGCGGTCTTAACGCTAACTGTCAAGTGATCAACCACAGTCCTATTTGTAGTTGTCAATCGGGAAATACCGGTGATCCCTTCAGCCGTTGCTACCCCATTCCTCGTAAGTCGGAACCAACCATGTTACGTACGCGTTCTCACAAATTATTGTAGCACCACCACCGACACCGCTTCCACCTCTGATTACAAACCCTTGTGAACCATCACCTTGTGGACCCAACAGTCAATGTAGGAATATTAACGGAAACCCTTCATGTTCGTGTTTGCCCAACTATATTGGAACCCCACCCAGTTGTCGACCTGAATGTAGCATAAACTCAGAATGTCCCAGCAACTTAGCTTGTATCAGAGAAAAGTGTAGAGACCCATGTCCGGGATCTTGTGGCGCTGGAGCTCAATGTAGCGTCATAAACCACACTCCGACTTGTACTTGTCCTGAAGGTTACACAGGAGATCCATTTACGTACTGCCAACCCAAACCACCAGCACGTATGTCACTACAATTCTTTACCACTTAAAATTTATTAAATATATCGCAGCACCTAAACCAGTCGAAGACGATCCTTGTAATCCGTCACCTTGTGGCTCCAATGCGCAATGCAATAACGGCATCTGCACTTGTTTGCCAGAGTATCAAGGAGATCCCTATCGAGGTTGTAGGCCCGAATGTGTTCTAAGTTCCGACTGCCCCCGAGATAAAGCTTGCGTTAGAAACAAATGTATCGATCCATGCCCTGGCACGTGCGGCCAAAACGCCGAATGTTCAGTCGTGAATCACATTCCAATATGCACGTGTCTACCTGGTTACACTGGAAGTGCTTTCGTCATTTGTAGACCCGTCGAAAGTAAGAATGCAAAAATCACTTGATTCAAAAATCTAAAGTACTTATTTTAGAACCTCCTGTTCAAAACCCTTGCAATCCTTCACCCTGTGGCCCCAATAGTCAATGTAGAGAAATAAACCAACAAGCTGTTTGTTCGTGCGTCCCGGGTTACATCGGAAGTCCACCCACTTGTAGACCCGAATGCGTCACGAGCACAGAATGTTCTCTAAACGAAGCCTGCGTGAACCAAAAATGTATAGACCCATGTCCTGGTACTTGCGGAGTGGGCGCCAGATGCCAAGTTGTCAATCACAACCCAATTTGCTCTTGCCCGACCCAATACACCGGTGATCCGTTTATAAGATGTCTCCCGATTCGTAAGTGTGACTTAACTTGCTACCTTGAAACCATTACCATGATTATTTCAGCCCCCGAACCCGTTGTAACAACCACAAACCCGTGCCAACCTTCACCTTGCGGTGCCAACTCCCAATGCAAAGACATCAACGGAGGACCGTCTTGTTCATGTTTACCGGAATTCGTCGGGTCGCCACCCAACTGTAAACCGGAATGCGTCAGCAACAGCGAGTGCCCCACTCACTTAGCTTGCATTAACCAGAAATGCAAAGACCCTTGTCCCGGTACTTGTGGCCGAAACGCCGAATGTAGAGTCGTGAGTCACACTCCCAACTGCATCTGCTTGCCTGGATACACCGGAAACCCATTCGGTCAGTGCGAACTGCCGCCACCCATACAAGAGACAATCTCTCCGTGTTCGCCGTCTCCATGCGGTGCAAACGCTCAATGCCGAGAACAAAATCGAGCAGGATCTTGCGTTTGTCTCCCTGATTATATCGGAAATCCTTACGAGGGTTGTAGGCCAGAATGTGTCCTGAATTCCGACTGTCCTTCGAATAAAGCTTGCGTTAACAGCAAATGTAAAGACCCTTGTCCTGGAACTTGTGGGCCTAATGCCAATTGTCAAGTTGTGAACCACATTCCGACTTGTACTTGTGTGCCCGGCTATACTGGCGATCCGTTTAGATACTGTAATCCTGTTCCAGTCACACGTAAGTTGTATCGCGATGACGTAACTCCCGAATAACTGTTGAATTTTTAAGCGACGTTAGAAGAACCTGTTAATCCTTGCCAACCGTCACCGTGTGGACCCAACAGCCAATGTCGCGAAGTCAATAATCAAGCTGTGTGCTCTTGTTTGCCTAATTACGTCGGAAGTCCACCAGGGTGTAGACCTGAGTGTGTCGTTAGTACAGAATGTCAACTAACTAAGGCTTGCGTTAATCAAAAATGTGTTGACCCTTGTCCTGGAACTTGTGGTTTGAATGCCAAGTGTCAAGTTGTTAATCATAGTCCAATTTGCAGTTGTCAGTCGGCTTACACTGGTGACCCATTCACCAGATGTTTCCCTATACCACGTAAGACGAACCCCTTTTTGCTCTCTCAGACGTTCAGTTTGAATTTTGCAGCCCCACAAGACGTTCCAACAGTGCCGGTTCCAATAAACCCATGCGTACCATCACCTTGTGGTCCTAACAGTCAATGTAGAGATCTCAGAGGATACCCGTCGTGTTCTTGTTTACCCAATTTCATAGGATCTCCCCCGAATTGCAGACCTGAGTGTTCGATTAATTCAGAGTGTAGTAGCAACCTGGCGTGCATCAGCCAGAAATGTAGAGACCCGTGTCCAGGATCCTGCGGAGCAGGTGCTCAATGTAGTGTCATCAACCACACTCCCATTTGTACCTGTCCAGATGGCTACACAGGCGATCCATTCAATAACTGCTTCCCTAAACCTCCACCACCTCCAGAACCTGTGGTAACAGATCCTTGCAACCCGTCCCCTTGTGGTTCCAACGCTCAATGCAACAACGGCATATGCACCTGCTTACCCGAATACCAAGGAGATCCTTACAGAGGTTGTAGACCAGAATGTGTACTAAGCAGCGATTGTCCAAGAGACAAAGCTTGCGTCAGAAATAAATGTGTAGATCCTTGTCCTGGAACCTGTGGACAAAACGCGGAGTGCAACATCTACAACCACATTCCCATCTGTACTTGTATTCAAGGCTACACCGGAAACGCTTTCGTTTTGTGTACGCAAGTGGTCACTCCAGTACCGCGCAATCCGTGCAGTCCTTCACCTTGTGGCCCCAACAGTCAGTGTAGAGAGATTAATGGACAAGCCGTGTGTTCGTGTCTTGCCGGGTATAGTGGAAGTCCCCCCACTTGCAGACCTGAGTGTATTTCCAGCCCCGAATGTCCACTCAACCAAGCTTGCGTCAACCAAAAATGCATAGACCCTTGTCCTGGAACTTGTGGAATTGGCGCCAAATGTCAAGTAGTTAATCACAATCCGATTTGTAGTTGTCCGCCGAGGTACACGGGAGATCCGTTTGTCAGATGTAACGTGATACGTAAGTTGTTCTCATCGTCGAAGTTCTCCCTTTGCAACGTTTCGTTTTAGCGCTGGAAGAACCAGTGGTTGTACCTACAAACCCCTGCCAGCCTAGCCCTTGCGGTCCTAATTCACAATGTAGAGAAACCAATGGATCGCCGTCTTGTTCTTGCTTGCCCGAATTCATCGGTAGTCCACCTAACTGTAGACCGGAATGCTCGAGTAATAGCGAATGTGCCAATCACTTGGCTTGCATAAACAACAAGTGTAAAGATCCTTGTCCTGGAACTTGCGGCGCTAGTGCCGAGTGTCGAGTAATCAGTCACACTCCCAACTGTGTTTGCTTAGCTGGCCACACCGGCGATCCTTTCGTCCAATGTACCCTTTACCAGCCACCGCCCGCAGCTGCAATAGTTTCTCCATGTCAACCATCACCTTGTGGAGCAAATGCCCAATGCAGAGTCCAAAAGAACGCCGGTGCTTGCATTTGCTTACCCGAGTATATAGGCAACCCGTACGAAGGTTGCAGACCTGAATGTGTCCTCAGCTCCGATTGTCCATCGAACAAAGCTTGCATCAGGAATAAGTGTTTAGATCCTTGCCCTGGAACGTGCGGCCAAAACGCCAACTGTCAAGTAATAAACCATTCACCCTCATGTACTTGTATCCCAGGGTACACAGGTGATCCGTTCAGATATTGCAACCTGCCAGCCCCACAACGTAAGATCTCTAGTTTCGTTCGCAACGAATCAGTAACCTTTGTTTCTTTAGCGGTCGAAGACGAAACTCCTAAAAATCCTTGCCAACCTAGTCCATGCGGACCTAATAGTCAATGTCGCGAAGTGAATGGACAAGCCGTGTGCTCTTGCTTACCCAACTACAGTGGCAGCCCTCCGGGATGTAGACCCGAGTGTGTCGTAAGCTCCGAGTGCCCTCAAAACAAGGCTTGTCTTAACCAAAAATGCGTCGACCCTTGCCCAGGCACTTGCGGCCTAAATGCCAAATGTCAAGTTATCAATCATAGTCCAATTTGTAGTTGCACATCGGGTTACACCGGAGATCCTTTCACCAGATGTTACCCAATACCGCGTAAGTGTCCCAGATAACAAATTGAAAATCTTTTACCTTCTTTCTCTAATTGCAACAGCCCCACCTCCCGTAACGTTCGACGAACCAAAACCGGACCCATGCATACCATCTCCATGCGGTGCTAACAGTCAGTGCAGAAACATTGGTGGTTCCCCGTCATGTTCTTGTTTACCCAACTACGTCGGAAGCCCCCCGAACTGCAAACCTGAATGTACCATCAATCCCGAGTGCCCCAGCAATCTGGCTTGTATTCGCGAAAAATGTAGAGACCCATGCCCTGGATCATGTGGATCGGGAGCACAATGTAGCGTTATCAACCACACACCCATTTGTACTTGTCCAGACGGCTACACCGGAGACCCATTCAACTACTGTCAACCCAAACCGCAAGAAATCGAACCGGTACCTACAGACCCGTGCAACCCATCTCCATGTGGATCCAACGCACGATGCGACAATGGAGTTTGTTCTTGTTTACCTGAATATCAAGGAGACCCGTATCGGGGATGTCGTCCCGAGTGTGTTTTGAGTAATGACTGTCCTAGAGACAAAGCCTGCATAAGGAATAAGTGCCAAGACCCTTGCCCTGGTACTTGTGGACAAAACGCAGAGTGCTCTGTAGTTAACCACATCCCGATCTGTACTTGTCTTCAAGGCTACAGCGGCAACGCCTTCGTTTTATGTAATCCCATCCCAGGTACTAGGTCACGATTTGTTGATATGTTATACGAATAGAGATAATTTCAGCGCCCGTTATCACAAATCCATGTAACCCATCTCCATGTGGACCCAACAGTCAGTGTAGAGCCGTAAACGGCCAGTCCGTGTGCTCTTGCGTGCCCGGTTTTAGAGGAAGCCCACCAGCTTGCAGACCTGAGTGCGTCACAAGCGCCGAATGTCCCCTTAATGAGGCCTGCGTCAACCAAAAATGCACAGATCCTTGTCCCGGAACATGTGGGCTTAATGCCAGGTGTCAAGTTGTAAACCATAACCCGATTTGTAGCTGTCCGCCTGAATACACAGGCGATCCGTTCTTGCGTTGTTTGCCCAAGCGTAAGACCATTATTTTTTCGCGTTCTGTCCTACATGAGTTTATATTTTAGCGCAAGAAGAACCCGTTGTTATAAACCCTTGCCAACCATCTCCGTGTGGTCCCAACGCACAATGCAAGGAGACCAACGGGGCACCCTCGTGTTCTTGTTTACCAGAATTTATAGGATCTCCCCCGAACTGCCGACCCGAATGTGTTAGTAACAGCGAATGTGCTAATCATTTAGCTTGCATCAACCAAAAATGTAAAGATCCTTGCCCTGGAATATGCGGAAATAACGCTGAATGTCGCGTTGTAAGTCACACACCTAACTGTGTTTGCATATCTGGGTTCGTTGGAAATCCTTTCGTGCAGTGTCTTGCCCAAATACGTAAGAATTTGTTTTGTTTAAATTATCAAGGTAAATCAATGCTTTTCCTTTAGCCGCCGCACCTAGCGAAATAATAACTCCATGTTCGCCATCTCCATGTGGCGCCAACGCACAATGCCGGGAACAAAATAATGCCGGGGCATGTATTTGCTTGCCCGATTATATCGGAAACCCTTACGAAGGTTGTCGACCCGAATGTGTCCTCAATTCTGATTGTCCTTCTCATAAGGCTTGCGTGAACAGTAAATGTGTTGACCCGTGCCCAGGAACGTGTGGCCAAAATGCCCAATGTCAAGTCATTAATCACTTACCATCTTGTACTTGCATCCCAGGTTATACCGGAGACCCGTTCAGATATTGCAATTTGCCACCACCGCAACGTAAGGAGTAAAAATTATTCATAAATATAGCACTCATTTTTGGTTATGCAGCCGTTGAAGAAGAACCACCCAAAAACCCATGTCAACCCAGCCCTTGCGGTCCCAACAGCCAATGTCGTGAAGTTAACCAACAAGCAGTCTGTTCTTGTTTGCCCAACTATGTCGGTAGTCCCCCGGGTTGTAGACCAGAATGTGTGGTCAGCTCCGAATGTGCCCAAAATAAAGCCTGCGTTAATCAGAAATGTACTGATCCATGTCCGGGAACGTGTGGCCTTAACGCCAACTGTCAGGTCATAAACCACAGTCCCATTTGTAGTTGTCAATCAAGCTTCACCGGCGATCCGTTCAGTCGATGCTTCCCTATTCCACGTAAGAAATGCAGATGTTCTTTATAAAACTTCATAACGATGCAATTTCAGCACCACCTCCGATAACTGAAGTCGTACCAGTACGAAACCCGTGTGTACCGTCACCCTGTGGACCAAACTCTGAATGCAGAGACATCGGAGGCAACCCATCTTGCTCTTGTTTACCCACTTTTGTAGGCAGTCCACCAAATTGCAAACCCGAATGTACCATAAATCCCGAATGCCCCAGTAATTTAGCTTGTATCCGAGAAAAATGTAGAGATCCTTGCCCCGGGTCTTGTGGCGCTGGTGCCCAATGTAGTGTTATAAATCACACCCCGATTTGCTCCTGCCCGGATGGATACACCGGAGATCCTTTCTCTTATTGTCAAGTGAGACCACAAGTGCTTGAATTACCCCCGCCAGATCCATGCAACCCATCTCCATGTGGAGCTAACGCTCGTTGTGACAACGGACAGTGTACTTGTTTGCCAGAGTATCAAGGTGACCCTTACAGAGGCTGTAGGCCAGAATGTGTTCTAAACAGCGACTGTTCACGAGACCGAGCTTGCATACGCAATAAATGTACAGATCCATGCCCTGGAACGTGTGGTGAAAACGCCGAGTGTTCGGTGATCAACCACATACCAATTTGTTCTTGTATCACAGGATACATAGGAAATGCCTTTATCCGTTGCTCCCCTATTCCGCGTACGTATAAAAACATTTTTTACGAAATTCGAATACAGTTGTGTTCTTGTAGCACCTGCTGTAACGAACCCATGCGCACCATCACCTTGCGGACCTAACAGTCAGTGTAGAGCAATAAATGACCAAGCAGTTTGTTCATGCGTACCTGGTTACATCGGAAGTCCTCCCACTTGCCGACCTGAATGTGTCACGAGTTCCGAGTGTTCTCTAGATAAGTCATGCGTTAATCAAAAGTGCATAGATCCCTGCCCTGGAACCTGCGGTCTTAACGCCCTCTGCCAAGTCGTCAATCATAACCCGATATGTAGCTGCCGATCCGGACTAACCGGAGATCCGTTCACCAGATGCGCCCCAATTGGTACGATTTACGCAAAGTCCGTAGAGAAAGTATAAATTTTTCTCTTGTAGTTGTGCCCCAGGAGGAGGAACCACAAAACCCTTGTACACCTTCACCCTGCGGACCCAATTCTCAGTGCAAAGAAATTAACGGTTCGCCGTCTTGCTCTTGTTTACCCGAATTTACAGGATCGCCTCCAAACTGTAGACCCGAATGCGTCAGTAACAGCGAATGTCCAAACCACTTAGCTTGTACGAATCAAAAATGTAGAGATCCTTGCCCAGGTTTATGCGGATCGAACGCAGAGTGCCGTGTTATAAGCCACACCCCAAATTGCGTGTGCTTACCCGGTTACGTCGGCGACCCATTTTCACGCTGTAATTTACCCACACGTAAGCCATTACGATACGTTTTTATATTAGCTGCTCGCAAACCAATACGATCATCATGCTTAATACTAATCACATAACAATTTAACGCCATCACACCCCAAACGTTGACCAATACTGATTACATTTCAGCTTCGCCCGTCGAAAATATCTTGCCTTGTTCTCCGTCACCCTGTGGTGCTAATGCCGTTTGTAAAGAACGCAATGGAGCCGGGTCGTGTACTTGCTTGCCCGATTACATTGGCAACCCTTACGAGGGCTGCAGACCCGAGTGCGTTTTGAACACCGACTGTCCCTCCAACAAAGCCTGCGTCAGAAATAAATGTACTGACCCCTGCCCTGGAACTTGCGGCCAAAACGCGGAGTGTCACGTTGTTAACCACTTGCCCCAGTGCACGTGCATCCCAGGATATACCGGAGACCCGTTCCGGTATTGCAACATACCTCCAGAACGTAAGCCCTCCACTCACTTAGACTTCTCGTTAATAACGCATGCGCATACAGCCCCTAAACAAGAAGAACCGACAAACCCGTGTCAGCCGAGCCCTTGCGGACCCAACAGCCAATGTCGCGAAGTCAACAAACAAGCGGTTTGTTCGTGCCTGCCCGAATACATGGGATCTCCGCCGAACTGCAGACCCGAATGCGTGGTCAGTTCGGAATGCCCACTTACGAAAGCCTGCGTAAACCAAAAGTGTGTGGACCCTTGCCCCGGTACTTGCGGCCTTAATGCCAGATGCGAAGTGATCAACCATAGCCCGATCTGTAGCTGCCAGTCGGGTTACACCGGCGACCCGTTCACTAGATGTTTCCCCATTCCACGTAAGCGTTTTGGTAGTGTCCTACAACTAAAGGTAACACGTTGTCGTTATAGCACCACCAGTAGAACCTGAACGGCCTGTAGTTACCGACCCTTGCGTGCCATCACCTTGTGGCGCGAACAGTCAATGCCGAAATATAGGTGGTTCGCCATCATGCTCTTGTCTCCCAGAATTTACAGGAAGCCCACCCAACTGTCGCCCAGAATGTACCATTAATCCCGAATGCTCCAGCAATTTGGCTTGTATAAGACAAAAATGTAGAGACCCATGCCCCGGTTCTTGCGGCTCAGGAGCTCAATGCAGCGTCATAAACCACACACCCATTTGCACGTGTCCTGAAGGATACACAGGAGACCCGTTCACGTACTGCCAACCCAAACCGCAAGAAATCGAACCTGTTAAAACCGACCCATGCAACCCATCACCTTGTGGACCCAATGCTCGTTGTGATAACGGCGCGTGTACATGTTTGCCCGAATACCAAGGAGATCCTTACCGAGGGTGCAGACCAGAATGCGTCCTCAGCACTGATTGCCCTAGAGACAAAGCTTGTATAAGAAATAAATGCCAAGATCCTTGCCCTGGCACTTGTGGCCAAAATGCCGAATGTGCCGTTATAAATCATATCCCGACATGTACGTGCATACAAGGTTATTCCGGAAATGCTTTCGTTTTGTGTTCACCAATTCCAGGTAACTGTGTAACCCGTCGCGTTTTCTTTTTTAACTTGTCGTTTTAGCACCGGTCCCTGTTAATCCTTGCAGTCCTTCACCGTGTGGACCTAACAGCCAATGCCGCGAAGTGAACGGTCAAGCCGTTTGCTCTTGCGTCCCTGGATTCATAGGAACTCCACCAACTTGTCGACCCGAATGTGTTACTAGTTCAGAGTGTTCCCTTAATCAAGCTTGTATTAACCAAAAATGTATCGATCCTTGTCCCGGAACTTGCGGAATTGGAGCTGTTTGCCAGGTGGTTAGTCACAACCCTATTTGTAGCTGCCCTCCAAGACACACAGGAGATCCTTTCACGAGATGTTCACCAATCAGAGGTAGAATTCCATTTTTTCGTTATAGAAACGAGCTTCATTATGCGAAATTCTAGAAGAGCCACCCGTTGTTCCAACAAACCCTTGTCAGCCCACACCTTGTGGTGCCAACAGCCAGTGCAGAGACGTCGGTGGTTCTCCATCATGCTCTTGCCTCCCTGAATTCATAGGAAGCCCACCCAACTGTCGCCCTGAATGCGTCAGTAACAGCGAATGCGCCAATCACTTGGCTTGCATCAATCAAAAGTGTAAAGACCCCTGTCCTGGAACTTGTGGCCAAAACGCAGAATGCAGAGTCGTGAGTCACTCACCCAACTGTGTTTGCATTTCTGGTTATGTAGGAAACCCGTTCACATCATGTTCACCTCAAAGTATGTCCATCTTTTTTTTTTTGTAAGTACCCATCCAACATAATTTATTCGCAGTGACTCCGCCGATTGTCGAAAGACCCACCCCTTGCTTGCCTTCCCCGTGCGGCGTCAACGCCATCTGTCGCGAACAAAACGGCGCAGGAGCTTGCATTTGTCAACCCGAACACGTCGGAAACCCTTACGAAGGCTGCAGACCCGAGTGTGTTCTCAACTCTGACTGTCCATCAAACAAAGCTTGCGTGAACCAAAAATGTAAAGACCCGTGCCCGGGAACATGTGGTCAAAACGCCCAGTGTCAAGTTATCAATCATTTACCGTCCTGTACTTGCATACCTGGTTACACCGGAGATCCGTTCAGATTCTGCAATTTACCACAACAACGTAAGAATTTTCGTGTTACGATTCCCTCAGTTCTAATGTCTTCCCAACAGCTGTAATTGAAGAAACGCCCACGAACCCTTGCCAACCTAGTCCTTGTGGCCCCAACAGTCAGTGCCGTGAGGTTAACAGTCAAGCGGTGTGCTCTTGTTTGCCAAATTACGTAGGAAGTCCTCCAGGATGCAGACCTGAGTGCGTGGTTAGCTCGGAATGTGCGCAAACTAAAGCTTGCGTTAACCAAAAATGCGTCGACCCTTGTCCTGGTACTTGCGGTTTGAACGCTAAATGCCAGGTTATCAATCACAGTCCCATATGTAGTTGTCAGTCGAGCTATACCGGTGATCCATTCACTAGATGTTATCCGATACCACGTAAGCGGTCAATTTTTGAGTTTTTTTTGGTTTTGTGACGAGAATCTTTTAGCGCCTCCAGTTGAACCTCAACCCGTACCAAGTAATCCGTGTGTGCCCTCACCATGCGGCCCCAACAGTCAATGCAGAGATATAGGCGGTGCACCATCATGTTCTTGCCTCAATAATTATATAGGAAATCCACCGAACTGTCGTCCGGAATGTAGCATCAATTCAGAATGCTCGAGTAACTTGGCTTGTATTAGAGAGAAATGTAGAGACCCGTGTCCGGGATCTTGCGGTGCGAACGCACGATGTGAAGTTATCAATCATACTCCGACTTGTACATGTCCGGAAGGATTTACGGGAGATCCGTTCACTAATTGTTATCCAAAACCACCAGAAGAACCCCCTGCTCCGAAAGACCCATGCAACCCGTCTCCATGTGGTGCTAACGCTCAGTGCGACAACGGTATATGCACGTGCCTACCCGAATATCAAGGAGATCCATACAGAGGGTGTAGACCTGAGTGCGTACTCAATAACGATTGCCCCAGAGACAAAGCTTGCATCAGAAGCAAGTGTAAAGACCCCTGTCCCGGAACTTGCGGCCAAAACGCCGAATGTAGCGTTATTAATCACATCCCGACCTGTACTTGCATACAAGGATACATCGGAAACGCTTTTGTCCTCTGCTCTCCTATACCATCGGAAACACCTAAGAACCCGTGCAGTCCATCTCCGTGCGGCCCCAACAGCCAGTGTAGAGAAATCAACAACCAAGCTGTCTGTTCGTGCGTACCAGGTTTCATTGGCAGCCCACCAACTTGTCGCCCTGAATGTATCTCAAGCCCAGAATGTTCCCTCAATGAGGCTTGCGTAAACCAGAAATGTATAGACCCTTGTCCTGGAACCTGCGGCATAAACGCTAGATGTCAAGTAGTCAACCACAACCCGATTTGTAGTTGTCCGCAAGGCCAAACCGGTGACCCGTTCACGAGATGCTCCATCATTATCGAAGAACCTCCAGTGGTTCCCGCAAACCCGTGCCAACCTTCACCCTGCGGCGCTAACGCTCAGTGCAGAGAAGTAGGCGGTGCTCCGTCCTGCTCCTGCTTGCCTGAATTTATTGGAACTCCACCTAACTGCAGACCCGAGTGTGTCAGTAACAGCGAATGTGCGAACAACTTGGCCTGCATTAACCAAAAATGTAAAGACCCGTGCCCCGGAAGCTGCGGAGCTAACGCCGAATGCCGAGTTATCAGTCACACTCCCAACTGCGTATGCGTACCAGGTTACGAAGGAAATCCTTTCGTGCAATGCCTACAGAGAGTAGTCCCTCCGGTGGAAACCAGACCGACGCCTTGTGTCCCTTCACCTTGTGGTACTAATGCGGTGTGTAGAGAACAAAACGGAGCCGGAGCCTGCTCGTGTCTTCCTGAATACGTTGGTAACCCGTATGAGGGTTGTCGCCCAGAATGTACTCTCAATTCTGACTGTCCTTCAAACAAAGCCTGTATCAAGAACAAGTGTTTGGATCCTTGTCCAGGAACTTGCGGTCTAAATGCAGACTGTCAAGTGATTAATCATTTGCCATCGTGTACTTGCAGAACAGGATACACCGGCGATCCATTCCGTTATTGCAACGTAGCGCCTCAACCCAGTAAGATTCTCCGTGACAGTTTTTTCAACGATTCTAACTTTATCTTAATTTAGCAATCGAAGAAGAACCTAAGAATCCATGCCAACCTAGCCCTTGTGGTCCTAACAGTCAATGCCGCGAAGTAAACGGACAAGCTGTTTGTTCGTGCCTTCCTAACTATTCCGGAAGTCCCCCTGGATGCAGACCTGAGTGTGTCGTGAGCTCCGAATGCCCCCAAAATAAAGCTTGCGTGAATCAAAAGTGTGTTGACCCTTGCCCAGGCACGTGCGGCCTTAACGCTGGATGCCAAGTGATAAACCACAGTCCCATATGTAGTTGCCAGTCGGGTTACACCGGAGATCCGTTTACCAGATGCTTCCCTCTACCACGTAAGACACCGAAGGCTTGTCGAAAAATAAATTACAGCCAAATTTTTAGCTCCCCCTGTAGAACCTACGAAGCCGACCGTCTTTAATCCTTGCGTGCCCAGTCCGTGCGGTCCCAATTCTCAGTGTAGAGACGTGGGAGGCGTACCATCCTGTTCTTGTTTAAATAACTTTGTAGGAAGTCCACCCAACTGTAGACCAGAGTGTACCATTAACCCAGAGTGTTCGAGCAACTTGGCTTGCATACGCGAAAAATGTAGAGATCCCTGTCCCGGTTCTTGCGGATCTGGTGCTCAATGCAGTGTTATCAATCACACTCCAATCTGTACATGCCCCGAAGGTTACACAGGTGATCCGTTTAATTATTGCCAACCAAAACCACCAGAAGTTGAACCCACTAAAACCGACCCATGCAATCCTTCTCCTTGCGGCGCAAACGCCCAATGCAACAACGGAATATGCACCTGTTTACCAGAATACCAAGGAGACCCTTACAGAGGTTGCAGACCCGAGTGTGTCTTAAACAGCGACTGCCCGAGAGACAAAGCATGTATAAGAAATAAATGCACAGATCCTTGTCCGGGCACTTGTGGCCAAAACGCAGAATGTGCTGTCATAAATCACATCCCTACTTGCTCTTGTATTCAGGGTTATATAGGAAATGCATTCGTACTGTGCACACGCATCCCAGGTAAAACTTCGTTACCTCATTGTCCAATTTTATTTTCACCGCAACATTTTAGAACCCGAATCGAAGAACCCTTGCAGTCCGTCACCCTGCGGACCTAACAGTCAGTGCAGAGAAATCAACGGCCAAGCTGTCTGTTCGTGTGTTGTTGGCTACATCGGTAGTCCCCCTACTTGCAGACCCGAATGTATCACAAGTTCCGAATGTTCCCTGAACGAGGCGTGCGTTAATCAAAAATGTATCGATCCCTGCCCCGGAACGTGCGGATTGAACGCTAGATGTCAAGTTGTAAATCACAATCCGATATGCAGTTGTCCACCCAAATACACCGGAGATCCTTTCACGCGGTGTTCCCCGATTAAAGAAGAACCACCAGTCGTTCCCACAAACCCGTGCCAACCATCACCTTGCGGCCCCAACTCGCAGTGTAAAGACATCAACGGATCACCGTCATGTTCTTGTTTACCTGAATTTATCGGGACACCACCCAGCTGCAGACCCGAGTGCGTCAGTAACAGCGAATGTTCCAACTCTTTGGCGTGCATCAACAACAAATGTAAAGACCCATGTCCTGGAATTTGCGGCCAAAACGCCGAATGTCGGGTCGTCAGTCACACGCCCAACTGTGTTTGCATTCAAGGCTACGTCGGAAACCCGTTCAGCAGTTGTCAACCGTATGAAACCCCTAAACCCGCGACTCCGTCCAATCCTTGCTTCCCTTCACCGTGTGGCGCTAACGCTATTTGTCAACAGCGAAACGACGCCGGCTCTTGCACCTGTATTCCAGATTACATCGGTAACCCCTACGAAGGTTGCAGGCCTGAATGTGTGTTGAGCACGGATTGTCCTTCCAATAAAGCTTGCATCCGAAACAAATGTATGGACCCTTGCCCCGGCACTTGCGGCCAAAACGCAGAATGTCAAGTTATCAACCACTTGGCCTCTTGTACTTGTATCCCAGGTTACACCGGCGATCCTTTCAGATTTTGCAACGTAATTCCACCAACTGAAAGTAAGAACGCGCTTTAAATCATCGATTATACCTACAACTCAACATTTACAGCTGTGAAACAACCGACGAACCCGTGTCAGCCAAACCCTTGCGGCCCCAACAGTCAATGCCGCGAAGTTAATGAACAAGCGGTTTGTTCTTGTTTACCAAATTACATAGGAAGTCCACCTGGGTGCCGACCTGAGTGTGTCGTTAGTTCCGAGTGTGCCTTAACCAAAGCTTGTTCGAACCAGAAATGTGTTGACCCTTGTCCCGGAACTTGCGGAGTAAACGCTAGATGTGAAGTTATTAACCACAGTCCCATTTGTAGCTGCCAGTCAGGTCACACCGGCGATCCTTTCACTAGATGTTACCCACAACCACGTAAGAACGCCGTCGCTTGTTTCGTACTTGTCAAAACATGTCACAATTTTAGCACCCAAAACCGAATCACCACCAGTTCCCGTTAACCCGTGTGTTCCTTCACCTTGCGGACCGCATTCCATCTGCCAAGATATTAACGGTTCACCATCTTGCTCGTGTGTGGCAAGCTACATCGGCACACCCCCCAACTGTAGACCAGAATGTAGCATCAACTCCGAATGTCCGAGTAACTTGGCTTGCATCCGCGAAAAGTGTAGAGATCCCTGCCCGGGATCTTGCGGTAGCAACGCTCACTGTAGCGTTATCAACCACACCCCTATTTGCACATGTCCAGAGTCTTACACAGGCAACCCGTTCGAATATTGTGTGTTCAAAGTTCAAAAGACGCCGCCCCCTCCTGCGGACCCATGTAATCCATCACCGTGCGGCGCAAACGCTCAATGCAACAACGGCATCTGCACCTGTTTGCCTGAGTATCAAGGCGATCCTTACCGAGGATGTAGACCCGAATGTGTTCTCAACACCGACTGTTCTAGAGATAAGGCGTGCGTTCGAAACAAGTGTATAGACCCTTGCCCAGGCACCTGCGGTCAAAACGCTGAATGCGCGGTCATTAACCACATAGCCACTTGTTCGTGCATTCAAGGCTACACCGGCAATGCGTTCGTACTTTGCTCCCAAATACCAGGTAAAATTTGAAAATTGTTTCAAAACGAATTTACTGATTCTTTCGTGGCAGCTCGAATTCCACAAAATCCATGCAACCCGTCACCTTGCGGACCCAACAGTCAATGCAGAGAGATTAACGGACAAGCTGTATGTTCGTGTGTGCTCGGTTTTAGCGGAAGCCCACCGACTTGTAGACCCGAGTGTGTGCAAAACTCGGAGTGTTCCCTAACACAAGCCTGTGTCAATCAAAAATGTATCGACCCTTGCCCTGGAACGTGCGGATTGAACGGTAGATGCGAAGTTAGAAACCATAATCCGATTTGTAGTTGTCCGGTTAGATACACAGGCGATCCGTTTGTCAGATGTCTACCCATTAGTAAGTCTTCAAGCTTGTGAATTGTGGTCACTTTAACACCAATTCTATTACAGTCGAACCACCTGCTCCACCAGTCAATCCTTGCCAACCTTCACCTTGCGGACCGAACGCACAATGCAAAGAAATAAACGGTTCGCCCTCTTGCTCTTGCTTGCCAGAATTTATAGGTTCCGCGCCCAATTGTCGACCTGAGTGTGTCAGTAACAGCGAATGTTCGAATCATCTTGCTTGCATTAACCAAAAATGTAGAGATCCGTGCCCTGGCACTTGCGGACAGAACGCCGAATGTCGAGTCATCAGTCATACACCCAATTGCGTTTGCATCGTTGGCTTTTCGGGTAATCCGTTCCAAAGGTGTATTAAAGCAGAAGGTACTTAATCTCGTCATCGCTATATGTGTGTTTACGACGTATGCCATTTTAGAACCGAGACCCCCAGCAGCAAATCAAATAAATCCATGCGTGCCTTCTCCTTGCGGAGCAAACGCGCTCTGCAAAGAACGCAACAATGCTGGCTCGTGCGTTTGTTTGCCCGAATACATTGGCAATCCTTACGAAGGATGCCGACCCGAATGTGTCCTCAACAGTGACTGTCCTTCGAACAAAGCTTGTATTAACCAGAAATGTAGAGACCCTTGTCCTGGCACGTGCGGGCAAAACGCTGATTGCCAGGTTATCAACCATTTACCGTCGTGTACCTGCATCCCTGGTTTTACGGGCGATCCTTTCAGATATTGTAATAGAATTCCTCCTGAAGAAGGTGAGTTGAGTGTTAAGACGCGTACTTTTTTGTGACGAGCTTCTTGTAGAGCCTAAAACTCCTGCACACCCTTGCCAACCCAGCCCTTGCGGGCCCAACAGTCAATGTCGCGAAGTTAACGAACAAGCCGTTTGTTCTTGCCTCCCTAATTACGTAGGAAGTCCACCGGGATGTAGACCGGAATGTGTGGTCAGCTCCGAGTGTCCTCTCACGCAAGCGTGCCTTAATCAAAAGTGTGTCGACCCTTGCCCTGGAACTTGCGGTGTTAGCGCTAGGTGTGAAGTTATCAATCACAGTCCTATTTGTAGCTGCGAACAAGGTTACACCGGCGATCCGTTCACAAGATGCTACCCAATTCCACGTAAATGCGTAACTTCATTTAATCAAAAGGTGCCTAACCGTGCTCTTACAGCTCCACCGCCGACACCAACGACGCCACCTGTAATAAATCCTTGCGTTCCATCACCTTGTGGACCGAACTCACAGTGTCGAAACGTCGGAGACTCTCCTTCGTGCTCATGCTTGCCTAACTTCTTAGGAAGTCCCCCCAACTGTAGACCGGAATGTACGATTAACTCTGAGTGTCCAAGCAATCTGGCTTGCATTAATAGTAAATGTAGAGACCCTTGTCCCGGATCTTGTGGCATCAATGCCCTTTGCGAAGTGAGAAACCACAATCCCAATTGTAGGTGTCCGTCGGGTTACGAAGGCGATTCATTCATTTCGTGTTATCCGAGACCAGCTCCACCGCAACGTAAGATTTCATCACATTCACAACAATTATTTTGTCACAATGACGATTGCAGCGCCACCAAAAACTGACCCTTGTTATCCAAACCCTTGTGGACCAAACGCCCAATGTAACGGAGGTGTCTGCACTTGCATACCCGAGTATCAAGGTGACCCCTATAGAGAATGTCGACCCGAATGTCTTCGAAACACGGACTGCCCTCGTGATAAGGCCTGCGTTAGAAATAAATGTATAGACCCTTGCCCAGGAACGTGCGGAGTTAACGCTGAATGCAACGTTTTCAATCACTTCCCATCTTGTAATTGCTTGGAAGGATACAAGGGAGATCCTTTCGTTAACTGTCGTAAAGTCGAACGTAAGAAATAACCCTTGAGCGTCTGCAGTGTTCTATAATCTTTAATAATTATAGATCTGCCTCCGCAAGACCCATGCAACCCGTCTCCTTGCGGCCCCAACAGTCAATGTCGCGAAATAAACGGCCAAGCCATTTGTTCTTGCCTTATTGGCTACATCGGTAGCCCTCCGTCTTGCAGACCAGAGTGCGTAAGTAGCTCCGATTGCGAGCTCAACAAAGCTTGCATCAATCAAAAATGCGTCGACCCTTGCCCCGGAACTTGCGGTATCCGCGCTCTATGCCAAGTCATCAACCACAACCCCATCTGTACGTGCCCACCACAGTACACCGGCGATCCCTTCATACAGTGTAAAGTCATAATCGGTACGTTACCTCTTCCTTGAAACTAAAGTCAACTCTAAACTCATTTTACAAAACAGTGAAAGTGGAACCAGTCGAAAAACCAAGAGATCCCTGCGTTCCTTCACCGTGCGGCCCCAATGCTCAATGCGAACCCACCCCCGCCGGAACTGCCAAATGTACTTGCATTCCGAAATATATCGGAGCCCCACCAAATTGCAGACCCGAGTGTCTGACCAATAACGACTGCTCGAAAGACTTAGCTTGTATCAACTTAAAATGTCAAGACCCCTGCCCTGGTTCGTGTGGAATTAACGCTCGTTGTATCGTTGTCAACCATGTACCTAACTGTTTGTGTTTGGATAACTATGTAGGAGATCCTTTCACTATATGCACAGTAAAACCAAGTAAGCACTAAACTTTTGCATGTCCAAACATTGGTCTTCGTCGATACTGATACCGTTGTTTTGTTTAGCACCGACACCACCACCACGAGCTAAGGAAGACCCGTGCTATCCATCGCCGTGTGGACCCAACGCGAGATGCCGCGCAGAAAACGGTTACGCAATTTGCGAATGCCTGCCAGAATACCACGGAAATCCGTACGAAAACTGCAGACCAGAGTGCTTAAGTAACTCCGACTGTCCAATGAACAGAGCGTGCATCAGAAACAAATGTGAAGACCCGTGTCCCGGCACGTGTGGAATTAACGCCATCTGTACCGTCACAAATCACGTACCCGTCTGTTCTTGCCCCGACAGGTACAACGGAGACGCCTTTAGACTCTGTACCCCGATAATCGGTAAGTTATTTCACTCACTTGAAGAGAGTGTCACATTTCGAAATTCTAGAACCGCCAGTTGCCGACCCGTGCAACCCGTCCCCTTGCGGTATTAACACCGTGTGCCGTGTATCCGGCCAAAACGCCATCTGCGAATGTTTGCCAGGCTTCTTCGGAACGGCTTCCGCCGGCGGCTGTCGCCCAGAATGTACCATCAGCGCCGACTGTCCAAGAGACAAAGCTTGCGTCAACACCAAGTGTGTCGACCCATGCCCCGGCGTCTGTGGCTTCAATGCAATTTGCCAAGTCATCAACCACAGCCCGGTCTGTAGCTGTCCGCCGCCGCTCTTAGGAGATCCGTTCACGCTATGCAGAGAACAAGCCCCAGAACCGCCATCCGACCCTTGCAACCCTTCGCCTTGTCGCCTCAATGGCCAATGCCGCGTCATCAACGGCGTCGCCAGCTGCATTTACCCCGAATGTATCATCAACCAAGATTGTCCACGAGACAAAGCGTGCTACAACCAGAAGTGCAAAGATCCCTGTCGCGACTCATGCGGCATTAACGCTCTCTGTCAAGCTATCAACCACAAGGCCGTCTGCACCTGTCCCCCTAACTACGTGGGTTCGCCGGAAGTCCAATGTCGCTTACGCGACGTAGTAGTCCCCAGACCCAAACCCGAGTGCGTCCAGGACTCCCACTGTACCAACGATAAAGCGTGCATTAACGAACACTGCCTGAACCCTTGTCTCGTCTCGCCTGGTATATGCGGCGAAAACGCCGAGTGTCGTCCACAGGCCCATCGCGCGGTGTGCATCTGCAGGGACGGCTACACCGGTAACGCGCAAAGAGCGTGCTTCGAAATCGGATGCCGATCTGACAGCGACTGTCCGCCTATCCAGGCGTGTATCAACCGGGAATGCGTCGACCCTTGCACGTTCACCTCGTGCGGACTCAACGCACTCTGCAAAGCCGACTCAAATCATAAAGCGCGCTGCTACTGCCCGGATAACTTCAGAGGTAATCCACTGATCAGGTGCGAGAGACCGGAGTGTCTGCGCGACGACGACTGTCCCTATAACCTGGCCTGCCGAAACGAAAGATGCGAAGATCCGTGCAACTGTGGAGCTGGAGCGGTTTGTCGGGTGGATAACCACAGGGCTCAGTGCTCTTGTCCGCCGGGTTACACCGGAAACCCCATCAGCGAATGTCGCTTCGTGCCACCAGAAAAGCCACCCCAATGTAAGATGGACGCTGACTGTGCCAGCAAACTTGCTTGCTTCAGCGGAGTTTGTAAGAATCCTTGTGTGGAGACCAAGCCTTGCGGAGCTAATGCGGAGTGTTCTGTGGTGGATACGCTACCGCTGAGGACCATGTCGTGTCTGTGCTTGCCGGGCTACGTAGGTGATGCAGATGTAGAATGTAGACCAGGTAAACAATGTTCTCGCCTCGTGTTGACTACGACTAATAAACGACAAAGCTTCATTTTCAGGTTACCTATCCCTAATTCCTTATAATTCCGTAATTAATCTCGTAACAGCAACACGCATTTTAATTTAACTTCCCCCGGTTATTCTCAATTCAAACTGATTTTGACTTGTCATAGGTACTAAAGAAGAACCGGGTTGTAAGACCCACGACGAATGCTCTCTCAGCGAAGTTTGCATCAACAGAAACTGCGTGAATCCGTGCGCGGTAGGAAACCCGTGTGCGTTAACGGCAGAATGTAAACCCACCAATCACAAAGCCGTGTGTAGATGTCCATCAGGCCTCGCCGGAAATCCATTCATTAGATGTTACGAAGGTAATCCTTCTCGTGCACCCTCTTCAAATTAATAAATCACCAATGATTCCAGAACCCAAGATCAAACCCGAATGTACTTCGGATGGCGAATGTTCCAACGACAAATCCTGTATCAACCAACGCTGCCAAGACCCGTGCGTTGTGTCCAACCCATGCGGAACCAACGCCCAGTGCCGAACCAGCGTACACCGACCCACATGTCTTTGTCCAGACGGTTGGGGCGGAAATCCACAAATCGTCTGCTACAAAGGTAAGTCCTTCGTACCCGCATCACCGCCAACTCACGTCTTCTTCGTTTCTAGCCGAATGTACCACCAACAACGACTGTCCCTACAACAAAGCCTGCATCAACGAAAACTGCGCTGACCCGTGCATATCCCAGAGCTGCGGCCGCGGTGCTGAGTGTCTCGTCCAGAACCACAGAGCGTCGTGTCAGTGTCCAGCCGGTATGCAAGGAAACCCCTTGGTGGCTTGCATCGCTGGTATTTGCCAATACAACGAAGACTGCGCTGATCACGAAGCCTGTGACCGTCTCAACAGAGTGTGTAGACCGGTTTGCGACGAAGACAGTTGCGCGGACACGGCCACCTGCGTGGGCCAGCAACATCAGCCCAAGTGTACTTGTCCGCCTGGAACAACTGGAAGTCCGTTCGTGGAGTGCAGAGGTGCTGTAATTCCAGAACCGGAATGTCGTGCAGACTCAGACTGTCCCTCGCAACTGGCATGCATCAACCAGCTATGTAAAAATCCATGCGCTAATGCGGACATTTGCTCCCGAGACCAGGAATGTAGGGTATTGGACACGCTGCCGCTGCGAACGGTACTGTGTCAATGTCCGGCGGACACCATCGCCGACCATGTGGGCAACTGTAAACCTATACGAGCTGAACCGGAGTGCCGAGTCGACTCGGACTGCAGCGACAGCGAGAAATGTCTCAGGAGTAGTTGCGTTGAAGCTTGCAGGGTGGATACTTGCGGAGTTAACGCTTTATGTAACTCGCTTCATCATCAAGCGGTGTGCACGTGTGCTCCTGGATACACCGGAAACCCTCACTACGAGTGCACTAACGGTAAGTACTTTGCACGGTGGCGATTTCGAATGTTTAAGCGTGTTTTTTAGTTCCAAGACAACCACCGAGGCCCATCGCTGAGTGCTACACCGACAGCGACTGTTCGTACGACAAGACATGCAGAAACGACGTTTGTGTTAATCCATGTGTGAATGACAAACCGTGTGCAGTAGGGGCTTTCTGCTCCGTCGACAACCACAAAGCTAAGTGTAACTGCCCAGCCGGATATATAGGCAATCCTGTGATTGAATGCATACCGCGTGAGTATTTTCACCTTCCTCCGTGACCAGTAGTACATCGATTTTGTTTTTTAGCAACGGGTCCAACCGTCGGTTGTACTTCCAACTCTCAGTGCGCCCAGAGTGAATCCTGCGTCAACTCCTTGTGCGTCAGTCCTTGCAATTGCGGTTCCCACGCCGACTGCAGAGTCGTCAACCACTACCCGATCTGCTATTGTCTGCCTGGTTATTCCGGAAACCCACAAACCGGTTGCGTTAAACGTAAGACCGTACCTCAGCCCACCTCTCCCGATTTAACTCTGTTGTTTCAGTGGGTTGCCAATCTGACAATGAATGCAGCAACGACAAACAGTGCTACAACGGCCAATGTATCAATCCTTGTATCTTGGGAGATCCGTGTGCAAGAAACGCCGAATGCTACGGCAGCAACCACAAAGCGGCTTGCAAGTGTCCACCGGGTTACTCCGGAAACCCATTCGACCGTTGCCAACGCGTCGAATGTCACACGGATACCGACTGTCCCAATAATCGGGCTTGCATTGAAGAACGCTGCGTCGATCCTTGCTCGAACATCGCAAACCCGCCGTGCGCCCAAAATGCTATCTGCTATGCCCAAAATCACGCAGCCGGTTGCTTGTGTCCCTCACACTTGCCCGAAGGCAACCCGTTATCGTACTGTATGGCTCCAGCTCTGGTTCCAGGGCGGCCCGAGTGCGAACTCGACGTGGACTGTCCCAGTAAGCTGGCGTGCATCCAGAACAAATGTGTCAACCCGTGTGAAACGCTGTCACCGTGCCACCGCACGGCTCACTGTAGCGTCCTGGATACGATACCAGTGCGTACCATGATTTGCACATGTCCGGAAGGATGGGTTCCTAACGATAATGGTGAATGTCACGCCGTCGTGGTACCGATTCCTCCGGGATGCACCTCCGACAACGACTGCCCCAGCAATGAAGCTTGTATTAACCGATTATGTCGCAACCCTTGCGACTGTGGCACGCATGCGGCTTGCTATGTCCAGAACCACCGACCTATTTGTTCCTGCGAAGAAGGTTACGAGGGTAATCCTAACATAGCATGTCGTCAAGTGGGTTGCAGAATCGACTCCGAATGCGAATCTGGAAAATCGTGCATCAATGGCAACTGCATCAACCCTTGTCTCGTTAAGGATCCTTGTGGAATCAACGCCGAATGTTTTGTCTACCAGAACCGCGCCGAATGTCGCTGTCGCAGCGGCTACCGCGGAAATCCCTTGGAAAGATGTCGTGTGGTCGGTTGCACCTCCAACAGCGACTGTCCTGGCGATAGACAATGCATCAACGCCCAGTGTATTAACCCTTGCGTCTATGACAACCCGTGCTCACCTAGAGCGGAATGCCGCGTCCAGAACCACATGTCTCTATGTAGGTGCCCTAGTGGATACATCGGCAACCCTTACGTCGACTGTAGAAGAGAACCCCAACCCGAGTGCCGAGAAGATAGCGAATGTCCAACAAAACTCGCTTGTATTAATAAGAAATGCCAAGACCCTTGCGCCATCCTCGAACCCTGTCAACGCCCGGCCGAGTGTCAAGTCGTGGGTTCGGTACCTGTGAGGACGATGATCTGCGTATGCCCCCCTGGTTACATCAGTAGTGGCAGCGGCACCTGCAACCCGGTCACCGCCATCGTGACCGTAGGTGCCTGCGTCAGCGACAGCGAATGTCCCGCTGACAAGGCCTGCTTCAACGGCATCTGCAAGAACCCGTGCAACTGCGGTCCCTTCGCCGACTGCCGCGTCAAGAACCACAAGCCCGTGTGCACATGCAAACAGGGCTACGACGGCAACCCCGAGATCGAGTGCACGAGGGTCGGCTGCAGAAGCGACGACGACTGCTCGGGCCAGCACAGCTGTGTTAACCGGCAGTGCGTCCCGGTGTGCGCCGCCGATCGCTCCTCCTGCGGAGAGAAGGCCACTTGCTACGGTTTGAACCACAGAGCGGTGTGCGAATGTCCTCCTGGACTCGTCGGCAACGCCAAGATCTCCTGCATTTTGGTGGGCTGCCGCTCTGATACCGAGTGTCCGGGTAACCGTGCCTGCGTCAACAACAAATGCGAGGATCCTTGTGTCGCCTCCAACCCTTGCGAAGCTCCAGGAGAATGTAAAGTCTTCAACCACGCGGTGGAATGCGCGTGTCCTCCGGGCACGGTCAGCGACGGCAACTTGGGTTGCATGACGGTGGAAGAGAAGTGTCGCAAAGATTCGGAATGCCCGTCGCAATTCGCCTGCATCGGAGGAGAGTGTGTTAACCCGTGCACGTCCACGCAGCCTTGCGGAGTCAACGCCGAGTGCCGCGTGTTGGAAACGGAGCCCGTGAAAACGATGATCTGCGAGTGTTTGCCTGGCTTCCAAGGAAACGCAGCAGTTCAATGCGACAAAAGTAAGCTCTTTAGATTGAAACGACTTGTAGTAATATTGGGTTTTCAGTGGCGTGTTGGACCAACAAAGGTTTCGTCACCACTCCCGACGGTAAATGCGAATGCCCGCCCAACTCTGCCCTCAACGACGACAACGAATGTATTCCTTGTCTCGAAGAGAAAGGTCTGAAAATAGACGAGCGCGGCCACTGCGTCTGCGCCCTCGAGAAAGGTCTCATCATAGACGAACGCGGCAACTGCGTGTGTCCAATAGAATTCGGTTACCGACTCGACAGCCGCGGTAACTGCATCTCTCCACCTGGAGCCGAATGCGAAACGGACGACCAGTGTGCCGACGACAAATTCTGCAACCCCGAAACTAAAACTTGTCAGAATCCTTGCTTGCACAAGCAGTGCGGCGTCAACGCTTTCTGTAACGCCACCAACCACATCGCCACTTGTCAATGCATCGCGGAGTACAGCGGAGATCCTAAAGTCGCATGCAGTACGTCCTCGGTTCGCGTTTGTATCTCTTTTGGTAACACGAGAAGTTTCAGGTCCTCCGTCCAGGTTCAAGACAGACTTCCCGCCACCGGTGCTGCGCGTCAGCTGCATGTCCGACGGCGTCCACGTCGAAATCAACATCGAAGAACAAGGATTTAACGGCGTTCTTTACGTGAAAGGCCACAGCAAGGACGAACAGTGCCGTAGGATAATCACGCTGCCGCAGGAATCTGGACCGGTTACCGAAATCTTCAAAGTTCACTTCGGAAACTGCGGTTTGATACACGTCAATGGCCAGGCGAGCTTCGTTCTAGTCATCCAAAAACATCCTAAGCTCGTGACGTACAAGGCCCAGGCTTACCACATCAAATGTGTCTATCAAACCGGCGAGCAGAACGTGACTCTTGGTTTCAACGTGTCGATGTTGACCACCGCCGGAACCATCGCCAACACCGGACCTCCACCCACTTGTACGATGAAGATAGTCACGCCTACCGGCCAGGAGATCAACTCGGCGGAGATCGGCGACAACCTCATGTTGCAGGTCGACGTGCAACCAGGCTCAATATACGGTGGCTTCGCCAGGAGTTGTGTGGCCAAAACGATGGAAGACAACGTGGAGAACGAGTACCTCGTGACTGATGAGAACGGCTGCGCCACCGACCCCACGATCTTCGGAGAGTGGGAACACAACTCCGACACCCAGAGCCTCTTGGCTAGCTTCAACGCGTTCAAGTTCCCCAGCAGCGACAACATCAGGTTCCAGTGCAACATTAGGGTGTGCTTCGGACGCTGCCAACCGGTAAGTGGACGTTGGGTTGAGTCGGTTCTCGGAATAAAGTTTCGCTTCCAGGTGAACTGTCGCGGTTACAACGCCTTCGGCCGCCGCAAGCGCGACGTCGAAGACTCCGAGAACAACACCGACGTAGCGCTGACCGGAGACTTGATCACCGGCCAGCTCAGAGAAGAAATAACAATCCAGTCCAACGCGATTTTGACGTTCGAGAGACGTGAGGAACGATTCGTGGACCCGACGGAAGGTTTGTTTTGAAGTAGTGTCGGGACGGAGGTTATTGATTTTGTAGTTGCAGCTCCCAAGGCCCAGCGGGTGGAGGACATCTGCGTGTCCATGATCGGCTTTATCATCGCCTTGATCATAACGGCTCTCTTGGCGCTCGTCGCCGTGGCGGTCGCCGTGTCCTGCTGGCTGATGGCATACCGCCGCCGGCCCAAGGAGACGGGACCTCTGCCGCATCCGCCCGAGTTCCCCAACCCGCTGTTCACGACGCCGGAACCCATGGCCGAACCGAGCCCCGACTACCTCACGTAATTAAGACAGATTTAGATAAGTTCCAATGCTCCTAAAACGACTCTATTTATGTGAAACAACGACTTGCGAAAGCAAACGAAATACTCGACTATTTTTATTTAAACGATTTTATTGTACATTTAATTCGCGTTTGTGGCGATTCCTGGCTTCTTTTGTATCCGTCCGTTGCTACTCACTCAGAAAACTGCCAGAAAGGAGCAGGAATCGGCACAAAATCGCATAGTGAAAATGAGAAAAATCGGAAATGTGTATGGACATCGAGTGAAGCGAAAGTATGGATCATACACATTTTGACTATCTTTTCCAGTGGCTTAATTTCGTTCGAGCTACTGTTGCAGACAAGGGGAAATTTTAATGAGGTGGTGGTTCTTTCTTTAACTCGCTTTAACCGAATGTTGTTAATTTTGACATTGACCCTTGAGTCTGTTTTTTTTCCTATTGTAAATACATTCGAAATAGTTTTTTCTTCACCTTTGAGCCACTGGAAGATGTAGCATTTATTTTTTAGATAAGACTATACATATTTTATTAAATAACTTGTATAAAGTGTATGAATGCGAATGAATGAGGAGCCTGGCTCAAGTTATTTTGGTGCTGACTGATATTTTTACTCAAAACAGTCAAACATTTAGTCAATCACGTCTTATTCATAGTACCTATTTATACGTTTGTAAGTCTCAAGGAGACAAAACTATCATTTTAACCAAAAAGTATTAAAATTTATGTACTAAATATTTTTTTTTTTTTAATTTAAACGACAAAATTTTATTAAATGTCTGTGAATGTTAATGTAAAATTGCCCTCTAAGTGCTGTTTAACTAATTTCAATACGTATTGTGTTAATTACTTCTATCGTACATGTCTCTAACGATGATTCCTTAATTGTCATATTTGTGATAATCGCTTCCTTAATAAAGATTGTTTAATAATACTTGAATGTTTTTCTGTCTTTTTCTTCTGCGGTCACGCTGACACATTTTAATGTCCAAAGACAAAAAAAAGATCGAATTTTGCATAAATAAAGTGTTGTATAAATTGCAACTTACCTTGTTTTGCCGCTTAGTTGAAACATGAATTATAACCTAATTGTCACTGACGTCACATGACAACCTTGTCCTAATGCACAGTCACTGTGAGCGGCAAAACTGAAACATACAAATTTTCAACTAAAGGATTCGTTAAAACTTGATATGGATTCTAATATGCGAAAAAAACGAGATGCTACTATTTACACAATATTTATTCTGAAAAAATATTTATCAAAATTCCACTATCTTTACACAAAAATGAAAATATAAACATTTGACGCTTTTCAACTCTTTGCAACAAATGTGATTATGTCATAAATAAAGAACAAGAATACATAGACCAGTGAAACGTAACTAAAAGATTAAGTATTTTAAAGAAACAGTGCGGCTTCCTAGAGAAGAGACCGCATAAAAACTGTAAAAACAACAGGGCTACATTTTTTTCTACGTTTGACTACAAATCTCATATGCATTTTAATATCTAGAAGAAACCAAATTCACCGGTTCAACGGTTCAGTGGTGAGTGATTAGGCTTAATAATGACCACCGTTACAACAAAGCGGGCTTTAAAAGTGCGAACTGGCGCGCATCAACCCGACTCGTAACCGGCAAAGTGGGTTCCTTTATTTAATAATATAGGGATGTACAGAACGGCCTGATAACCATCTTAATATTTTGTAAATTCGTTTTAAACTACGATATAACTGATATTAAATTCGGTAAGTGCGTACTCGTTCGCCGATTACTCATAAAGCTTTTCCTGCAAGTCGCAACGTGAGGTCGAACCGGCCTTCGGTTCGCCTTGGACGCGGCAAAATTTGTATGTTTGTTTGATGATCGTCGAAAAAACAGTTTTTGGTAAAAGTTGCAGAAGTGGAACTAAAGCGCTAGTGCCAAGGGCGAAACGTCCGTCGTTTGTCCGCGTAAAGGGCGAATAAAAAATAGGTTTTTTAAATTAATATATTTCTCTCCCTCAGGTTAGTCCTGGGCTAACAAAATGGACCGCAAGGACTCGTGTGCATATACTTAATTATATACAATAACAGCAAAAATTCCACTTCACAAACACAAAAATAATTAAGTGGTGCCGACAACCGACACCTTTCAGTCTGTTTCGTGTTGAATTTCTAATCAATAAGAGATTACATAAATAAACGAAATCCTTCACCTTTCAAAGAAAAAGCTCTGGAAAATGCGAAATGTGCCTTACATGAGTTCAGTACGGTCGTATAAAAATGAGGAAGGCACAAATGCACCGCCTCGTTACGAAGAGCAGAGAAGTTATGACACAAAAAAAATATATAAAACTTTAAAAATATATATAATATATCCAACTATGCATAACAATATATATGTTTAAATCAACTAGATTAATATACAAAATGATCATGTACAGCTAGCTAAAATAAAACAGTAAATATCATAACATCTCCACGTGATTAGTGCCGTTTCTAGGCCTAGTCTGCTCGCCACAGGGAAGACATAATATCGTCAAATGAAATAGCTTGCGTCTGTGTATTTCAGTTTCCATATCGAGAGTCCAGTGTCGTCGCCAGGCCTATCATTATAATGCAGCAAACAGTGAGGGAAGAGGTTGCACCAGCAACAGTATTATCTTACTACTAGGTTAGTATACTTAACGTAACCTCAAAAATTATAGCTTCTGTTCTCTACTTAATCATACCTTTTGGCAGTGACTTTGTCTCAGCGATTACAATCAATTTCACCAAATTCGTGATCATCTACAACACATATAAAAAAAAAGAAACAAAAAACAAAGATCAGCGAAAACAAACGTAACTATTAAAATTTGATGAAACTGTTTTCGATTTGTTAAAAAAAAAAGAACTAAATAAAAAAAACGGACAACGTTATTAAAATCACAGTAGAGACTCAGCTGAAATTTATGACTTAACGGCGACCACCCCAAGCTCCGGAAATCGGAGACGTCTGTGGCTCCTCCGTGTTCCTTCCGAACGATGGGAATTCGGTAACGCTCGCAGTATTGGGGGCCCTCTGTTCCCAAGGCCCGCCCTGCACGACAAATCCGTTGCTGTTGGCGTCGCGAGGCCGACTGCCGGTCAAAGTATGGTCGAGATGATAACTGAGAGTGTGTTGCTTTTCTCTAGTTTCCTGCTCTTCGACGTCTTGCAACTGTAAACAAAACCGTCACACGAACGTCCTCACCACGAAAATACCCTTACGTATTGTTCCTCTAGGTTAATCAAATGCTCTTTGGCGTCCACCACGTTCTCGTCCGTTCCCGTGATGATGACGATGTTCGGATCGGCGTCGTCCCCACGCGGGAACTTTATGTCCACTTTGTAGTCGTCCATTATCTTGCGAATACTGCGGCCACGAGCCCCGATAATCCGGGAGTGAACCCGGGAATCGATCTGCACCTCCTCACGAACGAGGTCGTTCAGCTCGTTCACGATCTTCATGATGTCGTCCTTGGCTCGGTGGGTGTTCTCCTCGTAACCCGTAATGGTGATGATTTGTTCCTCGGGATCGCCTGCAACGTCGCAATAAATTCACACTCTTAAGTAATTAATCAGGAAGTACACACCTTTTTTCGGGAAAGTAATTTGTACATCGTGGTCCTTCCTGATCTTGGTGATGACGGCGCCGCGCTTGCCGATGATCTTCGGGTGATAGTCCGGATTGACCTCGATCTTCAACCCGAACGAGCGCAGCTCGCGGTCCTTGCGGTCCGCCTCCAAGTCCTGAACCTTCTCCAACAAAGCCCCCTTGGCGCGCTCCACGTTCGCCGGCGGTCCCGTGATCTTGATGACGTCTTCTTGCACTCCCGCCGGCGACAGCACGATGTGGACGTCATACCTGTCCATCAGTTCCTTGACGTCGCGCCCCTTTTGTCCGATGATCGACCGGTGGAGGTCGAACGGAACGTCCACGTTGATGGTGATCGGCACCAGGTCCAAGAGAGCTTGCTTCGCCTTTAAGCAGTTCTCTTCTTTACCCGTGATGCGGATCACGTCGCAGTGGCGCACCGGTCCGCCGTTGATATCCCCGTTCAATTGCCCGTGGATGGGGTACTCGTCGGTGTTGTCTCTGTCCGGGAATTTGATCTGGACGTCGAAGTCGGAGGTGATGCCTTGGACTTTGAAGCCTTTGGCGCCCATTACGGTCCGGTGGTGGTTCTGGGGAATGATGCACTCGAGGGTGACCATGGATTCCAAGTCCTGGATGATTTCGTTGATTCGCTGCTTGGCGGCTTCTATGCATTCTTTCGAGCCTTTGAGGACGACGCGGTTGCTGTCGATGCCGGAACGAGGGAACGAGATCATCACGCCGCCGCATTCGTCGCTGATCTTGTGGAGGACTTCGCCACGGCGGGCCACGAAGTGCTTGTGGTGGCGGAGCTCGACGGACATTTCGCTTTCGATGATATTGTCCTGGGGGAAAAGTTAAACGGAGATTTAAATAAACCGAAATTTAAATAACTCACTATATCTTTGATTGTGGCCTGGAGGGCGGCTTTTGCTTCTTCGACGGCTTCCCTTTTCCCGATGATTGTGATTATTTCTCTGTCGTCGTCCGTGCTTGACGGAAAAACGATTCTCGCACCCGTCGAGTCGCGGATTTTCTTGATATTGGCACCATTTTTGCCAATCAGGAACTTGTGGTGTTGAGCTTTGGCACGTACCTGGAATCAAACACGTCAATTGGCACCTGGTTACCGTGAAGTTAACACCTACCTCTGCGGTATAACTGGCAAGTTGTCGTTCGTTAGCTAAATCAAGCAGTTGCTGTTTGGCACGATCCACGTCATCCTTGGGTCCCCGGATGGTGACCTTATCGCTCTTGCTGTCGGCACTAGGGAACTTGATGGCGACGCCGCCGCAGTCCTCCATTATAGAATGGATAAGCTTTCCCTTGGCTCCGATCAGCGAGTTGTAAAACTTGGGCGGAATCGTGATCTCCTCCGTCACGATGTTCTCGAGTTCGTCCTGAATCTTCCGGATCTTTTCGCGCGCTTCCTCGACGTCCTCTTTCCTACCCGTAATCGTGATGACGTCGTTCTTGTCGCCTTCCGCGGGCAGATCGATCTTCGTGTGCGTCTCCTCGCGGATTTTCCTTATGTTGGCACCACCCTTTCCGATAATGAACTTGTGGAATTGTTTGTAGATGGGTACTTCGATTTGATATGACGATTCGTTTAGTTCCTTGACTAACTTCTCCAAGTGTCTACAACACTTGTCGACATCCTCCTTCGGACCGCGGACTTTAACAATGTCGTTCTTGTCGGAGGCGCCGGGGAAGTAAATTTGTACTTGATTGAATTTCTCGCGGATTTCTTTGATGTTTTCACCTTTCGCGCCGATGATGCTCTTGTAATGGCGCTGCTCGATAACGACGTCCTTTTCTTTTTCGTTCTCTAACTTCCGTATCCGTTCCTCGAGCTCCTGCTTCGTCGTGTGGACGCCCTCTTTATGACCTTCGATACGAATCATACCGCTCTCGTCGATGTTTATCACCACGCCGAATTCTTCTTTTAGACGATTCACTGAAATCGATACCAAGAATCTCAATTAATATTGTTTTTACTTCCCGAGCGTAAGCAAAGGAAGTATTGTAATCGAGTCCGTCGGCCGACTCTCTACTTTTACGTTTTCTCGATCTTTCATGACCCCTAGAAGACGAAGAAATAGGTCTCCCATTTCCGTCTGTCTGTCCGTCCGTCTGTCCGTCTGTTGTCCCTGATTTTTATTAGACAGATAATCTCCGAAAGTACTCGACCGATTGTTGTGAAATTTTGTACTTATATTAAGAATATCATGTAGATGGTAAAACGCTAACCAAAATTTGTCTAATCATCCCCACCACTAAAGCGATGACGTCACTTCAAAATTGTACATAGTAAATGGGTTTTCAATTGTATAAAATAACATAGTCCTACACATGTAGTTTACAACTCTGAATCGACTTTTCACCCGAAACGTCCAGATTTTTGGAAAAAAAATCAAAATTATAAAACAACATTTTGAAATTTAATTTTTAATCTGCTAACCAGAATGCTTTGAAATGTTGCAGATGTTTTAAGGCTATAAAGAGCATCATAAATCTTTAGTCAAAAAATATTTGCTTATCCCCTCCAAAAACTTGATGACGTCAGCTCAAAAGTTTGTGGAATAAATCATATCTAAAATGTACAAAATATGATGAGTCTGTACTTGTGATCTATCACTCCATTCATATTTTTTGGATTTGCATATACAGAGTGACTCAAAAAAATTAATGAATGCGTAAATATATTTTATTGATTTAATCAGGAACTACAAAACCGAATGCTCTGAAATCTTGCAGATGTTTTAAGGTCATAAAGAGCATAATAAATGTTTAGTCAAAATATATTTGCTTATCCCCTGCAAAAACTTGATGACGTCAGCTCGAAAGTTTGCCGAATAAATCATATCTAAAATGTACAAAATATGATGAGCCTGTACTTGTCATTTATCACTCCATTCATATTTTTTGGATTTGCATATACAGAGTGACTCAAAAAAATTAATGAATGCGCAAATATATTTTATTGATTTAATCAGGAACTACAAAACGGAATGCTCTGACATCTTGCAGATGTTTTAAGGTTATAAAGAGCATAATAAATGTTTAGTCAAAGTATATTTGCTTATCCCCTCCAAAAACTTGATGACGTCAGCTCGAAAGTTTGCCGAATAAATCATATCTAAAATGTACAAAATATGATGAGCCTGTACTTGTCATTTATCACTCCATTCATATTTTTTGGATTTGCATATACAGAGTGACTCAAAAAAATTAATGAATGCGTACATATATATTATTGATTTAATCAGGAACTACAAAACGGAATGCTCTGACATCTTGCAGATGTTTTAAGGTTATAAAGAGCATAATAAATGTTTAGTCAAAATATATTTGCTTATCCCCTCCAAAAACTTGATGACGTCAGCTCGAAAATTTGCCGAATAAATCATATCTAAAATGCACAAAATATGATCAGTCTGTACTTGTGATCTATCACTCCATTCATATTTTTTGGATTTGCATATACAGGGTGATTCAAGAAAATAAATGAAAGCGTAAATTTATTTTATTGATTTACTCAGGAACTACAAAACCGAATGCTTCGAAATCTTGAAGATATTTTAAAATTATCATAAGCATGGTAAATTTTTGATCAAAATGTATTTGGTCGTCCCCACTAAAAAATTTATGACGTCACCCCAAAATTTTGCTGAAAAAATGCCATCTTCAATGTGTAAAGTATGATGAGTCCATACTTGTGATTTATCACTGCATTAAAATTTTTAATATTTGCTTATACAGGGTGTCTGAAAAAAATTAATGACGGAGTGAATTGATTTTGCAAAACTGAATACTTAGAAATCTTGACGTTTTGAAGTTATTGTAAGCGTGGTAACTGTTTAATCAAAATGTATCTCTTTATCAACCCCAAAAAAAATTCATTACGTCTTCTCACAATTTTGCTGAATAAAGTATATGATCTGACTACACTTTTAAAATTTTTAATATTTGCTTATACAGGGTGTCTGAAAAAAATTAATGACGGAGTGAATTGATTTTGCAAAACTGAATACTTAGAAATCTTGACGTTTTGAAGTTATTGTAAGCATGGTAACTGTTTAATCAAAATGTATCTCTTTATCAACCCCAAAAAAAATTCATTACGTCTTCTCACAATTTTACTGAATAAAGTATATGATCTGACTACACTTGTAACTAATCATTGCATTCAAATTTTTTAACTTGCTTATGCAGGGTGACTCAAAAAAAGAAATGAATCAGTCACTTTATTTTAGTGAATAAATCAAGAATTGCTAAACTGAATATTTTGAAATCTTGCAGATGGTTAAAATTGATTGTGAGCATGGTAAATTGTTAATGAAAATATATCTGTTTATTCCCCCGAAAAAATTCATGACGTCATCTACAATTTTTGCCAAAAAAGTTTAACTCAAAATGTGCAAAATATGATGAGTTTTAACATAAGCAACTGTGGCCTGTGGTTTAGTGGAGGTGGAGTGTGCAGTGCAATTAGAAGTTCCGGTAACAGATCCCGGCACTTCCAACTTTTTTCGCCCATCAAATCAAGAACAGCACTTCCGATTTTCGCAACAATAATGTTATAATATTTATTTATTTGTTATTGTGTGTTCGTGAATAAGCACCATAAATAGCAAATGTTGAAATTTTTTTTTGTGATCGGAAGAATATCTCTTAATCATTTTATATATTGTCAATACATGATTAACTTCGACTGTTAATGTTTATATATCGAGAGAAGCAGAGAAAAAGTACATATGCATTTGCTTCAGTTACGCCACTGACCGTGTCATTTCTTTATCGCACGTTGAGACATAGTTTATATAAACAAACTCCCAGCCATAGCAAAAAGCGGAAGTTGGAAACAACGAGCGGCGCGGGGGGAATCACTTGTTTGGGTGGCGAGACGAAACAGTTGCGATTGCGAAATGCGAAGCCAATTCGAAAAAAACTCTTGAAGAGTGAGTGTCATTGAGGATATATATCTCCAAATTTTAAAAATTGGACCAAGTTACAATAATTGTTGCCAGGTAAGTGCATATATTTTGGATTTGCATATACGGGGTGATTCAAGAAAATAAATGAAAGCGTAAATTTATTTTACTGATTTACTCAGGAACTACAAAACCGAATGCTTCGAAATCTTGAAGATATTTTAAAATTATCATAAGCATGGTAAATTTTTGATCAAAACGTATTTGGTCGTCCCCCCTAAAAAATTTATGATGTCACCACAAAATTTTGCTGAATAAATCCTATCTAAAATGTACAAAATATGGTGAGTCTCTTCTTGTAATTTGTCATTCCATTCAAATTTTTTCGATTTGCATATACAGGGTGACTCAAAAAAATTAATGAATGCGTAAATTTATTTTATTGATTTAATCAGGAACTACAAAACCGAATGCTTTGAAATCTTGCAGATGTTTTAAGGTTATAAAGAGCATAATAAATTTTTAGTCAAAATATATTTGGTTATCTTCTACAAAAAACTGATGACGTCAGCTCAAAAGTTTTCCGAATAAATCGTATCTAAAATGTACAAAATATGATGAGTCTGTACTTGTGATTTATCATTCCATTCATATTTTTGGATTTGCATATGCAGGGTGACTCAAAAAAATTAATGAAGGCGTGAATTTATTTTATCGATTTAATCAGGAATTACAAAACCGAATGCTTTGAAATCTTGGGAATATTCTAAAGTTATTATAAGCATGGTAAACTTTTGTTCAAAATGTATTTGTTCATCCCTCCTAAAAAAATTGATGACGTCACCCTTAAATTTTGCTGAATAAATCCTATCTAAAATGCAAAAAATATGATGAGTTTGTACTTGTGATTTATCATTCCATTCATATTTTTTAGATTTTCTTAAGAGGTGGTTCAAAAAAATTAATGAAGTCAATTTATTTTATTGATTAAATTAAAGGCAACACTTATTATTAGTATTACACCCCAACCAACCCAATTTGGTAGACACAAAATTTGTTAAAGGAAAAACTCGGTTGAAACATAAGGGTAGCACGCTTATTTACATCGACTTTAACATTACAGACCTGCATTTGTTTTATGCGTTCACTTGGTTCCGCGAATGTGAAATAGACATGTTTATAATCAACCAATTGTGAATTTCACCGTCAAGAATTAAAATAAAACCCAATGTTTTATATAATAAGCGGAAGTCGAAGCAATAAAACCGATGGTCGTTTTGTTTACAGTTTCTCTGTTTGACTCTCAAGTATGCTGTTACGCCTGTCATCTTAAATTAAGAATGTTTATACATACACGATTTTCAGCTGCCTGGGATACGTATACGTGAGTAAATTGTTTCGTTATTTTATTGATTATTACAAATCAATATTCAAAACGACCCAATTCATTTTCCCGAAAATTTGAGAATATAATAATTTTATTCTTAGTATTACACTACATCTATCCCAAACTGATATACGTGTCCTTGCAAAAATGTTGATGACGTCATCGCAATTTTTTTTTAAATTCCCACTACAAAAATGTAATGAGAAAAAACACAATAGGCATGCAGTCGTCAAGTTTCCGACAGCGAGGGAAGTACTGTCTAAACTCTTTAGACCAATTTTTTGTTCAACTAAGACTCACCGTTGGCGCCGCTCTTGCCGATGATGTGCTTGAAGAGCCTCGGGTCGACGTGCATCTCAATAAACGTGAGCTTCTTGATCAAATCCTTGGCCATCTTCTCGATCTGCTCCTGCGCCTTCTCCACCTCCTCGGGCGGGCCCTCGATCTTAATCTTGTCCTCCTTCTCCGTGAACTCGACGTGTACTTTGGGCAGGTTCTGCGTGATCTCCTTGATGTTCTGTCCCTTCCGTCCGATGATGTACTTGTGGATCCACGACGGTGCCTCCACGTCGCTAGACCGCACCGAGTTGGCCTTCTCGTAGACCTTGCTCAAGGCCAACCCTAGCTTGTCGTGCGGGCCCCTCAGCGTGATCGTGCCCGTGGCCGAGTCGCCTTGCGGCATCTCCACGCTCACTCCCGTCGTCTGGAGGATCTCGGCTATCGTCGCTCCCTTAGGCCCGATGACGTACTTGTGTTGCGATTTAGGAACTTCCACCGAAACGGTCGTGCACTTCTTCTCCATCTGCTTGTAGATGTTCTCGATCTTGGCCTTCGCCGCCAGCACGCCCTCCTTCTCGCCGGCGATGAAGATCTCGTCCTTCATGACGGACGGCGGCGGCACGTTGATCTTGGCGCCGGTGTCGGCGATCATCTGATTCAAGTACTCGTTATAAGGCCCCACGATGAACGGATGGTAGATCTTCGGGACGTTGATGCGCTCGGAGGCCTTTTTCGACTGCTGGTCGGAGGTGACGCGGATCTCGTGTTCGGCCTTCTCGATGCCCTCCTTCGTTCCGGTGATGGTGATGACGTCGGAGGTGTCGTTCATCGGCGGCACGGAGATCTTAGTGGCCGTTTGCTTCTCGAGCTCCTTGAGGCGGTCGCCTTTCTTGCCGAGGATCCAGCGGTGGTGTTCCTTTGGGATGGAGATCTGCTTGCTGGCCTGCGTCTGGAAATGGGTGAGGATCTTGCGGCGGGCTTCCAAGACTTCGTTCTGTTTGCCGGTTACGAGGAAAGTGAGCGATTGGTCTTTCGCGTGGGAGATCTCGATGTGGGCTCCGGTCTCCTTCATGATGTTAGCGCAGGTCTGGATTGACTCGCCCTCGCCGAACTTCTGGCTGCCGTCCAGTTTACGCTCCTCGAAAGGAACCCTAAGGACCACAGAAACCCTACGTAAGTACGACGGGAAGCCACCGGGACACCGGAAATTTCAAGTTAAACTGTAAAATTTTGAATTGAACCTCCATACACAAGATTAAAAATGCGTGTGGATTAATAAATTAATAATAAAATTATAAATAATTAATTTGATAACAGAGGGGATTACAAGCGAATCCCCAGGTCAAAGCGTTCTTATGGTTTTCGACCTCGACTATACCCATTACTTAACTACAGAGACGGCTAGAATAAGTTAAAGGGTCGTCCAAAATAAAAAGGTGCATGGGTGTTAAAATGTTTTAAAGTAAGGTAAAACCGCATCAAGCGAATAGTAGGATCTACTTCCGCCCGTACGAAGTGACAAAATACAGTTCTTCGTATGACTCGGACAGGAATGCTGTTGGGTCCCCAGAGGTCAACGTAATTTCCCGAAGGACCCAAAAGTGTCGTTGCAAATCCGGGTAGAACAAATCAAAGTCGCTTTTAGATAGAAACGACAAGCCTAGATAGAGATCAAGATAGGGAAATTAGAAAGCAATAAACGCTTAATTTCAGGAAGTGACAAACAACGAAAGCCTGCATCATCAAAACGTAAATTTATCAATTTGTCAATACGTCGATATTCCTTCGAGGTCGCGGCAATTATCTATGATGTTAGGTTTAGGGCTAATCGGCCGATAATATTCTGTGAGGGAGTGTATTTGTTTCGTGCATAATTAATGCTGGACTAACCGGAACACTTGGGTGATGACCGAGGAACCGACTCTCATCTTGTTGTTCCATTGTCCCATGGTGCTGTGATTTTGACTTTGTGTGTTGGATTCGGGCAAAGCTGGAAAAAGGTCATCGTAGCTCCGTACGGAAGGCTCGTAAGCCGCACCCTCTTCAATCACTGGTTGCTGCATTTTCGGATTGTCCTGTGTCGTGCCAAGTCGTTACAGCAACACTGAAACAAAATTACGTTCCCATTCAATAAAACAATAATCGATATGATGAATAAATACTAAACACGGATTTCGAGGGATTAAAGGATCGCCAGTGTCGAGTGTTGTACAAAAGAACGAATTATCACTTTGTTATATCATCGTTATCTGCTTATCTTATATCGTTTAAAAATCGTACTAATTGATTAAGAATGTGACGTAATCGATCGTCGCTGGGAAAACTGTTCTGAAACCGCCACGTGTTAGTGGAAATTCGCGGGAAATGCTAAGCATTGAATAACACAGAATAATCTCGAATATATCGACTATTAATAAACCAAGCACCTTTTCTTTTTTCCGCAAATTGCGCCCGTTCTTAGTGATAAGTAATACTTTGTAAGTAATTCATACCGGCGATATCCCTCGAGTGTTCGGATCTACTCAAAGTTTATAAAACAGAAACGTGCCAAGTTATTTGATCCTCTTCGGTAAACGCTACCGCTTTAGCTTTATCGTTGAGTTTGAAAACAGTCTCCTTTTAATAAAAAACAATACACGAGGGATAAGTAACGCACCGAGGTGTTCCGAAACCGAGCACCTCATTAAAATACTGAAACTAAGTGATACATTTTAGCGACAATATGTATTTAAAAAAATATATTCCGCAATAGCGTCCCTACATAATATAGATACCCTCGGAAGTTGGTAATTTTAGATTTGACGACCTTAAATAAAAATAAATCGCAAGTAAACACCAAAACATGGCTTTCTAAAAATTAGAAACACAATTTTGGGAAATTCGTTCGACGATTGAAATAGTTTTGTCAGCCCTTTTGCACTATTACCCATTTAAGGAAACAGATAAAGACGTGGTCGTCCTCAGTCCTTATCAACAATAAACATGTGTATCACTTTGACTACTTATCCACTACTATTTATCTAATATTATTACTGTAATCGTAAATTTATGACAGGATTAACGTAAATATGAAACCGTAACTTTTTCCAAGAACAAATGAACAAGCAATTCTATAAAACTCTGTTTACTTACAATGACTCGGCACGCATTAATTTAAACGCATTTTTAAACGTCTGCGATTAAATAACATTCGAACGATTTTTAAATCACAATAGATATTGACATAACTCGATGAGATAAAAGAAAAATTAATGGTGTTTAATCAACGATCGGCCAAAAAGATTCCGCAAGTTAAGGAATACGGTTTACGCACACGTGACGGTAAATAATAAAACAGATACGTTTTGTTGAGACTTGAGACTTTACATATTCTACGTTAACATTAAAACTGTTTCATTGTTGTTATCGCAATAAATCTTAGCCTGACGTGAACTCAAATAAAAAAGCATGAAATTTTCTTTATACACAGAACAAAAATATAACACAAAATAAAAATATTTATCAGATTTTTTTATTTCAAAAGAATAACTTCATTATCTGACGCGTCATTAATGTTCTGTATTATATACCAGAAACGAAATTTATAATAATTATGATTTTTTTCATTTAGTAATTCCTTTCATAAAGTTGGTATGGATTAGGAAACACACTTGACAAACTTCCACTTTATTTTTTAACAGAGTGGTTTGTCGTAAATTATGCACACTTAACCTGGGTAAAAAAAATTAAACGAGAAATTGCGTTCGAATTAATAAATATTAATCCAACATCCGTTTAAGATAATCGTCGTTATTGAAATTAATATACAAAATTAGTTGAAAAAAATAAGTTACTGACCCGTTATTTGGTTCTGCATAGTGCCAACAATTTGTTATTCTTTGTGATTTTGTATTTGTATCTATCAGTATTTTTAGATTCATGAATTTGTATTACGTTCTTGCCTTATGCAAACGTACACAATACGAATAAAATCGATTGTAGCAACAACAGAAAATAACTATATTGTAGTTCATAATTACCATTTTCAAATTATTTAACGACAATATTCAGTTTACAATTTCCCGTGTAATAGTTGCTGAAACTTTACCCACAAAGAAACCGCAGGATTTAAAGTCACCTTGGAATTGTTTATACGGGGTGGTCGGTAAACAATGCTGATATTGTCCGAATTTAATTGATTAAATTGACTACCTACTTTATTTATTTAATTAATGTCGTTTTAAACCTAACAACAAAATCTAGGAACCGAATTTACGACTTTTAATGGTCACACTTGAACAACGAAACATAGCTGATTATTCAAAAAAATTGACGTACATCTCGTTTACTTTCATAAGATGACATTTCAATAATTCGAGGCACTACACATATCCTTTGTGTCTCTAATTTATTTGTTTAATGATAAGTTTCCAGCGTTTGTGATTAAGATATAATTTAGTTTCGTTTAGGTTTCAAGACAAATTAAAAATTCACAGACGTCACCTTGACATTGTAAAACAGGTGTCGTTTAAAATGCTTACAAACTTTTCGGTTATTATTAAAAATATCTGGGGAACATCACATATCGTTTAATAATTGTGACAATAGTACATATTTTTAAACAAACATCAAATTTAACTTCGTAATTTCTGAGTAACAATTCAAACAAAGATATGCTTAGCAACGAGCAGTTGACGCAAATAAGTCAGTTTCATTAAAACATTAATGACAACTTTCTAAGTCACTGTAGTCAATTATGAAATTAGTTTTTAGTTGGCGTAATCAAATTAGGTGACATTTGCCCCAAAATGGCGGAACCCGTCAAACACCAAAATTCATTACGGCCAAAGCGATTTGATAAACTTCAAGTTATAATGTAATTTCGGGGTTTTGTTTAAACAAAATGATTTAGTCAATTTATATTTCCTATGGCCGCAGTCATTTTCTTGCGTTAAGCCTTTGTGTGAAAAATGGCGACGGGCGGAGCAATAAATAGTCAAAAATCAACGCCATCTTTTGAAAAATTTTAAATCCGTGCACCCCGTAACAGAGAGAGAAGACCGCACAAACAACGGATTAGAAAAAAATAGCAAAACTTGATTTTGTCTTTTGACGATTTTGCGAAATTACGTTTTTGCCTTGTCCGGAAATTTATACCAAGAACCCGGCCTATGAATAATTACGTTTCTTGGCAGCAACTCTGCAAACGTGCGAGCCAAAAGGGGGCGATTTTTCGCACTCGCGTCGACTATCGCACGAAATAAAGCACACAAGTCGCAGGACCGTATCGCACAAAATCCACCCCCGCTTTTCGCCGCGATCCTGTGACAAAATCCTGTCCATATTGTCGCAAAACCCACGAAAAAAAATCCGTGCACATGTGGCACAACGAGTCAAAGTTAACGCAGATAAGAGCGGTTCGCTGGTGTCTGGCCGAGCACAAAGCGAACATATGGAGGACAGGTAAAAAGTGTTCGGCACGTGAAAAGCTAAATAACAAGCACGACGGTCCGAACTCGGCACAAACGGACCGCATTAGCAATTGTTCGCTTCGAAAGCAGCCAAATTTACTTGCAAGTCAGTTGACGTGTCACTACATCTCAGCATGTTGACCTGAGAAATCAGGATGGAGGCAACGAAACGAGCAAAAGACCACTTACTGTACTGTAAAAACAGAGAATCCGTCCTAGAAAGAGTTGGATCTCCTAAATTTCTCCAGTTTTACTTGGTTATGTCTCGCTGAAACAGTAAATATTTAATTAGAAACGACGCAGAACACAACCACTGCACTCGTACCGACTGCCAAGCAGAAAATGAAGTGAAATGGAATGCTGGGCTGGCAGGGCAAGTGCCAACTTCTGTCACATCGGGGCCGAAAGTCACCTGCGGCCTGGCGGCTGCCAAACGAGCGCTGTGTCTACCGGCGGATAGGGGGCGGCACCCACGCCGCCACAAAACCTTGTAACATTAACATTAATCATTAAATAAACACTCTATTATGTAAACGCATCAAAACACACAAGTGTCTTGTAAAGGCGACCTTCACCCTGACAAGAACAAAATCCCTAACTAGGATTAAGGGTTCCATTTTAATTAAAGTGACATCGCCAACTCGACTATTATTTTATTTCATGTATTGGCAGTTGTCTAACAACCTACCAATAAAACGATTTAGGAGTCTCGAGTGTCACCATATTTAGTCAAAATTAGAACACCGCTAACTTGTAATATGCCGTTTTGTTCGACTAGAGGCATATCAACGGATTTCCGAATTTTTGTTATAAAAATGAAATTGAATAACATAGTCAACCCAACATACACAACCGGTCTCTGAATATCTGGTTGCATAACTTTGTTGTCACATTTGACATTTAGTTTATTTACAAATGATGGCAGGAGTGGTGCCGAAAAGAGCCACATCTGGAAGAAAACAATGGACTTTACATGGTAATTCACCCCCCAAATCGTGCAATAACACGCACTTCCTGCTAACCTACCGAAAAAACCATCCCAGCATGTGTACTTTCCCCCGTTCTCGTCTTCAACCCATAATTCCAAAACACTTTGTAGACGGCCCCCGAAGCTCCCTCAAGCGGTTACGAAGTCAAATGGCCACCGACGGTTGTCCAGAGTCGCAAGTTGTCTTAGCCAAACAACTCCTGGACGAACAATGCGGTATGTACAATTCTCCATGGTCCAACCCACACTCATTCCAACTTCCAGAAATAGAAACTGAAACAAAAGAAAACGAAAGACTGGGTGTGTACTGGCTGATCAAAGCATCAGAACAGGGTAATCTAGAGGCGACGGACCTCCTGAAAACGTGCCTGCAGACCGGAAAGGGAATCACTGAGTTAAACTATCTCGACGTAAAATCATGTATAGGTATGACCCAACACGAGAAGCTCGCGCGCAAAGCGGCGAGAGAAATGTTCGCGAGTTTATCCAACGGTGGCGAGTATATAACGTCCGACCAACTACAAAAAAAAATCCTGGCGATTGATCGTGAACAGGCGGTGGAGAGCATCCAGAAGGCGCCGCACCAAAACGGGCAGTTGGTTTGCGACGAAACTGAGTCCGACGAGGACACGGATTGGTGCCAGAAATCCGAAATTAACGAAAAACTCACCGAGGACCATTTAGTCTCTGCTGCCGTCGATTACTCCCATGGACATCTCCCAATAGTAAATCGCACGTTGTGTTTGTCAGATCCCGATCTGAAAGCTCTAGATCATATTCCTATGGTGCAGAGGTCCATCTTGCACCCGCTCCTAGCTCTAAAAATTTTATACTACAAACTAATCAAGTTCCTGGGGCGAGAATGCACGTTTTTCTTTCCTCTGGCTAAATCAGAAGTGCAGCTGCTGGTGCTAATGCTAGTATATGCACTTGTCAGTTCTGATAACATTCTCTATTTTTTTCCATTGGCGCTCTACTACATAAGTTTTATTGTGATGGTAGTCGTGACGTTCCAAATGTTACAAGTCAAACGTGAATTCCACGATTTTCGGCTGTGGTCCGGTTTGTTCATTTGCTACTCTGGAGGCGACTTAAATCCAGAAGATGCAGAGTTCCTCTACGTGCGAAACAATCTCAAACCGTATGGGTTATTTTTCAGTTCGTTGTTGGTTAATTTGCTCGTTTACCCCGTCATAGTCGAGCAGTGGATCCCCCAGTCTGAGTTAATGATAATTTCGTTTTGTTTGACGTTCGCCACTCTCTTAGGTTTCATGTATAAAAAAAGAGGTAAAACGATTTTCGACCTTTTGGTGTTTTTCAGTTTCGGGATTAACGTCCTAGCGAAGTACCCCTACGAGACTGACCCCGTGGTAGCGCAAGGTTGGCGCTTCTTAGATTTAAAAATCCCCACGTTTGCGAGCTATGTAGTCGGAAACGGTATCGAGTTTTGTATTAATTTTAGACTGTTGTTGTATTTGTGTATACCCCTTTTATTAGTGAGGATAGCGTCTAGACACAACTGGAAGGGTACCTACCAGGTGTTGATCCCCCACTGCGTCACGTTAAGTTGGCTACAAATTTGTATCATCAGCTCTCAAGGGGCTACAATGTTTGGGCTATTACGCGGCAGTTTAGCGTTAGTAGGAGTTGTCCTGTTTTTACCTCTAGTCGGTCTAACGAGTGTCATTTTACCAGCGGCAGCTTTAACAAAGTGGATCATAACATCTAACTTTATGTTTAGTATTTTTATCTTCGCCACCGTCGTCGGTTTAGGAGTAGTTTTATGTTATCTTTGTGCCCAAACTCGCTACAATAAAATCACAGCTTTCATTCAGATGGTGTCAGCAGTTCTTGCTGTGATCACGCTCGTGAAATCCGGTTACTACAAGAACGACGAACACTACTTTGACGAAAACAAATTACCGGAGTATCTGTCATGGGACGTTTACCAGAGGTTTTGCCACCAACCCGTCTGGCAAGAAGAAAATATAGCCCTAGCACAAATTAAATGTGCCGAGTTGGACAATTCACACATCAATTGGGACGGTTATATAAACGATATCAAACTCAAATCAATCTCTAACAGTTTCCAAACAATCTTCGACCATTTCCCTCATTCCATACGTCAATACTTGTATTGTTTCTACGGAGAAGAAAACAAAGACGATTGCGATAACTTTCCACTAGCCATCCGAGAAGAGTGTACTTCTTTTTACAGCGCCATCAAATCAACCAAGTCGTGTTCTCTCCAGAAATATCACTCGTACACGTTCGAAATTACAACAAAAGTTCAGTCGGGGATATGGGGCAAAAGCCCAGAAGTAACCCTCGTCGTTGACAATTATTTTAAAAACTTTACTCTTAATCTGAAACCGAACGACCATATTTGGTTCAAAGGGACGCTTTTTAACAACGAAATTGCGGGCGCGGATGGAATTCTAGGGGGCTTTAAAATTCACGTCAGGTTGGACGAGATGGGGTGTCTTGCTTGCAGTAATGTTCATCTAACAAGTATCACGAGGAAAGTGGAAACGAAGTTTGATATTAGTAGCGTTGTTGACGCACTCATCGTGGGTCTTAAGTTTATTTTAAATGTAATTTTAAGTCCTGTTGTAGTTCTCAAATAGACTGTTACTCACTTTGTATTAACTTTATGTTATTGTAATTTATTGATGTTAATAAATGTTATATAAATGTATTATGTAGTATTTAATTTTAATTTAAATCCGGTTTTAATTACCCCCTCCATGTTTTTCTCAACCCTATTCCTTCCCTGTAGTGACTAATCCGCCCCTGTGTCAAGCGGATTGTGTTTAGCGCATTCAGTCGTACCAACGTAACAAACCAACAAATACCAAGTTTTGGTTTGGCGTAATAAACACGTGTGTAATGTGCCGTTTTGGAAATTTTATTTAAATAAACCTCGTTTTACATCGATTTATCACCAAAATGGTAAGAAAACTTAAACAATTTGCTTTATATACACAAATCCACGTTAAAACTTGCTTGTAATGTGTAAACATAACCCCACTTTTACCATGTTTTGTTCCAGTCTAAACTATACGTTTTATACGAACACGCTGCCGGTTATGGGGTGTTCAAAGTGCAGGAATTTGAAGAAATCGGCATGTTGTTGCCACAGTTGGAAGCGGCCGTTCACGAATTGTCTCGCTTCAACAGCGTCGTTCAGCTCGTTGGGTTTTCTCCATTTAAAACAGCAGTCGCAGCCTTGGAAAACATTAATGCTATTTCGGAGGGTATTTTACCGGAGGATTTGCAACAATTTCTGGATATAACCGTACCCAAAACTAAAAAGAAAAATAAAATCACTTTGGGGGTTAGCGACCCTAAACTAGGGGCTGCAATTACTGAAGCTTTGGGAATACAATGTAGCCACGTGGGGGCGGTACCCGAAGTAATTCGAGGTAAATATTTATAGTTTAATCAGGATCATAACAATAATATTCGTTTAATAGGTATCAGAGCGCACTTCCATAACCTTATCAAAGGTTTCACGGCCACTAGTTCAGCAGTCGCGCAATTGGGTCTAGGACACTCTTATTCTCGAGCCAAAGTGAAGTTCAACGTTCACCGAGTTGACAACATGATCATCCAATCAATCGCTTTACTTGACCAACTGGATAAAGACATCAACACGTTTTCAATGAGGATACGGTACGCCAGTCACTAAACAGTCTAAAACCATACTAATTGTACTTTTAGGGAATGGTACTCATACCATTTCCCAGAGTTGGTGAAGATCGTTCCCGAGAATTACACCTACGCCCGTCTAGCCAAATTTATTAAAAACCGCAAGGACTTGAACAACGAATCTCTGGAAGGTCTTGAAGAAATTACCATGGATTCGGGTAAAGCGCAGGCCATTTTAGACGCGTCTAAGTCGAGCATGGGCATGGATATCAGCGTCGTAGATTTGCTAAACATCGAAATGTTTGCCGGTCGTGTGATTGCGTTAGCAGATTACAGAAACCAGCTTTCTGAGTATTTAAAAACTAAAATGAACGATGTTGCCCCAAATTTAGCCAAGCTGATTGGGGAGCAAGTCGGGGCACGATTAATCGCACACGCCGGGTCTTTAACGAATCTGGCGAAGTACCCAGCTTCCACGGTGCAGATTTTGGGTGCCGAGAAAGCGCTGTTCAGAGCTTTGAAAACTAGGGGCAACACCCCGAAGTACGGGTTGCTGTTTCATTCCACTTTTATTGGCCGCGCCGGGGCTAAAAACAAGGGACGCATTTCGCGGTATTTGGCAAACAAGTGTTCTATAGCTTCCAGAATTGATTGTTTTACGGAAAAGCCGACGCAAGTTTTTGGGGAGAAGTTGAGACAGCAGGTTGAGGATAGACTCAAGTTTTATGAAACCGGCGATGTTCCGAAAAAAAATATTGAAGTGATGAAGGAAGCTATGGAGGAGCTGGAGCAAGAGGCGGTGCAAACTAAAGCTGAAAAGAAAAAGAAGAAGAAGAAGAAGCATAAGTTGGACGAGACGGCGACGAGTGAGGGTTTGGAAGAGAATGGGTTGGATCAGACCAACGGTAGCGTTGCTGAAGAAAACGTAGAGCCGCCGAAGAAGAAGAAAAAGAAGAACAAGAAGAGTAAGCAGGTGGAGGACGAATGAGTAGGTTTTAACTTGATAGGTTTACGAAAGTCGCAGATGTTTCGTGGGAAACTATTGTGGCTGTTTTTTTAATGGTTATATTAATAGCAGAACTACTTTATGAATAATATAAAAATGTATCGCTAGTGATTTTATTTTCACGATTCCACCAGTTACAAATATTAAACAAAAACAGCAACAGCTGTGAAATAAAACAAAGTACTTCACAACAATAATTTATTTCGGGGGTTTACAATACTAAGTGAGCGGAATGTTGAACAGTTACACGACTATTAATCGTAATAAGGCACGGCGGCATTGCGTTTCGTGATTTGCTCAAAAAGAAAAACTAACGATGAAACAAATTCGTTTTATTTTCATAGAAAATTATTAACAATACGATATTGCTCAATCTCTTCTGTTTTACTAGTCGGGGCGTATCTCCCTGATCCTACAAGTAATAGATAAATAATAGTTGCATAATACTAAATTAAATAACCATAAAATATTATTAACAAAACTTAATCGTACCCAGCACCCTCAATGAGCATTGTAGTTGTACAAACAAAACTATACAAAAATATGTGCATGAAATAGAACTAAAGCAAGACCAAATGGCTCATTCAACGAATAAAATACAATCTTTGGAATTTTTCGCGCGACTTCGTCGAATTTCATAAAAAAGTTAACGATCTTTTAAAAACTAGGAAACAACTGTTTATTTGGCTGATTGAAGCTGTTCGGGGGGAAGCCTTGAGCGTTGAAATTCACGGCGTTGTACTGATTCATCAGTTTGGGCTGATTTATCGGCGAGGTGGGATTGCTAGCCAATTGGTTCATGCTTGGTGAGACCCCCTGTTTCGGTTTAGTCACTAACAAATTGTCTAGATCGATATTTAGATTGCCCGAATTGCTCCACGTCGACCCTATCGGTTGATTTTTATTTGACGTTGGTGTTTTCTCGGTGTTGTTATTGGACGATGCGGAAGACAACGGTTGAAGCGGTTGTTGAGCTGACGTTGGGGTTAGGATCGAACCTGCGCAGACACGCAAAGCCGATCAGTAACAAAAAGTGAATAATATAATGATAACGAACAAGTGTGACACAAGGAATGTGGGTCGTAAAGGGAAAATCGAAAGCAAGCACACAATCATTTTTACGATTTATTCATCAACTTTTAACACGCTATCGATAATACACATCGCACTAGCGGCCAAAGTCCTACACTCTACGTTAGGTTCACCTCTAGCAACATTAAGACTCAACAGGTCGCCTAACCAAAGTCTAAACTCTAAAAGTTCGTCTATAAAATCAGAAACCAAAATTGCGTTAGGTGTATTCAATACAGCGGCACCTATTAAACTGATAACCGACATTCTAACCTTAACGTCCTTATGGAAACGCAAATACCACGAAAAGTGAAGAATTTCCTTCGCCATGCGTGGTTCAGCGGGACAATTCTGCGCACTACACAACACAATAGTCAACGCCCTTATAAAATGTACCAACAAAATAAAATCGTTGTCTTGAGGCATCTGCGAAATCATTTTATTCCTACCGTACCCATACAACAACGGAAAGAAAAAATAACTCGCGACATGCGCAAACTTGTTAAGTTGTTCCACTCTGAACGACTTATGTGAATGAAAGTATCTCGTTTTCGCCTCGAGTCTCTTTCTTATAACCTCCTCTGCACTCTCCAACTCGCGACTCTTTTTTTTCTTCACCACAATACTCTTCGTCTCTTTCTCCGGTTTCAAACTAGACAAAGTTTCAGCAGCTTCGCTCAAAACGTCCAAAATTAGAATCCTGTGGGATATAGAGTACGTACCGACGTCTGCATGAAACTCCTGACACAAGAACTCGGCACTTTGTGCTGGATAAATACAAGCGATCGCCACACAACTGCGGAAAACGCAAGCATCGAAATTGTCAACAAAAAATCGCTGTTCTAGAGCGAGCAAAATTTGCAGAAGCTCAATTCCCAAAGACGCGTCGTCGTCGGGTAGTTGTTGCGTGATCAAGTTTTGACAAACTTGGACGCTTTGGGTGAAAACTTCGCAATCTTGCGTCTCGAGTAACCCGTCTTTGAGGTCGCGCAAGTACTTCGGGACTTTTCTTGAAATTTGTACATCGTTGGATACGTCGTAGGGTTCTAAATCGTCATCCGAGTCTAATTCAAAGTCGGTGCTGTCGATAATCGTGATTAGGTTGTTTTTGTGGATGGATTCAGCGACGATCACGTTGTTCGGTGCTTCGAGTGATTTTTTTAGTTGTTCGGGAGGTGTATATGGAATATTTTCAACTCTCGTTACTAGCAATAGCGATATTAACTCGGCGACGTTGTCGTCGATGATTTTGTTTGTAAAATAAATCGTCATGTCGTTGTCATACAGGGTTTGCAGTTTTTCGACAACCGATTTAGACCCTTCTGGTAATGTGGAATAGTCGAATTTAAGAGCAGCTGCTTGATTGTCGCTTTCCGAATTCAAGAAATTGAGAACTATCTCGGACGCTTTCATTCCCGAGGCTCGAATCTCGTGGATGTTACTCTCTAAATGTATGGACACTCCCGCGTACATTTTCTCTTGAATGGTTCTCGCTTCGTGCTCGCTGAAACCAATATTCTTCATACTGTTCATGATAACAACGATCATTTTTGTGATGTATAAATGTTGCTCCACACTCGTATGATTTAGGGCGGACTTATCCGACCAAACAGTCACTAAATTCACGAGTAAAGTAAACAAACTGTGGTCGGAAGCAGCGCTTAAATAAACAACCAAGTTATTTACGAGTTTGTCGTCTTCGTAACACGACAACAGCGGTATCTTTGTACAAAACACAAACTTCCAGTTGTCGTTCTTTACTAATTCACGCCCCAAGAAATTTTTAATCGAGAAAAGAGTCGGATCGAAATTTTTTAACACCATCAACGCGAAAATTTCCACCGCTGCTCGTTCCATACTTTCAAACACCTTCCAGAACAGTTTCTGATACAAGTGTTGCTTCTGTGATTTTTGATTAGTCAAAACGGCTACGATTCTGATGAAGCTTTTGATGCCTTCCGACTGCTGGTGTTCGTGGAAGTCCGTCAAAGTTTTGCTTAGCAGAAGACTCAACTGACCGTAATCGAAATATATTTCGTGTTCGGATTCGTGTAGTAACAGATCTGTCGCTAATTCTATTAATTTTAAAATCGTGAAAACGAGAAATTTGCAATATTCGTCGGCTTTGAAAAAGTCGTTGAATTGTCCTTGAAGCGAGTTGGACACTCGATTCGGCACGGACATCAACATTCTGACTTGACTTTCCCACTGCGTCTGTCTTTCCTCTCTCTCGAAATCGCTTTCTTGTCGCAACGAGTAAAAATTGTGGAACACTAAATCGAAACATCCTTCGCTTTTCAAAACGGCTTCCATTAATAAACTTAACGTCGTCGCGACGTTTAACTCTCTCGTTTTTAAATTCGTGACGATCACGTCGCACGCGACAACAAAAAAGTTGTGATCTTCCACACAAAACAGTCTTCGTATCTCCTCGTAAATCCGTCCTTCGTTTAGAGGAAAAGTGTGGTCGAATTTCGATGTCACGTTTTCTAGGAGTGTCCTGTATTCCTGATCGGCGAAACTACCGAGATCGGTTTCATCGATTTTTAGTAACTTTTGGACGGTTAATGTCGGCAGTGTTTGTATAATTCCGTCGAGACTGTTGAGTATGTTCTCGACGTCGGTTTGGGATGAGATTTTCTTGATTGCGTTCAATGTTTTCATTGCGGCGGCGCTAGCGTCTCGCATTTGTTTCTCGACGATATTTTTTCTTGGTTTACGAGCACACAACACTTCCCGATTTGCGGTATCTGGAATGGGAAAGCTCGAATGAGTTTCCCGAAATCAGTTTCGTGGGCTGGGTGGGAAGAAAATTCATAAGACAAACGTTTTTGCATCAAGACTATCGTAACAGCGCAAGATATGATTTTTTTTATTTTACGCATAAAACGCGCTCTTTACTGCACACCGATAACTCAACCAAGAAGGGAGCTGACGAGAAAATATGGCATATTCGACACACGCATTATTTACAATTCACTGGAAAATGATATTAAAAAAAAACGTGAAGTACCTGGAAAGTGCATCGTTGACGCAGAAAATTTTTAAAAGCATTCCATAACGTGACCATTAAAATTTAAAAACAAGTTACTTGTTCTGAACCTGCTGCAATTATATTGATAAAACACTTAAACGACGATTATCATTAAAATATCGCTTAATGGATTTTTAATATTAAACAAGGCAATAAAGTAACACCTGCGTAAAAATTTCAATTATTTATTTACGAAAAATGCCGAAAAGCAAGTTAAAAAATGAAATAAAACAACGGCAAGGTCAACCGTAAGCGAAAATATCAACGGGTTAATCCTTGAATAATACCATTTAATTCGCGTACTTAATGAACCATTACCGTCCGCAATAAACACGTCACATTTCCAGCAATAAAGTCCACAATTTATCCGCTTTGCTAAAGTTACGACCTTTATCGACTTTTATTTCCGCATGCGACGCGTCAACCCCGAAATGAATTTTTCACAACCCCTTCCCCGACTTACCTTCATCCAATAAACTAGGGGCAGCCCCCATGAGGCCTTGATTATTATTTGGTACGCTTTGCGGCTGTATACTCAAACCGCTAAACCCGGACAAATCGCCCAACAAATCATTGCTATTATTCTGTTGCGGCTTCGCTGCCACCCCCATCATATTCGCGTTATTGGCCATAAACGGCACCGATTGAACCCCCATGAGATTCGCAGCCGTCCCATCTCCCATCAGACTCGTCTGCGGTGCAAATAAATTCTGCTGATTTTGATTCAGCAAGTTCTGCGGGTTCTGATTCTGCGAAAAAGCCGAGCTGAAATCGGCGAAGTCGTCTTCGGATTTCTGCGTCGTCGGGTTGCTGCCGAAAGCTGCCTCGAAATCGCCGAATTCCGTCGGCTTCTTCGATTCGTCCTCGTCGGCGCGAGGATTGAAATCGTCGTTCAACAGATCGTCCGCTTGGGGTAACGGACTCTGACTAGCATCTCTGCCGAAGTTTGCAGCTGCACCCAAATCTACCTTCTTTAGAGGTTTGTTGACTTTTTTCGGCGAATTCGTTATGGCGGAATTGATATTGATACTGACGCGTTTATCGGCGTAGGTGGGACTCGGCTCGTTATCTTTGTATTTTCGCGTATTTGAATTGTTGCGTGTGGACTCAGTGTCACTGTCCTCTTTGTCCAGGTCGTAGTCGTCTTCGAAAGTGCGGTCGCGGTAGCGACTCGCGCCGGACGCCGGCTCTTCCCAGTCGCGGTCGGCGTAGTCCCGGGGGCGCTCGTCCCACCGCTCGTGACTTCCTGCAAAAGGAGAGAACACCCACAATCATTCTCTTGTTTTAAGGACCAACTCACCTATCCTCATGTTGACCATGTCTGAGCTCATTCCGATGTATTTGTCTTTGTTTTTTTTGGCTTTTTTCCGCTCCTCTCGCAGTCTGTCGTCGTCTTGTATGAATTCTATAAGCTCTTTGACTTTATGTCTAATATTAACACCCTGGTCTTTGCCCATGTCATCTATGAAACTAAAATTCTCTAGTGACCTTAAATCATAAATATGTTCTCTGGATGAAGTAACAACACGTTCAGAGCCATTTTTGATTAAGTAATTGAGAAGTAGTAAGGACTGTAATTTAACGCATTAGCCATTATCAACAAGTAAATAAAGTAAACCTTGTAAATTCTCCTCCAGTGTTGTTTATTGTCTTGAAACATCCTCTTCCACAACATGGACATAACTTCGGGAAAATGTTCATAAGTAAAGGTGGAATGCGCCAACTCTTGCATCATTTGCCCTGTAGGGCCCCAAGGTTCGTCATTTGTGGCCTCCCTTACTTTGGCCTCAATTTCGGTATAATTCATCACCACGTTTGTGCTAAAACGAAAAATTAACTAAAACGCCCGCGTGGAGTCATCGGAACTTCCCGAAATTGCACAAAAGGACAAAACAGGAAAAAAAAGATAAACATCTGGAGGTTGTGTACTTACACTTTATCTGCGAGTTCTCGCACTTTCCACATACTAAATAAATTATCCATTTTGTTTTAAATGAGATCTTCACTAATACAGAACTATGGTGTGTGTTTCTTTGCTTTTATCACCCGGATTATCTCAATTTTTGGCTAAAGATGACTTGGCGATCATTCAGCCATACTTTCCACGAATGTGACACACCATCGGACTGCCAACTTCCGCCAAAAACCCTAACACGCAATACGTCTAGTTACAAATTCAATTAATAAGAAACCACAATATTAAACAAATCAGTTTTCCTGTGGTTTGTTACAATTCAAAACAATTGATAAAGTCGCAATAGTAATAATAATATTCTGCTTATATTAAAAAATTGGATGACAAAACGTTGCGACTTTTTTAGTTTTTATTGTGGCTACACTACGCGTCACAATTATAAAAATGTCAGTGGCGGTGAGGTCACTTTCCATTCATAAAATTTCCTCAAATCTCGCACTCAGTTCTGGTTAATTCTCACCGCCAACAAAATGCCCCCAATTAAAGTAATACTCTTAGCATGCGGGTCCTTCAACCCCCCCACAAACATGCATTTACGAATGTTCGGTAAGTGTTTTTGTTGACATAACATTGTTACAATGTTGTTTCTAGAAATCGCGAGAGATCATCTTCACCGATTGGGTAATCATGTGGTAATAGGCGGCCTAATCTCGCCCGTTCACGACGGTTACGGCAAAAAAGATCTCGAAGGGGCGACCCATCGGATGAACATGGTCCGGTTGGCGCTCCAGCACTCAGAGTGGATCAAATTATCAGACTGGGAATGCAAACAAGAGACGTGGAGTCGCACAAAGCAAGTTTTACAATACCATCAGGTATGTTGTTGACGACGCTGATTTAAGTGATGATGGAGTTATTTTAGAATCACGTCAATGCACTTTTACACCCTGCTAAAAATAATTTAGATAAAGTGAACGAAGATGATGTTCATTGGGTGCCTGATGATGTGAGGAATTATTGTGGGGATTCGGTGCAGATCAAGTTGTTGTGTGGGGCGGATTTGTTGGAGTCTTTCGGGACACCGGGATTGTGGTCAGATGATGATGTGAGTAGGTTGTGTTTTGGTGATGAGATTTTTATTAATTGGTTGTAGATTGAAGCTATAGTTGGACAACATGGTCTAGTCGTTATTACACGCTCAAACACTAATCCTAATGAATTTATTTACAATTCGGACGTACTTACAAAGTATATGGTAAGGATTGTTAAGAATTTTAATTGGTAATAATAGGATTGTTTTTAGTCAAACATAACTATAGTCACAGAATGGATTCAGAATGAAGTCAGTTCCACAAAAATAAGAAGAGCTTTGAGGAGATCAGAGTCAGTCAAATACCTAATTCCTGATAGAGTGATTGACTATATTCATAAACACAACTTGTATGGAAGCAAGAATATGTAAGTACTTTTAATTTAGTGTCTGCTTCTGTTAAAAAATCTTGTGAGAATGTTTTGTGTAATTTTTTTCAATTGTCCATTTTGTTTCCTGCTGCTGGATAACAGTAAGTACTTGACAGCAGAATTTAACTCCAATTTTTTGACTCCGTCGCCGTCTGACGTTCCTATGGAATCCCCTAGCCCGACAAACTGCATGCTTATTTGCAACAACACGCTATTTTCTCGATCGTACGAAAAGCGTCTCTCGATTGATACGGTAGATAGCGTGACCAAAACGAACGTGTTAAACGCGGTCCGTCACCCCGGCCAAGCCGTTAAAATCATTACAGAAAGCAACGGCGAACACAAGATCATTAAACAAGGTTCAGACTCCAAAGAGGTACGTAAAGAAGACAAGAAAACGTTAAAAAACTCAAAAAGTTGTGCCAATATTGACGAATTGCATAGTAAGAGCAGCGTAAAAAGCAGCAAATCTAACGCGAACCTGAAAGAATGCAAAAGCTGTGATGAAAACTTGATAAAATTTATTTTTACCAAACACGGAATTCAAGTTATTAGCGATGTTGAGACGATCGTTTGAGTGCATGGTAGTATTAGTTGAGACATCTACCTATTGGCTGTGTTTCTGTTCACTTTCAGATAATACAATAAAAGCATTTCTTAATGAAATTAATGTCGCTCTTCCAATCTACTTTGTGTACAGTGTTCAAAAATGGTTTATAATGCATGAGTCATTGTGATGTTTTCGTGTAGCATGTTGTTTTCTGTTTCAGGCATCTCTAGTCCGACCTGCATGCCTTCTCTAGTTGAGCTCAATGTTAAAAGGGACATTGCTCGCGTCCCGAAATAGAATAAATCTCAAAACCACTACATTCCGCTGATCCTAAAATTTTGAGATTTATTATTGGTCAGTGATACATTGTTACTTAAGTAGTTAGCGGATAGATTCTACTAGGCATTTATTTATTTTTGTTAACTTGTGCAATGCAGTTTTGTATATTATAAATTTTATCGTGAAGTATTGTAATTATAAACTTGTCAATAGAGGAGGAAATATACATCTTATTTATAAAAAAAAATTACCGTATTTTTTTCCGAGTCATTCTTAGTAATGAAAATTTCTATTACAACTAACAAATATGCGTTTAACTTATTTAAAAAAAAAACTGTATTTTTTCAAGTCTTGTACAAAATATTAACAATAAATAGAAGGAACACAACAAATATATATTTAGACCGAAATCCCTATAAGAAAGTGATGCTTAAAGCCTTGCGTCGCTTTCCGACGTACGTGGAAATCTATTGCACTTTAATGGAATTACGTGACCAAAAAAATGGCACAAAGGAGACAATTCAATTCTTCTCAGTCTTACTGACTTCACAGTTACACCAGGGAGTAACATTTCTGTCACACAACAGTTCAATATTTATAACAGTCAGAGGGGCGCTCCCTATTGTCATGGATTTATAACTAATAATTTTGTACCTCACGTCGTGGAGTCCCGTCTGTCTATCTCGCCGTCTTGTAACCTCTCTTTGATTGAAACACTTCACAGTGTCTCTTTTTCTGTCCTTGCCATGGATGTGTCTGCAATTCAGTATTAAACAAACAATAACAAAAACGAATTTTCACAAACTTAAAAGTGTCGTTCATTCCCGTTGATATGTTTTCCGGACGAGTTATATTTAAATTGGCGTCTTTAAGTCTTACGTAAAATTCGTCGTCTTCTAAACCCCACCCCCAATACTTATTTGATAGTCCATTAACTAGATTAAAATGTTCCCTAAAACGTCCTTATTAGCAAAATGAACTTGGAACAAGACAAACCAACCTATTAATCAATAAAATTCCACCTATAAATTTCTCGTAATGATAGCGGGGGTGCAAATGCGGCGCTGCAAGATGGAAAGGTTGCTGAGGATACAGGTAAGTCAAATTTTTATTTAAAGGTAATAAATCAACGTCGTGCATCGCTATATAATCATAATTTGACTTAGTTTCAAGGTAGCCTACATTAATTAACGACGCCCTATTAAAACGGTTACTATCTACTTGATTTAAGATAAAAATATCGTGGTTGATTCTCTGCCCGTTCAAAAAATCGTGGATATATGGCACGAACTCCATCAATTCCTCAAATCGGTTTCGGTAAGGTACTAATACTGCTAGTTTGTGATTCGATTCATACCCTTTGTTTGTATAATGCTTGGGCTTTGCTACGTACTGAATAACGGTTTCTTGACGAGGGCAGTTGCAATGATCTAAAATAATCACGAAACTGACACGAGTCACCCCAATTTAAAACTCTCACCGTTTGTTAGTAGTTTAAATGTTAAAACAACCGTTACTATAAACATCACAGTCAGTAACATGGCAAAGAAGTGGGTGAAGGTAAACCGGAAGATTTTCTGCTTCGTTTGAGCCATTGTGGTTGCTGCACATTTTAAGAAGCGATTTTTTTTTAAATTACAGGTTATAATTAACCTAACTTTTGTGATGTTTGCATCATGATGGCCGACGTCAGAGCTACCAATGGAAAATCGAAAAATTATCAACTTGCCAGGGTTACCAAACGTTGGTTTTTCCTCGCCCGACGTTTGCACAACATTGCGATCTCGGCAGTCGTAAGAATTCATCGCTCTGGTTAGATTTGCCTTTGTGTAGTGTGTTGGTTAGCGACAACCGGGATTAATCGATTCTGGCGATAATACCGTTATCGATTTATTTTCGCCAAGTTGGTGGACTAACGTTGCGCAACCTGGTGGCAGCTGTGCGTACTTAAAGGGCGCTAGCCGCTGTCATCCCGAAGTTGACCGTCTCGTGTTCAACTGGAAACATGTTATTGAGTTTTATTCCAATCTCATCCCAAATTAAATGTCAGGTGTTAAGTGCATGTGTAAAAAATTGTTTAACAAACAGTTTACCGTCTTGATCTAGTGTGAAATTAGTTGTTTTATTTAGTAAATTTAAGAAAAAGTTTATTTAATTGTCGACCATGCCGAAAGGAAAACGAAAAGGAAAGTCTGGTGAGTAGGCGCTTATCGCACGGATACATAAGGATCAATTTCGTTACTAATGGCTGCGGCTGTGACGTCACTTATCGAAATTCCCGAAAATGTGACATATGGAACGGGTTCTGGGTTTTCGGGTTGGGAGAAACGGCGACTTTTGGAAGCGACCGTGGGGTATTTTCGCGTTTGTTTTGTAAACACGTCGGAGTTCTGGGAAGACGATGATGAGTCATGGGTGAATTGGCAGATTTTTAATGAATTCTATAATTACACATAATTGCACAGAGCTGGATTCGCAAAAATAGCATCTCCTGTTGCACATAATTCCCATTTCGCGAAAGACCATTACATAATGTAGCGCCGACTATCAATGTGTAATAAAAAAATTCAAGGCGAATTTTTTGAACTAACCTTGAAATACTAAATCCAGAAATACGAATAAATTAGTCCGAAAATAATTGCTTCCAGCAGAGATTGTTTGTTTTGAATATTTATTGTAATATTGTCAAGGTCGCCCTTTGTGTTTTTTTTCCAATTTAATTACAAATTGACCATAAATTTTGTTGCACAATGTTTAAACACTGCAACATATGGTAAACAATCTACAAAAAAAAGGAAGTCCTGTTTCCTTTGTTCGCGATCTGCAACACGTGTCGGAAACCTAGGTAATAATCAATGATCTAATAACTAATGGATGGAATGTTGAGGCGCGTAATACCGCTCGCATGCGGTGACAACTAGAGAGAGAAATAAACATATCTATAGTGAGTGTTGTTAGACAAGGCCAACACGTATCGGTAGGCAAGAACGAGCTTCGGTGCCGTTGAGTTAAATAGGAGATCATGTAAAAATGATTTTAAAATTCAACTTTGTTGTCGTTTTTTTTTATTTTGTAGGACACTGTATATACATACAATACAAAATGAATATAAACACACAATTTATTGAACAAAATTAATTTTGTGTATACCTGTCTGATTTTATTAGGAACTTGATTATTTCTGCGGTTTTCATAATTCAGTCTAATAATAAAAAAATACGTAAAATTACATAAACGAACTGGACTACATGATTGTTAAGTGGATCTTGATCCAAAATGTGGTCATTTAAGACATTAAACATATTTCTGAAATTTAGTAATCTAATGGTTTTAATTGTAAGAATATTAATAACATTCGCTGAAATATTATATTTCATAGTTCTGAAAGTGATTTCAGCTATCTTACAAACTTTGATGACATCAACTGATGGCTTTGTAAGTTCACCTCTATTTTTTTAAATTTAGCAGTGCCGAAAGGGTCTCATTGGGTCTCATTGTTAGTCAGTTTTCTAGGCCTTGTTTCATTTTTTTTTATGTTTTGAAAAATTCTCAGTTGTTGTGTGGGATTAACAGAATTTATTAACTGCCGAAAATTCTCATTTTTAAAATGTTTGCTAGACACTCTTGACGCAGACGTCCGAACAAATTTATCTCGTTTAAGTGCAACAATCCATTGCTTTCTTAGCAACAGATTTGTCGGAAAACTGAAATTAAATTAAATAAAGATTGTATGAAAAAATTATTCAGCAGATATCTCACCGATGAAATGAAATATTACAGCCTTTGTGATGCCGCTCCTCGCATCCAAATGCACAACAAGATGTAACCATCGTGAATATGATTGTTATTATTGCGATTGTAAGAAAACAAGCACTTTAGAACTGCACAGAAATGCCACACACACCAGGAAGCGAGTAATTAAAAGTAAATTTTAACTGGAAGTTGCTTTGTTTTGCCTACCGATTCGGACCTCTCAAATGGTCACCGTACCCTCTCTCTCTAACGTCTCTCCAGTCTGAGATCTCTATGGTAATAATAAAGTCAAACGTCCAGCTTGCCAGCTGGCCCATTTCCCGACCTTGACCCATGTCCATTTAAATTCCCGTGTTCACCACTCAATGATCTCACCCGAAATTCCAGATCGTGGTCGTTTCGATGGCTCTCTGCACACCTCGGACGACGATTCCTTCAATGACAACAACAGTGTCATCAGCAATTACTCTGAAAACAAAAGTGTAGAGGAAGGCGAAGATAACGAAGAGTACGTCCAAGAACAGTTTGAGGATAAACTGATAGAAATGTTGGACGGGTTGAATCAGAAGTCGTCGCAAGGAAGGATCAATTGCATTCAAACCCTGCGTAAAGCGCTCATTAAAAAATACGTTCCAAATTTTGTCAGAGAGAGACACTTCACGATTTGCGATAGCATAGAGAAGAGTCTGAAGAAAGGCGGAGGTTTGGAGAAATCGGCGGCTGCCGAACTGGCTCCTGTGATCAGTTTACAGCTTGGAGAGGAAGACGCGGGAGAGATGGTTGATAAGACGTTGAGGCCTCTTCTGATTACAGCTGCCTGCGACGCTTCGGTCGGCGTCGGTGCCAGAGCGAAGGTAAATAATTTCGTATTTCGGGTGTTTCAATTATTATTTAATTTACATACCGCGACATGGAATTCAAGAATGAAAGTGCATTGCGTTGAGTTATTCAGTCACGTTTGAAGTAATTTTGAAATTGAGCGTTAAGGTGCGGTAATCCTAGACCGTTGTCAGGTCGGCTTTGAAAGTAATGCATCTTGGAGGTAGACGACCGATTGGAATGTTCCAAAAAGGATCTCCAAAATTTATTACTTCCAGAACTTGTTCGCTCGATAATGAGTAGCGTAACTGCACTAGACATTATAAGAAGTAGAAGAGTAAGTAAAATCCTTGTTGGACCTGATGTGAAAATGGGGCAATAAATTTTACAGTTAACGTGATACTTTGGAGTTTAGTATGTCGTAAACTAGGACTAGGACGTTGCCCCAGAAGTTTCTTATTGTTGTGGAGCGACTCCATGTCATATATTTTGTCAGCACAACAAAAACTAATTTGCGTTCGTAAAAATTCTAGCAAACTTGATAAGAACAAATAATGTTTGCCTAATGGATTGTTTATCAGGTGTCTATTGATAACATGCAACAAAGCAAACATAAATATAAATTTTAAAAGATTTGTGTTTTCTAGTTACATTGAAACGACATAGACATAAACATATTATCTATCAAACAAAAATAAATACATGTTTATCTTACGTACACATGTACTTGTAATTGCGTTGACAAATTATTACCTATGATACGTTGCAAAATTTTTGTTAACAAAATGAACGAATGTCTGATTTCGCGTCTTAAAAAGCTTAATGTGTTATTTTTTAGTGTTGCCACGCCTTGGGCATGATGGGTTTCCTCTCTGGAAGCCAGTTGGGAGACGTCCTTTCCCTAATGCAAAACCTGGAAACTATTTTCTCTGGTAGCTACTTAAAAGGAGACGGATCCATCCCGAACATCACCTCGGAAGTGGCAAACCTCCACGCGGCAGCGCTAAGTGCTTGGACGTTACTATTAACAAATATGCCACCAGGAAGTCTCACAGATTTAATAGACACTAAAACCCTACCGTACGTTTAAAAAAATCATTATCAAACGTATCTCAACGAATTCTTTCAGATCCCTAGAGCAATTATCCGAATTGTTGGAATCGCCCCATCTTGAAGTCCGGTTAACAGCAGGCGAAGCTCTAGCTTTAATTTTCGAAGAAGGCCGCAAAGACAACTCTGAATTCGCCGACGATTTCGCCATATTCATTACAGAAGTTTTTAAAAAACTGGCCACAGATTCACACAAATACAGAGCGAAAAAGGACAGGAAGCAACAACGGGCGACGTTCAGAGACATTCTCTCGTTCATAGAAGTAAGTTGGGAGAATTTCCAGAATTGAATTTTATTGATCGATGTTTTATGACGTTTCAGGACGATATTGTGCCGGATGTTCAGGTGAAATTCGGCCGGGAAATCTTGGTGTTGGATACGTGGGCGCGGAGGAAGCAATACGAAGCGTTGTGCAGTGTGCTGGGTCCAGGAATAAATCTACACCTTGGAGAAAACGATCTCTTGAGAGATATTTTCGAAATTACGGCTCCGATAGTTCAGGCTCATGACGCTCCGGCGCATGCGCAGCAACATCTGGAGAGGTGTCGCAAAGTAAGTGGGGATGGGTGGTGAGAAAAATCGTACATTTTTGACATTGTGTTTTGCAGCGACTTTTAAACGCAGCAGCATTCAAAGCCAGGACGATATCACGGGCGAAGAACAGGGATAAACGATCAGACTTCTAAGTGTATATTATGGGGGATATTTAATGTATTTATTTTAGCTCAATTATAACTATTTTCATCGTAGTTGAATTGATTTTGTAGTAGAGTAGCAAATACATAGATTTTCGGTTGTATCTAATCATAAGTAAATTTTCAGTGTAGTGCGATATTTTAAATTTGTAAATACGTTTTTATTAAAATAAATTTACAAATTTAGCGAGTGTTTTAATGCATTTCCAGGTTATTATACGATCACAGAACAACGAATTGACCAGTCAACATATTTATTTCTCGATATTTTCTTTTTTAACTTACATATGGCACTCTGACGCTGCTGTCTTTCCACTGGTGTTATTACTTTACTGATCGTATTAAACACCCTCCAGAGACAACAAAAATAAAAAACATTTGAGATTTAAACATCTATAACAATATAAATTTGTAAACAATGCAACAACAGTTTAATGCGATCAGTAATTATGCGGGAAAAGATTAATAACAATAATAAAAAATAATACAAAAGTTTTGTCAAGATTGTTTACAACCCGGTAATTTTCTAACTGCGATACAAGAGATTGGTTTCTTCCACCTACGTTTTGAACTTTGGTTTGGTTGAGCATTCCCGTTGTTTTGTTCGGCTTCGCGTTTCATTATCTCTTCTGAAAAAAAAAAGCCGGTACATCTGGCATCCGTAATTCCTCTACGTACATACCGTTCAGCTGGCGCTGCGTAAAGTACTGGAGGTTACTGGCTGTATCTGAAGTGTCATAATAATGATCAAACAGATATGGTAAAACAGTCATACAGTGGAACTCATCATTTCTTAAAGGTGGTATAGGAACTGGTGCCTCAGTTAGGGGTGGCCTCTTAGAAAACCAACTAAAACCTCAATTAATACCGACATTTTACAACTTTCCCTACACTTACAGGTGCTGCCTAATTTGTTGCAAACTAAATCGTTCTTCAGGCTCTTTCTGCAACATTCCCCACAGTAAACTCCTCAAAGGATCTTCAATATCACCTGGTATTGTAAAGTCGCCCTTTCCTATATTCTCAAATAACTTATAAATACTATCACCTTCGAACGGATATTGCCCAGTCACAAAATTATACCTAAAAGTTGCGAATTCAAATCGTGGAAAAAAATTACGCTGAGTATTACAATGTAACTCCGCTACTCCACACGTCGACTTTAAACCCCGGGAAGGAATCTAAACCGTTAGCTATTTCTGGAGGCTGAAAAGCTGGCGAACCTTGTCCTTGAACGCAAGTATCGTCGTTGGCGAAGAAATCGATTGTCTGCAAAATAAAAGCGACAAAATTGTGTAATAAAATAAGAACGTAATTGCAAGCGGTTAATGTCGCTCACGATGTTTTTAATGAAGAAGTTCGATTTTATTGCGCACACTTTTTGAAGCCATTTATTTTTACTTATAACGACCTACATTTTAAAATCTTTCAAAGGCTAAAAATACATTATAAAGTATGTTCGAATTACCAGTCGATTTTAATATCCGGACGCAGCCATTTATGGATATTAAAAACGAATAAGTTGTACTTTATTACACCTCGACGCCCGAAATGTTGTCCCAAAATATGTTATCCAAGTGTCAATTTTAGATCTGCTGCTGTTTTTGATTTTAACAGATGATATTCGTCGCAACTTCAACAGTCAACTCTTGAAATTTGAAACAATATAACATTTAACATTTTTCCCTCAAGTGTTATTGCGTTTTTTAATAAATTAGTTATGACTAAAATAGGATTTTTTTTAAACATCCACGAAAAAAGTACTAAAAATAAAACTTGAGTTATTAATAGCTCGTCTATCAATAAATTATACAAAGGAGTAAACAAAGATCACTTAGTGGCAGAATGTCTGAATGTGTTTTTGGTATCAATCATGAGGCCAGCATGCACCGGAATAATGAAAATTATATCAACGCATTAGTTCACTTTTAAAGTAAACAATACTAAAGTCAACATTATCGGCGATAACTATTTACAGTCACAATGAATTAAAGGTTGTTGTCGTAAAAAACAACTTTAAAATATTTTTAGCCTATCAATTATACGATAATCCCAACCTTTAAGGTCATTTGCCAATTTTAATTAAGTGTAAAAAAAGTTGATTTAGTAACGCGACCATTCCTCTTCTTGTGGCTTCAGTGTATTACAGAATCACTAGACATATTAGTGCTTTTATTTATCCAAAAATCTGTAACCTCTGACCTGTAGAAAACAGGTCAAGTCAGTGTCTAAACTCAGTTCCAATCATGTTCCTAGCCGCTACTTTACTCCTGGCACTTGTCATACTTTTCATAATAACACTAATAAGGTAATAACTTTTTCACAACTCTTATCACCGCCTTATCGCTTGACCAAAAAACAACTCGACTTTTTTTCAAGAAACTTTTTCGTGATCTGACCGTTCCGTGTGCGTTTTAAAAGTGTCTTTTTTATTCAGTTTTAACAAATATTTTTAAAATGAGCGAATACATAAGTCTACTTTGTGAGACGTTCTGCGCCGTCATAAAAAGGTACAATCTTACCTCCGCCACTCCCAGATCCGAAATTTTCAGCACCCCTTCCAAGGTTAGCAGCAAATTCCCTGGTTTAATGTCTTTATGCACGACCCGTTTGCTATGCAAATACTCTAACCCATCCACCAACTGCGTGAAGTACCCATGAGCCTGAAAAAACGGGAATTTCTTGGAAGGCGTCGACTCCAGCATCCCCTGCAGACTCCCCACGCAAAACTCCATAATCAGATACATCTTTTGCTTCTCATCATTGTACAAAACATCGACTAGACTGATAACGTTTTTGTGTTTGAGCGACTTTAGCAATTTGATTTCCCTAAAACAAACTCTTTGTTACAGACTCCGATCGCAGATGGCGGCCCTCGTCGCGTGGATCGTGGGAACCGTAAGTACCTTTCTACGTTTTGTACTCCATTCGGTATCCTCCTGAGCTTCCGCTGTTTTAAAATTTTCACCGCACGCCTGCACAAAGTGTCCGAATCCAACATCTCCTTCACTTTGCCGTACGACCCCTCCCCCAGCAGGTCCCCCATTACGTATTTGCCGATCATCTTGAGGCGTTTCTTCGCCTGGTAGATCACTTGGTCCGAGGACACTCGGTGGAAGAAGTTGTTAATGTTGACTCCGTCGAGGTCGTCGAGGGCGTTTGGCCAGAAGGGCTCGTCCTCGTCGAGGAGCTGGTGGTCGGACAGGTGCGACTCCTGGAGAAACAGCGGCCGCAAGTCCTCGCTGTTTACCTCGAACACTCGGTTCGTTAACTCCACTTCGTTCTCGGATATGTTCTCTTGGTCATCACTGTCACTTTGAGTTATGTTGCACATTTTGTTGTCCATAATTAATTATTTCGCACGCGGGGAGGTTTCAGTTTGATTTAAAACGTCCGGATCGAGATTTTCGGGCACACACACCTCATGTCATTTTCAATATTTTTGTTGTGCATTTCAACAGCTGTTTCTGGGGAATTTGGGTTTGATACCAGGGGCGCACGTCATTGCGAAAAAAGCGAAAAAAAAGATTTATGCTTATGATTGGAATATTTGCGATAAATTGTGATTACTGTAGCAGAAATTCGGCCGCATATCGGTACAAAATTAGTTAAATTCGAAGATATTCAAGTGGAAACGTCACGTAGGATTGCCAACACAGTTCAGCACTCACCTGAAGTTACTAAAAAACTAACCTAATATTTGATTTGGACACAATTTCTGTTTGTGCTTTTTATTGTAGATAATAAATAATTTAAGAATGTTGCGTATGCCAATAAACAAACACGCTTTAACAAAAACAATGTTTGTTGATAGGCGGCCGTTGCGTCAGTCAAAATTGGGCAATTCAAAAATTTGGTTTGATAACGAGGAATTTATTGATATTCGTGGCTAGAATTGTAAAATTATTTGTTTCGTTATCAGCGACATTTACAAATTTATGACAAAAAAAATGTGACACACCTTCAATGTCCGTTTGTCACATGTCAACAACCAGCTGTTGGCTCAATGTCACCTTGACAGTTTGAAATATTTATGTGTGGAGTTTCAAGAACTTTAAACATTAAGACGGTGATTTGTTGAGCGAATGCGATTATTGGAAATAATTTGAAAAAACGCGGTGTTTCAGGACGTCCAAGCCGTTCCAAGCATCAATCGCCGGTAAGCGAAAAAACCTGTTTCATGAATGTTCGTTTTTGCGTTATTAAAACTAATGGCTTGGGACAAGGTGCATTTTGATTATTAACTTATCTCAATTTATGTAACCTATGGCTCTTGATATATTTTAATATTCAATGCAGTTGTGTTTCATAAACACCAATAACACTCTTCGTGCTAGAGTGTCTCTAAACACCTTCGAACATGAATAAACACGCCTCCAAGGACGCCACAGTCGTCATTCTATTCAAAACAACGTTCTCATTTTTGTGGAAATTCTATATCTTCGTATTTGCGTTCCAGCTGTCTTTGTTAAAACATGCCACAAGTGTGGCTTTTCGCCTAACGAAAACCCTTTGTTTGTGGTGTATTTTAAAATTGTTGGGCGTATCGAGGTATTTAGAACAAGTGAGTTTATTTTTACTGCGTCCTGGTTTCGCTTTACACGGCCTGCAGTTAACAATTTTCGCAGATATCTGGCAGCAGAGGCTCCAGCACAGACGAACAAGAGGGTACCCCAGAGAGCGACAAATCCAAACCAAAGAAGAGCAGACAGAAGCCGAAGAAGAGTCCAACCAAAGAACCATCATTCAGCACCACCTTAACCACCCCCATTGAAGAAGTCATAGAAGAAACGATAAATGAAGAAGTGAAAAATAGCGACAGCGCGGAACCGAAAGCCAGTAAGCCGAAAAAACGGAACAAATCGGCACGGGCTAAGAAGATTAGCGAAGCCGCAAAACCCAAAACTGCCACAGACGACTCGGACTCGCTTTCGTCGCCGTCCGAAGACTTCGCGTTTCTTCCGGTGAAAGAACGAAGAAAGAAGAGCCCCAAAACGAAAATCGACGACTTACCCAAGTCGTCATTAATAGAACACTACCAACCTAGGCGAAGAAAGCTTGTTGAAACCGTCAAAGACGAGTTCGTGGTTATCGAAAAACCAGTGAAGAATCCAGAAAATCTTGTCCAGATCGTGAATAAAGAAAGCGGGAAGAGTGTGTACCTTGAAAACAAAGAAAGTAAGAAAGTTCACGCGAAGATATCGTACGCGAGCGTCGCGTCGCAGCGGTTTAACGAAAGCTTGGAGGAGTTGCTTAAAGAAGAACAGTTGAGCCAAAAGAAGGTTTCTTTTAACGAAAACGACAGCAGTCGGGAGGTTGAAGAAACTAGAAAGTTTATAACTGAAGAAAGAGAGAGCGAAACAACAGTTGGTAACGAAGGCGCCAGCAAAAGTAGTAACGAAGATTTTGAAGACGCAGAAGCTGTGGTAGAACAGACTGAAAGTCAGCCACAACAGAGTGACAGCGGAGAGATCAAAAAGGAAGATTTTGGGGAAGAAACTATCGCAAAACAACAAAATCCCGTCGTTGAAAGTAGTTACAGCGAAGAAGTCAAAAACGAAGAACTCGTTCACGAAATCCAGAGCGAAGAACGACGATTAGTGGATTTGCTCGAGGAAGAGGAGAAAGAAAGTGAAGAAAACGTCTTACCGTATTTTCAAAATAACCTTCCAGACGAACAAGTTTTTGGGGATATACAAACACTAACCCACACTTTAATCTTGAATGAACGGGCTGCCAGCCTAGAAGACACAAACCAATCTTCACTAGAAGAAGACAAATTTATTCAAATTGAAGAAAACCATTTTATTGTAAACGGCGAGAAAAGTGAAACCGTCGAAGAACGCGAGCACGATAATGAAGAACTCGATAAAGTAAACGGCGACGAACTTCTAGAAGTTGAAGAAATCCAACAACGAAAGTTTGTAAAAACCGCACAGTGTGCACCGAATGGAAACAATTCGTCTAGTCGAATCGTAGAAACAGATGACCCTTCTTCCGTTGAAGAATTAGAAGCCGCGGTTTACGAAACCCCATTTCAGGAAGAATTTGTGTACGTGACTGAAGCAGAGGTGAAAACGAACGGCGAAGATTTAGAATTTGAAGATACGCAATTAGTGGAAACGAAACCTTTCAAGATGTCGTCTGGTACTCAGATTCGTGTTTTCACTCTAAACGATAAAGAACATCAAGATTCTACGTTGTACAGACTCGAGAAGAATTGGATTCTTCAGTTCAGACTCGGCCCGTCCTTGTTAGGACGCAAAGTCTCGTTGTATTGCAATTATCCGAAAGAAAACGAGGAATTCAAGAGGAATTCGTACAATCTGTTGAAATGGTCGCAGGATGAAGGGTGCAAATATTCTGACGATACGGCTTTGTTGACGGAAATCACTGTGAAGATTTCGGGGAGTTTCCACTATTATTTCACCTATGAAGGCGGGTAAGTTGGAAAACTTTGTTTGAAGTGTCGTTCATTTCGTGATGGTTAGGGAACGAGATAAACACCAAGGGTCGGGTTTCTTCCTGGTAGATCCCATTCTGAAGTACGGGAACAACGAACAACTTCCGCTGGACGGTATCCAGTGCCAGACATTCTTAACTAAAGGTTTGGGACCTTTTGACACCTGGGAAGGTAAACTAAAAGTGGCAAAAGAATCAGGCTACAACATGATACATTTCACACCAATTCAGGTAAGTAAAATTTTTGTGTTGGCAGTGGTGTTAAAAGTGTAACAACGTAATTATTAAAAATTAGGAACTGGGGGCTTCCAATTCCTCGTACAGCCTCAGCGAACAACTCAAAGTCAACCCTCTCTTCACCAAACAAACCGGCAAAGAAACAACCTTCCAAGACGTAGAAACCCTCATAAAAAAAATCCGCACTGAGTGGAAAATGGTGTCGATCTGCGACATCGTCCTCAACCATACCGCCAACGAAAGCGAGTGGTTAAAAGACCACCCTGAAGTAACCTACAACTGTGAAAACTGTCCCTATATGCGCCCGGCGTACCTCTTAGACGCCGCTCTCCACCAGTTCTCGCTCGACGTCGTCAAAGGTCTCTACGAAGATAAAGGAATCCCGGTCGAGGTGAACAGCGAAGATCACCTCAAAGCCATCCGCTACCACCTTCACGCCTTCATCACGACTCTAAAAATCCACGAACTGAGCACATGCGACGTCAGTAAAACCGTAGACGAATTTTTAACCCTCATACGCAACAAAATACCGCCGAACCAAGAAAACCCAAACGAGGGTGAAAAGATGGTCCTCGTTCAAGACCCGCAGTACCGAAGACTTGAGTCTACCGTGGACTTGAACCTCGCCGTGAAACTGTACAACGTGTATCGGAACGACTGCTTCGACGAGGAAACCAGAATCAAGAAATGCAGCGAAGAGTTCAAAAACAAGCTAGATTCGTTGAATAAGCGGGTTATTGATGAGTTCGACGACCACTTGAAGGCGGCTATCGACAACGCGATCGCCGGGATTAGGTACTTTAGGGTGCAGCACGACGGGCCGAAAATAAAAGAAGTTTCGGTGAAGAGTCCGCTGGTTGATCGGTATTTTACGGATTATGGGAGTCCGGGGAGTGTGGAGGAGCACGAAGAGGTTATGTATAGTAAGAACGGGAGGTTCTTGATGGCGCACAACGGGTGGGTGATGAATTCAGACCCGTTGCGTAATTTTGCGGCGCCGGGGTCCAACGTATACGTCCGAAGGGAGTTGATAGCGTGGGGTGATAGCGTCAAGCTAAGGTAAATGATACTAAAATTGTACAAAGATAGGTGATGATGGTTTGCAGGTTTGGGGAAAAACCAGAGGATTGTCCGTTCTTGTGGCAACACATGAAGACGTACGTCGAGCTGACGGCGAGGATTTTTGATGGGGTGAGGCTTGACAATTGTCACTCCACCCCGATTCCGGTACGTACTGTTCTTTTGACCAAAAAAGTGGTTGGTTGATTGGTTTCGTTGGTTAGGTGGCCGAATACCTCCTGGACTGCGCACGAAAAGTCAAACCCGATTTGTACGTCGTCGCCGAACTCTTCACCAACTCAGATCTGACTGACAACATTTTCGTGAATCGACTTGGAATAACGTCGCTGATAAGAGGTTGATTTTTTCACGGGGGAAATACAGTGTTAACGTGGTTGTTACAGAGGCGATGTCTGCATGGGATTCACACGAGCAAGGTCGTCTGGTGTATCGATACGGTGGTTCACCCGTTGGTTCGTTTTACCAACCCAGAATTCGCCCATTGGTTCCGTCAATTGCGCATGCTCTCTTCCTCGATTTGACCCACGACAACCCAAGTCCCGTTGAAAAACGTTCTGTTTTTGATTTGTTGCCCAGCACGGCGTTGGTAAACATGGCTTGCTGCGCTAGTGGCTCAAACAGGGGCTACGATGAACTGGTACCCCACCATATACACGTGGTGGATGAAACCAGACAATATACAGAGTGGAGCGACGACGAGAATTTATCTACAGGAAACGCACGATACGTTACTAAGAAGTCTGGAATTATCGCGGCGAAGAAGGCTTTGAACGACTTACATTTTCTTTTAGGGGATGAAGGCTTCAATCAGGTACTCGTTACGTAAAAATTAATATCGTAAATTATTAATGTCGTTATTCAGGTTTATGTGGACCAAATGGACCCTGATGTAGTCGCAGTGACGCGACACTGCCCGGAAACCCATCAAAGCTACGTTCTTGTAGCGTTCACGGCTTTCAGTCACCCTCCAGAAGAAGCGGCAAATCACCAAAGAGGTATCAGAGCTCTACGTGTAGAGGGCGTTTTGGACGAAATTGTACTAGAAGCTACTTTGAACCACGTTACCTCAAAGTATGTCCCTAACTAACGTGTCAGTTTTTTAAAACCCCGATTTTAGATCTGGTTCGAAGTATACCAAAACCCAAAACTTTTGTAAAGACGGCAAGTGGATAAACGGACTCTCCGAATATCGAGTAACCGTAAAAGAACATATTCAGCCCCAGGACTCCGACTTTTTCGAAAAAGTCAACTCAGGAAACCCGAATGTAATACAATTAAACTTCAAGAATTTTAAACCCGGTAGTGTGGCTATCATTAAGTACGAACTTAAGTAGAGTGACCTATTTTTAAAAATCACTCGTTTTATCGTTTTAGGGTTTCTCTGCCTGAAGACATGACTCAAGCTATTAAAAACGTGCGCACTTTAATAAGTCACTTCACACTTAACAAAGAAAACGAATTGTGGAAAATCGTCACTAAGATGGGTTTGGCTGACTTAAACCGAGCTCTGTATCGGTGCGACCAAGAGGAAAGAGATGAAGGTCACGGTTTCGACACTTACGAGATTCCAAACTTTGGTCGCTTGGTGTACGCCGGGTTTCAAGGTTTTATGTCACTTTTGTCCACCATCAGACCCAGCAACGACTTGGGACACCCGATGTGTGCGAATTTGCGCGACGGCAACTGGATGATCGGTACGCACTCGATTTTTGTAACTATGTGTACTACAAATCGTTACAGACTACATCTGGCAACGTTTAAAACTCGACGAAGGCACCAAATCCCTCGGCCAGTGGTTCGAAGAAAACACAAAATCCCTGAAAGCCATCCCGAGATACCTAGTTCCGTGCTACTTCGACGTGATCGTGACCGGTGTATACATTTTATTGTACGAACAAAGCTACAACTTGATGTCAGAGTAAGTCGTCAGTCAGACTTTGGTATAATTATTGAAACGATGTTCGCAGCTTTGTTAAACATGGCTCCACGTTCGTGAAAGGTCTAGCCATGGGCTCGATCCAGTTCGGCGCTTATATAAAGTCAGCTGATTTACCCGTTTTGTCGCCGACTTTAGCCGAACCCAAACCCCCCCACAGAAAAAGCGACAAAGGCGAAAAGATCCAAGCTTGCGTCACACTATCAGCAGGTCTACCCCACTTTTCTGTCGGGTATATGCGAAATTGGGGCCGCGACACCTTCATCGCTCTAAGAGGGTTGTTTTTGTTGACTGGGCGCTATCAGGAAGCCCGGTACCACATTCTAGGCTACGCTGGGTGTCTAAGACACGGATTGATACCCAATTTGCTCGATGGAGGGCGCAATTCACGGTAAGTTTTAAATCGAGTGTGTTGGCAATCCTGGATGTTTTTTCGTTTCCAGTTTTAACTGCCGCGACGCCATCTGGTGGTGGCTGCACTGCGTCAAAACCTACACCGAAGACGCCCCCAACGGCCTCTCCATCCTGACCGACAAAGTCTCCCGCATCTTCCCCTCCGACGACTCTCCCGCGCAACCTGCGGGCACCCACGACCAGCCTCTTCACGCCGTCATCCAAGAAGCCCTCAACACCCATTTCCAAGGTCTCGTCTTCCGCGAGCGCAACGCCGGTAGACAAATCGACGAACACATGACTGACGCCGGCTTCAACAACCAAATCGGAATCCACCCGGACACAGGTTTCGTTTTCGGGGGTAATTCGTTCAATTGTGGCACCTGGATGGACAAAATGGGTTCGTCTGATAAAGCGGGAATACGTGGTAAGCCGGCAACGCCGCGAGATGGCTCTGCCATCGAGCTCATCGGTCTGTCAAAATCGGTGATCACGTGGCTTGCTGGTTTGAGCGCTAAAGGGGCGTACCCGCATAGTGGAGTCGAGAGGACGGGGAAAAATGGGGTCGTGACGAAGTGGACGTTCGAGGAATGGGCCACCAAGATTCAAAACAACTTCGAGAAGTATTTTTGGGTGAATACGACACCGACGGATGGGGAAATTCGCCCAGATCTTGTTAATAAAAGAGGGATTTATAAGGATTGTTACGGGGCTAGTCAGGAGTGGACTGATTTTCAGCTGAGGTGTAATTTCCCGATTGCTATGGTGGTGGCGCCGGAATTATTCCAACCAGGACACGCTTGGGCTGCGTTGAAGCAAGCCGAGAAGTATTTGTTAGGGCCACTGGGCATGAAAACTCTAGACCCGGAGGACTGGGCCTACAACGGAAATTACGACAATTCCAACGACTCGGATAACCGTAATGTCGCTCATGGGTTTAACTACCACCAGGGACCGGTTAGTATAGTCACAATCCACTCGTATTTTTTGTGATTTGGATTGTTTAGGAGTGGGTGTGGCCTGTCGGTTTTTATCTACGTGCCAGGCTCCAATTCGCCGCCGCTAATGGGGAGCTAGCCAAGACTGTGGCCAATACGAAGGTCGTCTTAGCGAAGCACTTCGTCGAACTGCAAACGTCAACGTGGCGGGGGCTTCCGGAACTGACGAACAAAGATGGCGCTTATTGCAAAGACAGCTCGCGAACGCAAGCGTGGAGCATGTCGTGCATTTTAGAAGTAAATTATTGTTATTTTGGGTCAATTGAAGTCTAACGGTAACTATTTTAGGTTCTTCATGATCTGCAAAGGATCGAGAAGACGCAGCCCTCAATCAACTGACTTAGTAGAAAATTTGCTTTAAACGAAAACGTGTCTTACGAGATTTTTACGCCCGACGCTCGACTAGCGAAATCTTGCACCAAACGGAGGGAAAAGTTCTTGGAAATTGTTTACTCTCTTGAAGACGTAAGCGAGTGTCGTAATAGTTTTGTTTATAGTGATTTGTATTTCAAAAGTAACCGGACTTTAAGTACGTTGTCAGTTAATCTGAGCGACTACGTTCAGACGTGTAATGCCTCCTTAATGTGTAGTTCGAATGTCGTTGCAGATTTTCTGCCATGTTTTAGCGAGTGTTCTGAATCGTCTCAAATTTTAAAATATTCTCGTGATGGTAACGCCGTCAATTTTAATTTGTACAAATCGTTTAGTAATTATTGTCCAGTGTTTAAGTGTTGTCTGTCTAATACAAGAATTGTGTTTTTCGGGGAGTTGTTATCGCGGCTGTCTCTGCACCACCAACCTGTTAGACGAAAACCGCTAGTTAGTTTAGTTGATTTAGATGAAATATCACCCGTCGAAGATGATAATCCCAGAATAACGGACGACTTAATCGTGAATCCTGTGGAGAGGCCGCTGTTAGAAAAAAATAGATTTAACCCGATCATCCTCGACCCTTTGTCGTTAGAAATCATACAAAAGAAACGAGTTATAAATAGATTATACGAAACCGAACAAAAGAAACTTGTTCGCATTACCATCATGTACACTCTAGCGTTCTTTGCTCTTGCCCTCACCACGTTTTTTATTATATATTTAGCTTAAACACTATTTATTTGCGTTGTAGGTTTTATTCGTAAAGGATAATGTATGGTTTTGTAACAAATAAAAATTATTCTGGTAAACTGTTTTTATTTGAAGGTTACATCCAACAGTAATTACTATCGGGTAAAAAGTTGACAAACTACTACGCTACATTAGAGAAAGATGGAACGTATGGACTCTTCTACGGTGTTAAATGTAAACTACTATCCAACTAAACCGCTTATAAACAATATAAAAATATAACTTTTTAACATAATACAAAAAATAACAAATGACTTAGAATGTTTACTTAAAATTATTAAACGTCATCGAAAATGCCACGAGGGGGCGCCCCAACCCGTCGATAGTTGCTATCCAACTGGTAATTATCGGAGAATCTCGGTTCCAGCTCGCGCGAGCTGGTATATCGCTCGTTAATTCTCGTACTAGCTCCGAATCGAGCGTCAATATCATCCGTATCGGGGGGAAACCGGGTGTCCACTTCGGTGGTATACCGAGTGCCGTCGTAGGACTCCAAAGGGTGCGACTCTTGCAGCAAGTTCGATCGAGTACCATCCAAATTCTCCAACTGGGTCATCGGACGTACTACCGAATTTTTTAAATAATAATAAAAAACAAGACAGTCGTAAAACTCACTTGTATCGTTGCTGCCTCTCTGCCTATACCTGCCTGTAGTGGGGAATCGCTCGTTAAATTCTCTTCGTCTCGACGACGACTCTTCCGAACGTTGACGCTTGCGCTTCTCTATTACAAAAAAATAAGTATATACTGCGCGACAAAACTCGATTCTAACCTCTTTTGATTAACTCGCGGCCTTCTTCCACTAAATCGGTAGTCATTTCGTCGTCACCGATGAACTGGTGGAAACCTAACATTGACAAGAGTCTCGACCCTACGCTGAAATACGTCGCTAAACAAAAAACTAAAATCGCCATTGGAAAATAGACGTTGAAGCCGTCTGAAATAATGGCGATGACGTCCATGTGACCCATGATCTAGAAATGAACGTGAACAATGTCACTACGAACGTTTCAAACATACTTGCGTGTACTGCGTCTCCATGACTTGCTTTTTTATAATGTGGCTGTCCATGTGGATCAGGCCTAAGAAGTTTAAGCACAGTGGCGGCGTCAAACGACTTAACATCATCCCCGAGAATATTAAACTGTACTCGTTTGTCTGGTGATGAGGTGCCAAGTAATACAAATTGAGGAGCTTTATTTTGAGTACTGTGGAATAGGCACAATAGCACAAGTACAAAATTATTATCGTCGATAATAGCTGAAACGGTCTTGCGTAATGGCGACATTTCTAAACCGCGGGTCTCACCTCTATAGTAAAGTAGTCATAGTTAAACTTGGCCCAGTTTACTATTATAAGAGCAAAAATAGATAAAACTGGCTCTTTGTTGAAGAAAGTCACTTCCGACCAGACGACAGCGACCGAAAAAATTCCAGCTAAAACGGCTAGTAGCTTCTGGGTGTAGCCATACACTACACACTTCCAGTACCATTCTAAAGAACGCGAACCAGTCCAAGAGCGTCTAAATTAAAATCAAACTTACCAACGATCGGGACGTACAAAAACCTTCTTAAATATGTGCGCGGCTTTTGAAATGTGCGCTTAAAGCGTCTGTCTCGAGAAATTTGGTTTTTTAAAGTGTCTTCTAAATCGAAGATTTTCTCGACTAGGAGGTTCCACTGCGTTTCCGTTCTTTGAAGTACTTGTAGTGACTTTATAGTCTGCAAAAAAATTAATAACTTTTCCGTAATTGTGATTAAAATTAAGTCGCACCTGTTTGTGCAGCCTGATCAGAGCCTTCTCAGTAGGAACATCTGTGGGCGTGTCATCCGGCAGTTGCCGTCGACTCATCCTATCCCTCAACTCCGTAGGCACCTTTTGTAAAATAGTCTCCAAGTTCAGGTGAAGCGGATGTCCTGGAGGCACCGCCAAAGAAACGGCTTGCAACGACTGAAACACAAATTTCAACTGTCGCTTCCACGATTGCGAATTATACCTCGAGCACATCGTCGACGGTCTCCTCCGCCTCGCACTTATCAGAGCTAAGTTTAGCTGCCTTAAAATAAGAACGCGTAAGTACGAAGCTACGATTCGAGTTGTTCCAGAGCGTCCTAGGAACTTCCACCAAAGCGTATCCAAATAGTAGCACCAGGAGGAACAAACCCCACGTATTGCTCGCCGAGGAAGCGATAGCTTTCAGTTTTGACCAGTCTAAGTCTATACCTGGTTTTAAGGCTAGATAAATAAGCAAGACGCCGCAGATTAACAAGTAGGAGCCGTAATAGATGGCGTTGTCGATTATGGCCGATTTTAGCTTGCCTTTGACCGTGAAGTCACCCGCTTTGATGTATGACTGCATCATTGGCATCACAAGCCTGGAATATTTAACATTATAAATTATGAAAGTGAAACCAAAAGAAAAGAATACCAAGTTAGGCATTGGGTGCTCCAGTAGACCGTGTGCCACAAATTTGGAAAAACCTCGTCGGGAACTTGGCTCCAAGGCTCCTCGCATTTTTCTTTATTTGTGAAATTTGCGTGCAAAGAAGCGTTTACAGCGGGTATGTCATGTTCTTCTTTGCACTGACGATAAACGGTCTATGGTGAAAGATTATTATGATATTGCATGATACAGCTGTGTTTTTACTTACTGAAATCACATCCAAAGGCAGCGCGAATATAATAAGGAAACTAAAGTACCAAGCTAGTAACACAATGAGAGTTACAATAATGTGGTGCCTGAACCAGTTGCCATATCTATACAGAACTGTGGCGGCAAGAATGAACGATAGTAGAATTTTGGAGATCAAAGGTCCGTAATTCATCTTGACTGAACTCACTCTTGTTTTGGACTTTCTGTTTGTGCCTTTTGGGCTTCTTGTTGCATTTTTTCGAGCTTCTCGAGAGTGAAACTTTTCAGTGGGATGAGACGAGGTTTGCACAGCACCAAGTCCTGGACGTCTTCGATGATTACCTGTCCCTTGTTAGGCAAAATGGGTTTGAACTTTTCCACGTTAGACATTATTGAAATAAATCAATGACATCACTTCTAGGTTATTAAACTTTAACTCCGATGTTATTAACACGAAGCGATTAATTAAATATTGACGGTACTTGTTCCACATGTGCAATATCACGAATATCGATAATAAACTCTTTGTGGAAGCTCCGGCACAGATGTCACTTTTGACGTACGTCAAAACACAGTTGTGCCAACGATGTGGCTGAAATTATCAGACGACTTGAATGGGTTCATTATTTAGCTGGCTGGTGTTTTGTGATCTTGTGGTGTGGGGGTGTATTTTAACAAGAAAATCCCTAGACGGTTCTTGTTGCAAGAGTTGGAGTTTGATATGAGTTTTCCTAGAATTTTCACGAAAAATGAGTGACTTATTTAAATCGGCTTATGAATACTTTAGCGGCCCCACTAATGGCCAAAGTGATAATAGTTTCGTTGGTCAAATCGTAGAAATTTCGAATGTTAAGTTACGAATAAAAAAAGTCATAGCTGAAGGTTAATTTTCAATATTGATTTTTCGTAAACATTTGCAATATTTATAACAATTTCAGGTGGTTTCGCCGTAGTTTTCGTCGCACAAGATGTAGCCACTGGTAAAGAATATGCTTTAAAAGTGAGTCCTTTGTCCTATCAGTGTGTTTCCACTTTTAACTTTTCTTTGTTAGAGACTTCTAGCAGCTGATGAAGAAGCTAAAAAGAACATTATACAAGAAATAAACATTCTAAAAAAACTATCAGGGCACCCTAATATCATTCAGTATTTATCGGCATCTTTCATTGATAAAGCTCAAACCATACATGGCCAGTCTGAGTTTTTATTAGTTACAGAATTGTGTACAGGTATGCGCAGTTTTGGCGACAAACACGTCCTGATTTTTTATTCTAGGAGGTTCTATGGTTGAAATTCTACAAGCACGCACTAGTCCCCTTGAACCTGAAATCATCACACGAATTTACTATCAGATATGTCGAGCGGTATCCCACATGCACTCCCAAACCCCCCCAATCATCCACAGAGATTTAAAAATAGAAAACGTCTTAATCAGCAAAGAAGGTGCAATCAAACTATGCGACTTTGGTTCCGCCACTCTTGAAACCTACGCCCCTGACTTAACCTGGTCCGCGAATCAGCATTCAAGCTTAGAAGAAAACGTATTTAATTTCCCGCTGTTTTTCTTGTCTTAACGTCTCGTTGTAGATGGCGAAATTCACAACCCCCATGTATCGAGCCCCCGAAATGGTCGACACCTGGAACAACTACTTCGTGGGGCCCCCTGTCGACATCTGGGCCCTCGGCTGCATTCTCTACACCTTCTGTTACATGAAACACCCATTCGAAGATAGCGCTAAATTAAGAATCATCAACGCCAATTACAATCTTCCTCCTGATCCAAAGTACTCCTGCTTCCATGACATCATCCGTAACTAACCCATTGTTGTCCACTTAGCCAAAAATAACTGGTCGTTTTCGTATTTAGGTGGTTGTCTGCAAGTCAATCCCGAGCACAGATTAACCGTGTCGGGGCTTCTGGAACGCATCGCTGCGATCGCCGAAACTAACGGTTACAATTTGAGAGCCCCCTTGCAGTTTCCGAGGAGATTATCTGCAGAAGGCGAGCACATTCACGGCGATGGGGTTCACAATAACGTGAAGCCGATACCGCCGAGACCAGTGCAGCCGCCGAGACCCATACCGGAGAGACCCCCGCAACCCCCACAAAGACCCACGATGCCCGCCCAACAGAGACCACCCGAAGTGAAGCAATCCGGGTTGTTTTCGTCGTTGAAAGGGGGCGCTGGCAGTTTTTTGAAAAATTTGAAAGATACGAGTTCGAAGGTGATGGCGACGATGCAACAGTAAGGGTTTAAATGTGATTGATTAATTGCGTTATTGTTGTTTTTTCGCAGGTCGATTGCTCGGACTGACTTGGATATGAGTTATGTAACGTCGCGGATTTTGGTGATGCCGTATCCTTCCGAAGGGATCGAGTCGGCGTATAAAACTAATCATATTGAGGATGTTAGGGTGTTTTTGGATTCGAGGCATCCTAATTTGAAATATTCGGTTTATAATTTGTCTGGGAAGTCGTACCATTCGAAGTTTGGGCAAGCGCGGGTCGTTGATTGTAGTTTTGCCTTTCCGGAACATTTTAAGGCGCCGCTGTTGAATTCTTTGTATCAGTTGTGCGAGGATATTTACCAGTATCTGGCGGGAGATAGCCGGAATGTGGTTGTTATTCATTGCACGGTAAGTCACGGTTTTTTCGCCAGCGGTTTCAGAACGTTATCTTGCGGATTTTTTTTAATGAAATGAAAATTTTCAAAATTTTCGCAGGATGGAAAAGCCACTTCCGCTACTTTGGTGTGCGGCTTATTTATTTATTCATTGTTGTACGAAGTTCCTGAAGACGCGCTCCAAATGTTCGCCGTGAAACGTTGTCCGCCTAATATGAGGCCCTCAGAACTGAGGTACCTTTACTACCTGGCGGACATTGTGAAAAATCCTCCGGTATATCCGCACTACAAACCCATGACGTTAGTTTCGATACAAATGCAACCCATCCCTCTTTTCACAAAAATTAGGTCAGTCGGAGTTTACAAAAACGCATAACCTTCCAAAAAATCATGAATTGATTTTTAGGGATGGATGCCGGCCTTATTTGGAAGTCTACAGTGAAAACCGATGCGTTCTATCGACGTTGCAAGATTATGAAAGGATGAGGTTGTTCAATGTGACAGAAGGCAAAGCAAGTTTTCGTTACGTAAATCGGAATCGAGATTCTATATCGACGTTTTAGGTTCTTTTACCAGTGAACACCAGTGTGTGCGGTGACGTGTGCGTAATCATATACCACGCTCGTAATATCCTGGGTGGCGTGATGACCCAAGGAAAAGCCACAGGGATTAAAATTTGCCAGTTGCAATTCCACACGGGTTTCATCCCAGAAGAAGAAACCTGTTTGAGATTCAATAAGTAAGAAACGCAACACTTTAAGACTGTTCTGACTGTGCTTTTAGGTCGGAGTTGGACGAGTTATCTGAAGGCCAGGATCATTACCAAGACAGATTTTCAGTCTTCTTGAACGTATTCGTTTCAGACGCGGAGAGAAAACCGTCTCAACCCCCGCCGTGGCTGACGGACAAAACGGAACGCGTGTACGACACCATGTTCACCTCAAAGCTAGAACAAGACGAAACCATAGACAATTTCGGTAAGTCGCACTAGCGGAAAGTTGGGTCATTTGTTGGGTTTTTGCAGCCAGTAAACCAAAAAGGCCTCCCCCTGTCACCAAAAAACCTCCAGAACGCCCCAGCAAACCGGCGCCGCCTTCCCCAAGGCCCGCCCACGTCGAGCTCGAGCAGCACGACTCCAGCGACTCGGACGCCGAACCCATCATGGTACCCCCCCCTCACACTAAAAACTCCCAACCAAACAAACTGTTTCAGCCAAAGCCGCCTAAGCCCGTCGACCCACCCACCGAAGCCGTCGACTTACTTAATCTGAACGCCGCCCCCACCTCCGGGTTCGCCGTCAGACCATCACCCAGCTCAAACTTTGATCTCCTTAGCGGTTTTGCCGACTCCTCCAACGACAACTTCGCCGAGTTTACAACGTCTACGACCGCTGCTTCTAACTTGAATGATAATTTTGCCGGTTTTACCGCCAACGTGCCGCCGAAGCCGGCGTCTGCGAGTTTGTTCGATCCGTTTGGACCGGCCGACACGCAGAATAATTTGTTGAATGATTGGGGGAACTTCAACTCGGCTCCGCCGCCGCAGTCGACAGCTCCCGAGCCGCAGCCGCAAAAACCGACTGATTTCTTCGCCGATTTGGGGGGTTTAGGCGGGATGTGGAACAGCGCGTCGCCGAACAAGGTGCCTCCGACGACGCCCCAGCATGTTCCGTCGGGGACTCCCCAGCATAAGCCGGTCACGCCGCAGCATCAGGCCAAGTCCCCGGCGGATTATAGTCGGTCGCACTTCGAGGTGCTGGGGGACAAGAACGAGCCGAAGTTGAAGCCGAAGAGCGACGACGTGTTCGGGGATTTGCTAGGGTCACAGGGTTACACGTTCTCGGCGAAGAAGGATAATGCGCCGAGGACGATTAACGATATGCGGAAGGAGGACATGGCGACGTACATGGATCCTGATAAGATTAAGATTATGGAGTGGGTAAGCGGAAACTCGTATTTGTAATGACAAAATAAAATTTGTATATGTGTTGTTTTTATAGACAGAGGGTAAGAAAAATAACATAAGGGCACTCTTGTGCTCGCTGCACTCGGTGCTGTGGGAAGGAGCGAAGTGGAACAAATGTGATATGCATCAACTAGTCTCGGCGGCTGATGTTAAAAAAGCTTACAGAAAAGCATGTTTAGCGGTTCATCCGGATAAGGCAAGTATTTTTCGTTGCGTCGTACGTTTAGTGACTTTCGTTTTCAGCAAACTGGAACGGATAATGAATACATGGCGAAACTCATATTTATGGAATTGAATAATGCCTGGAGCGATTTCGAAAACGATTCCTCCCAGCAGAATATCTTTGCTAGTTAATTCCTTCTTCTCTATTATGTGATCATTCCATTTTATGATTAACTTATGATCTATTTATTTTAGAAAGTTTTATTTCAATTTACCGAATCTTCGCCGTAGGTTAAGCAATTAAAAGCAAGCGGTTGGATCTCGGTATAGACAATATTTTAACTTTAGTTACTTTAGAAATGTTGTTAAAATTGAAAGCATTGCTGATGATAATGATATTATTATACTTAATCTATTGTTTCCTATAGTTTATAATTATAATATATTTTTATATTGTGTCACTGTTAACTTCTAAAGTTTCGTGCAATCACCGTTTCGTTATTCCCTTTATTGTAAAGAATTTTGTTTTGTTCGAATTTTATCAAGAAGTTGTAAATTAAAAAAAAAATATATGTGAAAGAGCAATCTTCAAAATTTCATCGCGATTTTTATTGAACCCTGTTGTCTACGTTTGTTACGCCACTGTTCTTCGAAGCTTTGTTTCGATTGGTTGAATAATCGTGACGCATGGTCATTTCGTTCCGAGCTGTCAGAAACGCCCTCTTGTTCTAAATCACATAACCTCACTTTTGTCTTAAAAAAATTTTTGCCATGGCAAGTAACAATACATCGGCAGTGTTAGATATAGTGACCGAAAGCAAAGAAATTGCTTCGATTTTAAAAGACCACAAAGATTTCGACCGATCGAGTATATGTAGCGGTTCCACAATCGATAACTCGCTTGTAGGTTAACGCCGCGATTTTATAGCCCATTAATAAATAATTGCAGGTTCAGTCTCCGAGTTTGGAGAGCTTTTCCACGATCCAAGATATCGAGAACCTGTCAGAACTGAACATGGACGAAAACTCAGACCTGAGTGTAAAGATCGACAATCCCCAGAAACACCTCGAGACGCTGGAAACGTACATAACGTTCCGAATCACAACCAAAGTAGCTAGAATAGAATACTCAGACAATGAATACATCGTCAGGAGGCGTTATAACGACTTCATCTGGCTGAGGCAAAAGCTGGTCGAGTGCCATCCCTTTTGTATTGTCCCTGTAACGACTTCCGCCCGCCATAAATTTTTAATTAATTATCGATTTTCAGCCGCTGCCTGGTAAACACTCGCTTATAGGTCAATTAGATAGATATTCGAAAGATTTTATACTGTTACGAATGAAAGCTTTAAACGTTTTTATTTCGAGAATTGTTAACCACCCTATTTTAAGCTGCAACGAGCACTTTAAAGTTTTTCTAACGGCAAAGCAACCCGTGAGTGCTCCACCCCAAAACGACAATAATCCAACTCTCGTTTCAGGACTTCAGTCTGCACCGAAGACAACGAACCAACTCAGAGAACAAAATCCGCACTTTAAGCCATTCCAGCTCGACGCATAGCGCGCTGAAAAACCGCCACATGGAGTTCGACAAGACCAAAACCTACCTGAACGTGCTGTCGGAGAAACTCTCGTCCATCGAAAAGATCTCTAGTCGTATTAATAAGGAACGCGCCGACTTTATTGTAGAATTGAACAGTTATCACCCGATTTTCACGACTTGGGCCACCACGGAGCCCGAATTGGCGAATATGCTGCAGAGCATCGGCAACGCGGTGGAGAGGAACACCTCCGCGCAGAATATGCTAGTCCAGAGTTACGCAACCGTCATCGGGAATCCGATACGCGATTTCGTCGTTTACATAGACGTAGTACAAGAAACTATAAAGAAACGAGAGACGTTCCAGTACGCTTACGAAAATTCGCTGGAAGAGTTGAATAAGCGCCACAGCGAGAAAGACAAACTTATAGCTTCTTCACACAATCCGTCCCAGCAAGCTAGCGGGTTTTCGCTTTGGAAGCAACCTAGCTGTGATGAAAAATTGGAGAAATTAGGCGTTTACATTCCTCAATTACTTAAGAAAGTTGAGGCGAATCAAGATAGCTTGGAGTGTGCTAATGAGTCGCTGAGGAGCGACTTGGAACACTGGCAGCTTGAGAAGCAACAGTGTTTGAAGAAGATTCTTCTCGATTTCGTTAATAAGCAAATCGAGTATTATCAAGCGACGGTGAGCGCTTGGGAGCACGTCACCAATGAACTTGCACCTCAGAATAACGTGGCTGTATCCAAATGATATAAGAAATATTTATTGTAGATCTCCCTGTACATTCCTAAATTATTATTTAACTCAAGTTAATAAATATGTCGACACGTGCCTATTTTTCGTTAGTTTGTTCTTCGTTTGCTTGAAATGTGCAATAAGTCTTTGGAACCAAATACATATAAACTCAACTTGTATACAGTATGCAATAAAATCTTCACTATCTACACGTCTTTGCTGTTAGAAACAAGCTCTTATCAGTTAGGTGGTTTATTTTGTTTATTTTTCTGAAATAAGTGTGTGTATAGTAATTATCCAAGTATTGTATTATTAGTTGCCTATACTTAAAATTGAAATAACAGTTTCTTGCTCAGTATTCAGTCAAATAACATCGAAAATCTTAATATTGTAAAACCTACAGTATTATTACAACTGAGAAACTTTATTTCGTGCTTAAAATTTCTCGATGGCCATAACTAAGTTTTGTAATTTTGTATCGTAAAATCTAGCTTTCTAACAAATCTCGGACTACTAGTAAGTCAAATATTGATATGTATGTAAGTTTAGGGATCACGGATTAGTAAAACAAAAATTAAATTAATATCGAAAACTCAGCGCGTTTTTTTAAATTTGACAATTACCTACCACGTGTCCCCGTTGGCGGCCCTGCCCTGACACCTCATAACCTAAAAATGTGCGTTTATTTTGGTTTTTCAAAATGTCAGATGAGGTGATTTTTTCCCTGTTTTATTTAATTTTGAGTTTCTGCATCGTCTACCCGCCCGTCGAGTTCGTTTCTGCCGGTTTCACCATCCCTTCTCTCTTCAGCCGAGTGCTGGGATCAGAAGACGAAAATTTCGTAAGTTACCATATAAAACGCACAATCGTAACTCTGGGAGTGTATTCGATCCTCCCACTGGGGTACATCATCGCTCTCTTCGCCTCCGAGCTTTTCGAAAATGTTAGTGCTCACGTCCCCCCAAAATCTCGCTCTAAAACCTAAATTCTAGGTTAGTACATTAATAGTTTCCGGGTCTCTATTTTGGAAAATCTTCTTCACGACCAGTTTAGCCTTGCCGGTTTTAGCGCTCTACCAGATCAGGAATTGGATGATCGACGATTTTAAGTATCATCCAATAGCGATAAACTTGGGGAAATTCTGTAATAACAACAACAGGGATTGGAAGAGCGTTGCCTCTGACATAAACGCGGAATTTAGACGGTAATTAAATTTAATTACGTGCCCACATGTTCACGGTGTGTTTACAGCATCGATAAAATTTGCGTGAGGACGAATTCGTTGATCAAAGTCATAGCGACGGAAAACTGGATTTTGAAAGTGACCCCGTTCACGGTGTTAACGGCCCATCAAAGTGACGCGAGTTTGGTGGTGCAGAAAGCAGACACGCACCAAATTTCGTTGCAGACCACCAGCGAGACGCAGTATTTGAGTATAGAGGTAAAATCGGGGCGGCAGAATGTCGACAGTTTCGTTATCCGGATCAACGCTTCCGATTTTAAAGATCTGGAGGATCGAATCGCCAGAGATATCACTATTCCTGCGAACGTTAAGTTTCACAAGACCGTCATGGAACAGTTCGTGGAGGTGTTTAAAGCGACGATAAAATCGAACGCCCGATACGAGACTACAGAGGTTTGACTGAATGCTAGAAAGTACAGTTTTAGAGTGCGTTTTTTTAGGAGTTGGATCAATGCATTGGGTGTATGCAGACAAGACCGAACGTGAAGCTGCAGAAATTGTGTGGGGACGCAAGCGGAAGGAATGATAGCTGTATGACTTGTTATTGTAAGCCCATGTGGTGTGCAGATTGTATGGCGAAATGGTTTGCGTCAAGACAGGAAAGCGACCAACAAAGTACTTGGTTGTCCTCCAAGTGCACTTGTCCAATGTGTAGATCTAGGTTTTGTATTTTAGATGTGTCACTCTTAGATAATACAGATGCAGAAGAATAAACACTTACATTCTAGGAAACCATTTAAAATATCACCCGTCATCTAAAACTGGCCAGCTGATTATGTTTTAATTGAATTTTAAATTGTTCTTCTCGTGATTAGATTCAAATCTCAAGTTGTAATTGTATTGTTTTATTGAAATGAATATATCTTTTGGAATAATCTGTGTTTTAATAATTGTTTTATTTATTGTTGACGTAATGTTATCTTATTTATTGTGTACCCCAATTTTAAATAAAGATTGGTTATCTAAACTTGGGTTTTTGTTCTTACACTAATACTTTCATGTGACACTTTTCACACTCCGGCTAGTTACAGAAATTTGAATGTCGGTATTCGCGCTTCAAAATCTGATTGGTTGAATTTAAAAATTACCGCCAAAGATCGGGACGTCGACACCTCAATTATCATACTTTTGCAGTAATTAAAATTCATTATCACACTAATACACGATTTAAGATTAATTAAAAGCGACAGCACAAATGTAACTATATTTCATTTTTTAAAATAAGTGGACAGGTTAACCTAGAAGTGTGTATTATGAGCTGCACAATTGTGTCCTTCTTTTATGAAATAAAATAAAGTATAGTTCGCCTCAGTTTTAGATAAAATACTACAAGTAACATAACTCCAATGAAAGAAAGTGCGTTTAATAGTAAAAATAGGTGTGAATGTGAAGCTATCAGCTTGATCTAGCGAGTATGGACTAGATTATCATCCTAGATTTTATTTTGTTGAAGAGATCTAGCGACAACAGTCCTAGAACTTCAAGAGGGTTTTGTTATTACGACTAATAACAATGATGCGAAAATATATATATAGTAGTGAATGAATTTATACATTTTAATTTTTTTTTTTAACAATTCTTATTTTAGACCATCACGTGTTCAAGGATTTTTCCGTACTTATTAGTTCACTTTAATCGCCTGTTGCTATCTCCCCATCTACCTACTTATGTTGCAATTTGTTGTGTTAATTTAATCGAAAATTACTCCTCGCTAGAGATAAAAATGATAAAAGAATCAAAGTCATGGCCAGAATATGGGTAAAAAGTGATGATTATTCTAAATAACTTATCTTGTGTGACAAAAAGTTAAGAAAATTTCGGGCTACATCATAAAATGTAAAGAGTAAAGTGCAAGTACATATTATAAGCCCCGCCCACCCACCCTGTCTCAATCGTGATGATTTTTTTACCCGTTGTAAGTCGTGGGGCGAAGCTTAAGTGCAAAATCCTTGTTTTCCTACGAGAAATTGCTATGTGAAATATCTTCATGAATAATCGTGTTGTTTAAAGCAAACTATGTGTATTAAGTAAAAAAGAAAGCCAAAAGATAAGTACCACCCATCCGTCTCGATCTCCCTCTGGCTTTAATTTTTAATATACATAGTATTTTTTGAACAACAGGATGGTCAAAAGCGTGCTAATTTCTTGTAGAGAAATAATAAAGACCTACAGTTAAGCTTGGCCCTCTTGGCTAACGATGAATAAAAAAAATCATCACAATTGAGGTAGGGTGGGTGGGTGGGCATATATTTTGCCCTTTTCTCCTTAATATAAACAAAAAGTTAAAACTACGTATATTAAAAAAAAGGCATACCTAATATAAACATGACGTTATAAAGTTTAAAGTTTCTGTAAAATAGGTACCGAGTTCTGTTATTGGTAAATACATTTCTCAAAATGTTTAGCATATAACATTATGTAAACAAACATCAAACTTATTAGTTTGTGAAATTTGTTTCCGTTTATTTATTTAAAGATCCTATAGAGTGAACAATTTCATTCCGATTCGATATCTCCAGGAAATTCTATATTTCTAAGACACAATAATGTTTTCACTGTAACAATAATCACTTTTAAGAACGTCGGCTAAAAAAATCAATATTCTCGTTTATTTGAACAAAACGTTGTCTATACTTGTGATTTATTATTGCATTAAAAGTTTTTAAATTTCTTATACAGGGTGACTCATAAAAATTAGCCAGTTTATTTTATTGATTAAATCGGGAACGATTCAGTCCGTTTTCCCGAAAATTTGGGAATTCAGTACTGTTATCATTAGTATCACACTGCACCTATCCAAAGTGATATACGTGTCTTTGCAAAAATGTTGACGACGTTGTCACAAATATTGTTAAGGGAAAACTCATTTGAAACGTAAGCCCAGCACGCTTCTTTAGATTTACTAACATACATATCTTTACTTTGACTTATCAAGGTTCTCATAAAAAAAATTAAATTAAATTCGCAGTGTTTTTTTCCCTCAATATACATACTATTGACAATCTTGTAGCTTTAGTTAGTTCTGAGAATTTATCTAGTTTTATTGACAATGCAACGGAAAAATTGAGAAAAACAAATGATCGTCACTCATTTTTATGTATTTTATCTGTACTTAACGCGTCTCGTGAACAGTGACAGTAAAAATGGAACTATGTTTCGGTCGATCTCGTCTGCTGATTACTGCGAATTATAATCTTCTAGAAAAACTCTTAACTGTGGATAACTTCTCTACTAGTACGGATGATAAAAAAAATAAACAAAAAATGTCTTGGCTAAAACACAATAGCACATCCGGTATAAATGTTGGCCGCTATTTTTAATCCCCTACTAAATCTTTTAAAATTGAATGATCTAATTAAGATAAACAGGCACAGTTGCATTTTGTATCTCTGTACCAGGATTAGACTTTTAATCCCGGCAGTTTGATAACGACGACACCACATTAAGTATAGCTGAGCCGCCAAACAGTCTTAAATCTATGAAATTCAAAGATCAACTTTTGTGGGTGATAACTGTGTAAAGCGCATGCTTAGCTTCGGAAAAGACTTTTCGACTTCGAGTTTACAGCAATGGAAAATTTCATCGGTTCCTACTGTTGTTTAAAATTAGCACATGATGTCATTATACAACAATAACTATAATAACAGATAAAATCATTTTAAGGATATATGGTGCCACTCAATTTATTAGCTGTTATCTTAATATTAATATATTTTTCTTAAAAGAAATCTTTAGTCGCGCGATAAGCCCGAGAGCGTGATAAAAATCGTCCAGGGCAAAGTGTGCAAATCATTTTTCGTTTTATATAACTATTTCGAGTTGAACGCAATCGCTGTTGTTGTGTTTTGCTTATCAGCAAATAAAACAAAGCGGTTGAACTGTAATCTGAAATGACCACTTGTTCAATTGTATCTAAAATTGAAATCTAATCAAAGCGTGAAATAGAATCTTTTTTTAAATTGTTAAAACCCACTCGTGATATGCATGCACTAATTATTGACGTCACACTAAAGAAAAAAAAGCGATTTGATTTGATAAAACGTTTTATTAACAAAAAATACGTATTTACAAAATTAAAATATATCACATATAGATACAGATACAATAAATAAAAAACGTGCAAAATGCGAATAACTTAAGCCTAGAAGAGTTGGGTTAATCTCACGCCGTCCTTATCTCCGTTCTTCCGACACTGTTGGGTATCCCCTTCATAAAGTCGTCTTCACTGAAGACGTCATCATCACAGTCAGCATCGTTTTCTTGGATTTCTGGACTAGATGGCGTTTTGTCTGTCTTCGGGAAGTACTCGGACACGGAGATGTTTTTCCTCTTCTTTTCTTTCATTCGTCCGCTCTTCGTGAGCGACATTTTACGCACCAGATTTTGAGGATTGTCGGTTTCGTTGCTTCGTTTCTCGGTGACCATGATTTCACCAACTGTTGCGGCTTTCACTAGTTTCTTATTGTTATTTTTCGAACTGAAGATGTTGAGGAACTTGGACATGCTACTCGAGAGGATAGCCTTTCATCCTCGAACTTCAACTAACAGGAGCTTCAACAATGGCACCTTTTTTATACCTACATAGGAAACATGATCTTTATTGTGCGATGTGATAAAGCGTAATCAGTTGTTTGTATTATATTAAAAGTGCAGAGATAACGATAGATTTAATCGTCGCGCCTCCTACGAAGTTGCTTCGGAACGGGGGTTCTTCGTACTGTTAATGATAAGTAAATAATAGTTGGTATGACATTGATAAGCTTCTGCATAAAACGAGGAAAACAGGATAACATAGTTTTCTGTTACGTGGCAGTAACATTATTATCTTCTTAAAATTAAAAAGTTAAAAGTAAGAAAGAAGGATGATTGTGATCTTTGATAAACAATTTACAACAAGCTCTACTATCTATCTCTTTCCTTCTTTTGTGCTCTAATTGTTTGACAAAAGTGTAGTGTATAAGTACCTAATTAAAATTTATTTGTTTATTGTTATTATCAGATTTACAAGAATAGATAAAATCGAAAATTTTACCTGAGACCACAAGAAAAATTCAAGAGACTTTTTATCCAGTGTTTAGCCGATTTTTTAGATAAAAACGGTGGCACGTCATTATCACATGTGGTTATTACGCATTATGAATGTAATGTACTGGGTGTCTCAGATTTTTTCGCTGTTAAATATGGATAAAGTCTACTTTATTAGTATTTCAAGAAGCTGCAGATTTTGATATAAATAGATACTAGTTAACATTTGTTGCAGCTGAAACATCCTGTATATTTTTTTTATCGTTTTAAATTCACGGTAACATTGAAAATTATTTTTTGCAAAATATATTTATAATATTATTTAAATTAATGTTGTTTCATTCCCTTCGCTGTATACTTTTTGTTAAACTGATAATAATGGGAAGAAATATTTGACAGCTTTTTAAAAGTGGGGAAAACCAAACCGCGATTATATAATCAGCGGTGGCGGTGAAACAGACAGCGCCCCCTAGTCCAAAACCCCGCAAGCACTTTGACGTGTTTGACATTTCACTTATTGACATTTTACATATTGACAAACATTCAATTATTTTAAAACAATCTCGAAATCCACGTAAATCAACAATTATCGAAATGTTGTGCTAATAAAGTCAGTGTTCTGCCTCAACTTGCTCAATGCACTAACGCAATAAACCCAGAAACCAGCCAGTTGACATCATCAAGAATTTCTTTGTTGAGGTAGAAAAATGCCACACAGACGCGAATACAGACGTCCCGCAACAAGTAGTTTCACCTACGTCAGTTCTTGTGTCAAATACTTAATATTCGTCTTAAATTTCATATTTTGGGTACGCACCCAGCGATGACTAATTCTTATCATGATTGAGGTTATGTTGCAGCTGTTTGGGGGCTTACTCATCGGAATCGGCTTGTACGCCTTCGTGGACAAATGGCAGTTGACGGGCTCCGTCAAACTCGAAAACGTCTACGACGTGATTTTGAATGTATCTCTAATTATGGTATTAATGGGCGGGGTTGTCTTCATTGTGAGCTTCGCGGGATGTGTGGGGGCCCTGCGGGAAAACACCTGTCTACTCAAATTTGTAACACCCCAAACATTGACCCCGCGCGAAAATGACGCTCTTTTTTTAGTACTCGTTATGTCTTTTGATCTTCTTTCTACTCGAGATGGGTATAGCAATAATGGCGTTCATTTTTCCACACACCATGCAGTCCGTGTTGGAGGAGAATTTCACAGATAAAATCATTCATACGTACAGAGATGACCCAGATTTGCAGAATTTAATTGACTTTGCTCAACAGGAAGTGAGTTATTGAATATTAGTTTGACAAAGGGGTAATGTGTTTGTAGTTCCGGTGCTGTGGCCTCAGTTCTGAGGGTTATTTGGATTGGTCCAAAAACGAGTATTTTAACTGCACGTCTCCAAGCGTGGAGCGCTGTGGAGTGCCATTCTCATGCTGTGTTAACGCCACTGACATTAGTTCAGGGCTAGTCAATATAATGTGTGGTTACGGCGTCCAAACGTCATCTGTAAGTACAGTTGTCGTACGTAATCGTATTATTATTTTCCAATTTGTGTGTGCAGGTGGCTGAAGCCAGCAAGAAAGTTTGGACGTCTGGGTGTATAGAGATCGTGCGCTCGTGGGCAGAGCGGAATCTGTACACCATCGCTGGGATAGCTCTTGGCATCGCCTTATCTCAGTTGTTTGTGATCTATCTCGCCAAAACGTTGGAAGGACAGATAGATTTGCAAAAGTCCAGGTGGGCTAGTTGAAACATAGGGTATATCTGTAAATATGACGTACTGCCATTTTAAAGTGTACTGTCCTTTTCAGTGTTTTTTAGTGTAGATGTAATTCGTATTTTTGTAAGTATATTGTATGTTCTGCATCTGTAAGACTTGTTGCATTGGGTTGTCCACCTTGCCAAGAGTTCTAGTTTATTTTAGCTTTTGTTAGTTTACGCTCACGAAATCTCAAAAACCATGACGCTCAAAGTTGTAGAATGATCAAAATGCTGGTGAGGGTTTGATATTAGCGTATTGGTAACGTGTCCACCAGATGTGGTGCTGAAGAAATTTTGAATGTAACAAATTTACGTTATTTTTCAGATTTGCAACCATGACTTACAGTAGGGTAGCAACTAACGACTACCATGATTATTATAATTACTGAACAAACATAATGATTGTGATCTATTCATTCAAATTAATAACTAGAATATTATATTTGATAAATTGTATAAATTCCAGTTTTTATTAACATAGTTGTTACATAAAGTTGTATTAGTGTACGAGAAAATATCTTTATAAAATAAATTTCTACCTTGCAGTGAGTTATTGATTACCGCGTCTCTCTTTTATAAACTTTTATTCAATAAATAAGTACAAAAAAAAATGTCATGGAGATTTTCCATAATCGAGTTAAGCATAAGTACTTAATTGTCGATACCTTAACGCTAACGCTAAAAATAAATGCATCAAAATGCTACATCATAGTTCAACGGGAATGCATCTCAACAACTGGAATATCTCTGTACAAACTACAAAGGCACTATTATTACTGCGAGTTCTTAATTGTGATACCTAATCCTAATTGTTAATGTCTTCAATGCAAAAACTTCTATAACTAAAATATTTAGTTAAACAGACCAAGGAAAAACGGGCCTCAATTATCACAAACGCTGCATTAATAATGCTTAACTGATATGGTGAAAAACATACAACGTTATTAAAACAATCATGAACAAAACCGTCCAAAATTTGCGCAAATCAGTCTTCTACGGATTATTGCTTCCTCATTAAATCTTTACCCTATTCATCATAAAAATATACGTACTATTAAAACTCTGCATAAAAGTATACTTTTTCGTCGCCAAAAACTTCTTTATCGTATCTCTCTCCGCGTCGCTCGCCGTCAGATGCACCCCGATCACCTCAATCTTGACCCTTTCGAACGGAATCGTCTCCAACACCTGAAGCTCAGTCCCCGCCGACTCCAAACTTAAATAATCAATATTGGTAACGTTCATCGCCAAAAGCAGCGAAAACAACGGAAAACACTTGATCCGCGTCGTAAACCAATCAGGATCTTCTATCACACTGTTAGCTTGGATGCTATTAATTTTCACCTCGTTTTCCTGGTGGAACGTGATTTCTTTGGGGTAAGGCATCGAGCTGAGGCACGCGTGGACCGCCTGCGACCGCACTCTGTTGTGCCGCCGCAAGCTAAAGTAGTGTCGCGTGTCCGATTGGATGAGCAGCCCCTTCCAACCCAACTTCTTCTCCAGCCACTCGGTCTTGGACGTTTTGCCGTCGTTGTAGGCCCCGGATTCCACAAAAACGCCATCGCGCTACAACAAGAAAAAAACGAAAAATGACACTTTGTCTATTTCTAATTATTGCTATTATTAATAATCTAGCCAGCATTGACTTTGACATTTCCAACAGTGTGACAAACTTTTACTACAAAAAAACTTGAAATTTGTGCCCCAAAACTAACCTTGTTGTTGAGTAGTTTCAAGACGTAGGCCGTGTCCTCCGGGGGGCCCGCGGCGAGCGACTCCAGCGGCTTGTGGTGTGGTTCGATGGCTGGACGCAGATGCACTTCTCGAATGTAAGTAATAAGAAGGGGGTTATCCTGAGCGACGCTCAGGAGTTCGTAGTCTTGACTCATGTTGACTCGGAACTGGTAGTGCCGCATGGCTGGAACTTATGGGTTATTGTGGTCAGTGCAAGTGCTTCGTTACCTGTGTTGTCCATGTAGAGAATGAGGGCCGTCATGACGATCGCGAAGGCCACCGAGAAGGCCGCCAGTGGCAGTATTTTCCGGATGATGCTCGGCGTCGGGGGCACTGTCATGTTCGGAGTTTTTACAGGTGTTATAGGTATTTCAGGTGTGCTATTTTGAGTGGACGGTGGGTTCTGGCATTGGCCAGTGTTGGGGTTTTTCGATTTCGTGAAGTAAGTCGCGAATTTCATAATAAATTTGTACATCGTCACAATGCTGCAAGTGATCAACAACAATTAAGAACGATTAAGTCTTTGAGGCGGTGTTCGAGGAAAAGGAGTGGTGACTTACCTATAGTTAAGTGGTATTTTTTTACATTCGTGACGGTCGCTTTTACTTTATTAATTTGTACATATTTGTAGCATTTAAATATCGAATTATATGCAACACAATGAAGTGAGCTGAAGGAACATCCTGTCTTTCCAGGTGCTAAAACGCGCTACGGTCGATTTCGAACGGAATTTCAAAGCAAAACGCACGATTCTCGACTTTATTGATTTCTACTCCCACCTTGCTCCTGGTTGGAGTGACATCAAGAATAACAATGTTTCTCTTTCTAGCGGCTTGTGGCGTGTTCTTCGGAAAGAGTCGGCCGAATTCTTGGAATAGAGTAAATGTTGATAAATTATTATCGTCCAGTTCGATTCCAGGAGCACCCTTTTCACATTTTTTATCATGAAATTTCAAATTTTAAAATGGTCTTCGCACGATATTACATGCGGGCGATAAAACATTTTGACGACCTAGGGCAATAATGAAGGTCTAGGTTACGGCTCGACATGCAATAACGTAAAGTAAAAGCATTACTTGATTACATGAAACCGAAAAAGTTCAGTGCTGTTTTTTATAATCACAAAAAAAGATAAATCTTCATCTAAAATGGAAGCGACTGCAACAAAGACGTAACTTTAGAGATTAATCATCCCTTCCAAAATGTTAATGACGTCATTTCGAAGAAAATTATTAAATAATGTCTTACAATTACAAATATTTTGTGTATCAGACTTTAATGAAGTGAAATTTGACATCTTTTAATCAAGCGTACGTGACATTAATACGGCAACGCTTACCTTGATCACTTTTATTTTCAAGCATGCAATATTTGAATAATTAATAAACCAAAATCCAATAAAATTGATTTTTTCGTATTTTTAATACTATTAATGTGTGACGCACGTTGCTTTATTTTTATTATGTTGTATTATAGATGTATTTATATCTTTTAAGTGCCATAATTTCAGAGAAACTAGAAACCATTTGCATTTTTGTATTCGTATTTCTTGGAGATATTATCTTGAAATAAAATGTATATATAATTAATACAAAATAATCGCGTTAGTGGTTCTCGATTATCATAAATAAACCATATTGACCTTGGGTATTTTTGATTCATGCGAGGGTGAATAGCCCCCAACTTCGGTGGTCTGCGAATCGATACCACCAAGGAACATATTGTTAGCCGAGTCTGTAATAACACCAGGTAGATGGCTGTTCCACCTTGCGGGAAATAAAACCACTCTCCTTTACAAGCTAAATTTAGAACAAACAATTACAGGTTGCAAAAACGTGCCTGCCGCACTATCATCTTTATCAGTAACGCATCACGATCTTAACAGAAACGTGAAAGCAATTACCTTAAAGCCGCAGTGATTTACGAGCCAAGTAATGGCGAAGAAAACTAATTTTCTCCTGATCTTCGACGCTGTTGTAATTTTTAGCACCTCCCAGACGCGTCAACAAGCGGCCAGTTTTTTTGGACATTCTTCTTTTCTGTGGAAGCTCGCATCGTTTCGGTTTTTATTTATCCCTGTCTTGTTACGCTATGATTTACGTTAGGTTTTTCGAACATTTCCTTAAAAAAAATTAAGCTGTATTCTTTTTGTTGGGGTGGTTATAAAACCATTTTTCTGCTACAATATATATTTGAAACCAGTGAAAACAGCTTCCGTTTGTGGTGCATATTAATAAGCCGTAAAAAAAGTTAATGAAAAACATTGTAGTAGATGTATATGCAACGGTGGCAATGCCCTTCACTTTGTACCTTCCCTCTAACGAAAATTTTTATCCTTTTTCCATGCAAATTAGGAAATGAGCCAATGAATAATTCATAGTTCTGTAGACGCATCGAGTATCCCGATAATCCGCAATTTGCCATGCAAAAATTTCGCCATCTTAATTCTGACACATTCGCCTTCCTCCAGCTAATTTAGCAAAAATGGCAAATGGCTACGCACCTTAACGGGTAATCGCAGTCTTTAATAATTAACAACAGATCCATTAAGAAAATTACTTTCCCGCACCCTTTTTCTCTCCAAGTTTCTCGTTAGACACTTCCAGAGATTATCCAATCAAAAAGTTTCCTTACCTCGTTTATTCTACAACTAATTTTTAATTGTTTTTCTTTTGCAGCAGCAGAAAGTTGCAGGAAAAATTCAAGTCGGGGCTTGTCGGAAATAGCCGAGCGTGCCCGATGTTTCGACGCCACGGGACGTCGAGACGCTCCGTTTTAGTTGTTTGGTGGTATCGAGGGACTCAGGTTGGCAATTTTTAGCATAGTTGTTGACACGTGGATACGACAATGTGTAAGACATGTTTGTTTAATTAATGTTGCTTGTTGTTTGAGACGTTCTCTTTGATGATTTAGTACAAAATTAACAAACCAACATGTAGGCATGCATAACACTGTAAATTTGTCGAAGAAGTAGCAAAATTTTCGTCGTGAATAATATTCATAACCGCACATTTGATAAGATAATTCGCTATCAAGACGACGGGAAGTTGTTTGATTTCGAAGTGCATATCAGACGTGATTAATTCTAGATAAAAAATGTTTTTTTGTAAATATTTGCAAGTAACTGCATCGATGTTCTGTGTAAATTGCGGTGCCATGTGTCTACTGTGGCATTACGCAAAGTTTGCCCAAAGGTGTTACAAGTTTTGTTGTTAAGCTTTGAGATCCGCATAATCTGCTTAACGTAAACAGTTAGACCCGAACATTCGGGAAAGTTTGCAAACTTTTCGAGTATGGAATTAATCACTCGCTTTTTAATTTATAACGAGACGAAATGCGTAACATCTTTCATATTTTTTTATTTATTCGTCTTTTATTCCTTCCTGTGAAATTATTATTTAACTCCTGACGAAAATGCAGACATACAATTTCTCATACTAATCATATGTATTTACAGCGAGTTAGAAAAAGTAAACGAAGCTCGCGACACGTTTTACAAGGTGCATCCAAAAATTGTAGAACAGTTTTTTTTTTGTTGCTGTTGCGACAGTAAAATCTATGCTTAACGATATTTTTTTTCTTTCTTAAATCTAATGTGGGCGCGTATTATACAAATGTCAAGAACATTTTTTCAAATGCGCAACTTGAAACCGCGTGATTTTCAGGCTTTTTTGCACTACAAGCAATTTTCATTTCATATTAATAATTTTTCTTTCGTTTTTATCCCATTTTTTAACAATCGCTGCTTAATAAAGCATCAAATTTATAAAATGGTTCTAAGGAAAAACGCCGGAAGAATATTACTGCAGGTTCATTTTCTTGTAACTGGAGTGTCTACATCTGTTGCTATGGTGACGGATGATGTCATCAAACGCTTTTTTAACTGTAATTATTTATATCGTTCACTTTGAAGCTTATTTATTATAGTTCAATGTTTACAAAGAAAATTCCATTTGATCGTCAAAATTAGTAGTAAATAGCTTATTTAATCATTTAATAGATTAACGTTCAGCTTTCTGTTAAATTTGACGATTATTATTTTTTCGAGAATAGAAATTTTTTGACGAAAAATGCATTAAAAACACAATTATTGTGGAAAATGTAATTTTGTTCTTGCGAAAAACAAAAAATCATTAACGGACGCAAAAAGTTACGAAAATACATACGAAACAAATCAGTTTCGACGTTGAAGAAAAACTCTTTATTTTTAAATTTTAGACGGGATTTTTTTCGTTTGCTATCCGAATACTCTGGCAAAAGGCCTCGTTCTCGTCCTGCGCTAGGGGCATTTTTCATAATTACCTAGCATACTACACTCGGCATATTTTTTTTATTCAATTCGTAATCTCGATTTCAAATATAACGCCAAGGGGACGAATTTTAATAGACTGCGAAAAAACTCAATTAAAATTATGAGGCATTTAATCAGTTTACAAATTGATCGGCGGTAAACATAATTTATATCTTTATTGTCGGGGGAGGTGCGCTTGATTAAAGAGAAACACGTTACTCACCAAAAAAATGCACAAAGGAAATTGTTTTGCTTTAGACAGGATATTGTAGAAACGAAATTCGAAATTCTAAAGTCTATTTGATCTCTCCCCCAAAACGAAAAAGACTGACTTTAGAAAATTAATTGCGCGATTTATTTAAACAAGCGAACCCAGAAATAATATGCAATAATTCATGGTGTAAACCCCTCGGGATAAATAGCCCCTACGCACTCAGCTTTCGCGGTAAACTGGATTAAAATATCGATAAACTCAACGATATTGTGATCGATTAAGATTTCTGCTTTGTTTGAATTTATTCAATCACACGAAACACTCGTCTCTCTTAATTCGTGTTTGATTTGGTCGCGACCCCACAATAAAGTTATCACCGCACCCTGAAGAGTTCTTAACTTTTGGCAGCGACAGCGATCATTGTGTTTCAGTGGAGATCGATTTTTTGTATGAAAAGACGAGCGCTTTTTAGCGATTCGCCACCGTACAATTGTTTTCATGTTACGAAAATGGCGTGTCGGCTTTTTTCGACTCACAACCAGAATAAATTAATAATTCGTTGGTGCTTCAGTGGAAACGTCAGGTTGAATATTTAATACCGGCGAAATGACTACGTAACGTTAAAAACACAGTTGCGAGTTATCGATTAATAAGTATGCTTAATTACAGATTCCTTTTTTTCTGGACACCATGTAAATGAGAGACGATCGAGCCATGCATGAGTGACGCTTCGACCATAGAAATTTGCTTAAAATAAGGGATATGGGGGCCAATCAATCAGGACGCATGGAAAAGACTTTTTATGGCGAAGAAGGTAGGTTTCGTTTGTTGCGAGCGGTGCGGGGCGAACGAAGCTCGATGTTTGTTTGATCGTGTATTGAAGTGCGCCGTATTCCATATTTATTTTCAGACAAGATTGAAAATAAATTGGAGCGCAAGCTAAGCTGTTAGCGGAGATTTATGTAACGAAATGAGAATCTGATCCGGATTTAAAAAGCATGCATTTCAAAGAACATGCACTCGGTTGTGCTATATTGTGCATAAATCTGAAGTGGTTTTGAATAGGCGGCAATAAACCTTTAATATGGAGATTTATCCGCTAGACCTACGAAATCTTTAATAATCGTTTCAGAGTTGTACAAGTTCTAGACGGTTATTTTATTTTTAGCGTGGGATGATTACGGTTCTGATTAAAGTACTTATTGGAACAGAAAAGTCATCGGGTTGTCAGTTAAATGAACACTAAGTCGCCATAACTTTTGCGATGCATTTGACGTTTTCTCTAATCGATTGGACCGGATAAAAATCTGTCGTTTTTTTTTTAAGCGGATTTAACGATCGTCCAGTAATTACTTTATTCGTCAACCGGAACCATTTACGTAACTGAGAGCCTCTGTCAACTTTTTAATTTAAGACGAAAGCTGAAATTCCTTTTCGAGCGTATTTTTAACGGAAGGCGTGCCGACGGGCGCTCCGTCGATGCAAATTTCGACGCAATTTCATTATTTATTTCGTGATGTTTATTTTTGGCGTTATGCTTTCTTTTATGAACGTAAGCTGTCATGTTATTGTCTGCAGGCGAGCCTAAAATGAAGAAACTTTGAACAACAGTTGTAACTTCACTTAAATTAAACGAGATTTTATAAGATTTAATATGAATTCGCTAGAAATTCTATTTGCAAATCTTTAGAATTTAAGCGGGGAGTAATGGCACGAGTGTGAAACGTGCAACGACACGTGATACTCTTTTGCGTTTTATTAATCTACTACACTTTTTGGAATGAGTATAATAATTCTCGTTCCATTGTTCGAATACCCCCGGGAATAGTTAAATAATTGGAAATTCAACGCATTTCATAAAGTTCGATTAAAGTTCACAAGTTTGCTTTGATTAGCTTGACCCTAACGGCTTCCAATATTTTACGACGGTCCTGCATTACGGAATTTACACATGAAGTGAGTTTCATTGTGGACGGACGTCAAGATGGCATCTATGCCTCCTCCCGTTTCAGACCTTAATAACTGCCCATAAGTTAAATTGGACGAAGTTAGTTAATAACGAAACGCACACAGTCGCTGTCTATTGATTGAATGGTAAGCACACGAGTGCTACATTATATTGGCGATAAATGATAAATGATACTTGGGGTTGTAATGGTGTGGAGCAACCGAGATTAATGTATCCATAATTTAGCCTTCAAAACTTTATAGGGAGCGATGATGCAAGAATGTAACATCAACAGACGAGATATTTAGCTTAAGCTAAAAATATGCGGTCAAACGAGCTTTGTCGACGGCATTTTGCGGCACGAAAAATGCCGCGTGCGCTCACAAAACATTCTCGGCAGCCGAAGTGGTTACAGGATACAGCATGTTCGACAAACCGGGGCACTAATGGGCTCGAGAAATCCCGAGAAAGAGAATTTTAAATCCGAAAATTAAACATTCTGACTTATTTATTTTCACGAGTTTGAGATGGGAGAGTCGAAATGGCCCGAAATCTAAATCTGGGTTACAACTATAACATTTTCGAAGATACGAAATTGTGTTTCGCCTACATCAAACGGAATTATTACGTTATAACTCGATCAAGTCGAGCACAATCGCTTTTAATTGCTGATGTTTTCGAAGCGTCGCATCACATCGAGAACTTTTCAATTACACTATAATAAACGAGCTTGATTGACGGGTGTTGCGGTCTAGTAGTTTAATTAATGAAGAAATGACCTGCTATCAAGCTGACAGATGGATATCGAGTACATCAGTGTAGACGGTCCAAGTGTCACCGTCGTTTCATTACAACTTGTTGTCTCAAAAGCGAAATTAATCCTGGATGATATTTAGATAATTAACAGAATGTCACTTAGGACGATTCAGTGCGTTTCTAATCAATCATTATTGCTGTTGGAGAGTATTTAGTGCTCGACGTACTTGAGACGAGGACGAGTTTATGTCTACGAAATCAAATTAACTCACGACGATGCAGCCTAGCCCTTTTGAGGAAAGCGTTGCCACTCGAGTAATTTCTCTATTGGTTAAATCCAGAAGAAGACATTCTCGTCCAAGTATTCAATCTCAGACCGCTAATTCCCCTAATATATTCAATTTGAGCGCAGACGCTTTTTTAAGCTCGCACATCATCTTTGCGCTCCGAAGATTACCGTATTTGATTGAGAGCGATTTAATATTATTCAGGAGGAAAAACGGTTCGTGCCGTTATCATGGAGTTGGTCCCCCGCTAATGCGTTTTTAGAAAATGCAATACGAGAACGTATCGATTAATGAATCCGTTTGATTCGAATGAAAAGAAGCCGTTTCTTTTTACTGTGTTTTCTCTAAGCAACCTTGGGTGTTAAATGAAGCATTGTTCAAACTGCTCCTGCAATCACAGTCGAAATATAAACGTTAATAATGCTGATAATTTAATTAGACGGGTTTCTGAACTGCCATTCACACTAATTACCGGCTAATTAATTTATTTATGTCTTCCTCCAACTTTGATCTTATATTTCGAACGAATCGTGGAGGGCGTCCCAGCCGGTTAATGTTCCGAAACTTTGGGATTAGTCGAAGGTTCTAATTGAGTAAACATGTTGGTGGGCACAAAAAATGGTATTCCCAAGGCGGAGCTAAACAAAAGCATGTCGGTGTCTTGCGGCTTAAACAAACCGGATGGCTTTTGTTTACAAGACAATCCAGCAGCCGCGTTATTTATTTATCGGCGTTTTACAACCCGCCACGTAGTAATGCAAGTAAGCAGTGATAATGACGAAGGTTGAAGAAATCCCACCGACTGCGCCAAAACACACAACTTTTTTGTGCTGACACGTTTTACGATCGAGAAATGTTCCAAGAAATACGTCTAAACTGTACCCCACAAAATTTACGACGGTTTATCACGAGAAGGCACTTTTCGTTATTTAATTATCACCATCTTGTAGCGTTTCGTGTATCAGTCGAAGTAAAAAGCTGTTCTTTCACCCAAGAACGCACATTTTTAATTAGCGATTATCTTTCCACGAGGTGCTTCCGAATCGTATCAAATGTAATCTTTCCACAAAACGAAGTCTTTTAAAAGATGAAACTTTTATCGACGTCGTCCCGTTTCGTCCATTTGAAGCGCGATGCACAAGATGAGCAAGAATGGAAGTTCAAGGTGGCGAAAACGTTGCCGCTACAACATATAAAAGCATCGCATTATTGATTGTCAAAGTTTCAAATGGGGGCTTTTAAATGATAAAAGTGCGTATTTTATCTCGGAACGTACTCGCTCTCGAATTACCCCTCGATTTTGACAGCTTTTATCGTCGCGATTTTTGACGGTTGGTTTAAGTCTGCGGTTTTAAACATCTAAAGCCGCGTTGTAAACGTAAGTGCATTGGCCGCGAAAATCCTCTTTAAAACGGCTTTATCAACGCCGTCCTGTCGATATTACTCAAGTTTTCTCGTTAAAGTTTCTACACATAATGGGAACTGTCAACGGAAATCTTATTCGTTTCGTGTGTAATCTGAAAGTATTTTCGTCTCGCGCCGATTGACTTTGCACGAAATCGGTTTAGTTAAAACCGCAAACACACTTTAGTCGAACAGTCGAAATTATCTCAGTGTTTGTTCTGTTCCAGTGAATTTCGACCACTTCCAAATTTTACGGGCCATAGGAAAAGGGAGCTTCGGTAAGGTAAGTAGGTTCCATTTTATTCCGAAGGCGTTCAGATTTCAATGCCGGATAGTGAAAGAGAGTGAGGAATTCGAGTTAAACGGCATCCTCATATTTGTTTTTCGCGAGAGACGGCTCATATTGCAGTTAGAATTTTGCTACTTGAACGCTTTCGTATAATTCCTCTTTGAATTTAATACAAAATATGATAATGTAGTATCAAATACGACGGAACTCACGATCAATTCGTATTGACCTAGAAGGAATCGCAAAAAGCAATTCGAGACGCTTTAATCCCTCGCGCGTTTATTTAGCTCATTTTAATCACGAACGTGTAACAGCGACAATTACTCACGAGGACGAAGTTTACCGTATTTAAACCACCGCACGTCACACATCCCGAAACAAATATTATTGTAACTTGTAAAAATGAATTATTGAAACTCGGACGGTGTTTCGATATCATGGATCGGTAACATAAATTTCCAATTATGGAATGTTTAATGAAACGTGATCAGCAGCCGACGGAGCTTATTTGAGCTCTTCTTCAAAGTAATTTTAAAGGAAAGTAGGTCACAAAAACTGATTTAATTGCTGAAGGTGCAAACAGGCGTAAACGTAGAAATGCGTCGTTACTTTCTTCGAAATATCGAAATGGATTTTGTAATTGAATGAATACGTTGCAAATAAAAATTAGATCGACGATAGCGTCGGGCAAGTAACGCGATGGAAGGTTTGTTTTATCGTTGAAAAAGTGTAAAGTATGCACGTAACAGCAATACGGGTTTGTTGTTTTGTTTTATCAACTAATCCTATTAGCAGAAGTTGGAAAAACCGGATGTTTTTTGAATTGTGCCGTGATGATTCGCAAAAAATGGCGGATGCGCCGGGTCACGGTTATTTTTCTCTGTTGTAGTTGCTATATGTTTATGTGATTCCGTAGTGCAGTAAAGCTTTCGTGCATGAGTTTTTAATGGTTAAAGTGGGTCTTGTGTTGTGTTTTTTAACATTTGCAGAATTTCATTCGGAAGCCAAGTTTCGTGATTCACAATAGCGTATAACAAGTTACGTCATAAGTAAATTAAATTTTCTTTTTGTATGGTACATGCCTAAAATGTTTGTCGTGTTTGATGTCAGAAAGCCTCCACCCCAGCTTTTAGAATTAGAGATAAAGTTTCCCGCTTTGTGTTTAGATAAAATTGCTATTTATACTCGTACTCCAATCGATGCCATCTAATCAGTTAATTAGATAATTGTGTAAACATGGACCTCCATTTGTAATTCATAGCAACAGACGACTGATACAATTATTGTTCTCGTAATCTAAGGACTCGAGTCTATAGAAATAACTAATGAATGTGTATTGTGAAATCGCATTTTCGGAATGAGGTTATCATTTTTGCTTTAGTTAGATTTCGAAAACGGATTCCTCTGGGGCACTAAATCGTACTATGAACATATATCAGTTCTCTTAATAAAACCGACAATTTATTGCTTAATCAAAAAAAACCGAGCAGTTGTTTCGAAATAAATATCCCGGCGCCTCCACCATTTCTACGCAAGAACTTAAAGTTGCGGAAATTACTGATCCGTGCTCGTCTTATCACTGAAAATTTATAACAATGTTTATTATGGGGAAAATCTCGGGCACGTTTATCGATTTTCCCCAGCGAAAAGTTTTTTCTGGCCATGCAGTTAAAACTTATCTAATTAAAAAGACGCAAACATATCCGTCGGTGTTAGACATCACTTAATTGCTTTCCAATTAAATTAATTTTTTGCGACTGCGGCGGCCCTGTTTACGCACAACAGGTAAAATCAATCAAATGAGCTTTTCTCAGATTAAAAAGGACAGATTTAATCAACTCCTGTCGGAATTGGCAATCTAATTGGTTTCGTTATAATGATACATTCGCAGAGTTCTTTATGAGTTTTATTCCGTTTTTACGTGAAAGAAACTTAATAAACGTCTAAAGAATCAAAAGCAAGTTGTAAATAAGTGGAATGTACGACGGGAAAAAGTCCCGATTAAAGTATATTAATTTTCAATTTCATAAGAACGAAACCTAAATTGCACTAGGAATATGTAAAATTGGATAACTGTCGACGTGTTGAATTTCAAGTTATTTGCTCTTTCACAGGTCGTATTTACTTTGAATTTTTCTTTTATTGTGTAGTGCAGATCTAGTTTAGAGGAAAAAGTTAAAGCAATTCATACGACACCGGAGCCCTCTTCAATTTATCTCGTAAAGAAATTGCTAGAGAACTTCACATGTAGACGAGAACAATGACCACGTAGAGATAAAACAGAATATGTGCTCTCAAAGCGAGTCTGATAAGTCTTCCTGCGAAACTGACACGCTCGGTAAATTCACAATGGTATACAATGTATTATGTAATGTCAGTTTACTAAACAGGAATCAGAGTCTATAAATAGGGGTTGTTTTCATGTATGATCTTGAACTTTAGTCGTGTTGCCATGTAAGCGAATATGAAAATTCTAATTAGAACTTTCAATGACAAGTATCACGTTTCAAAGGGCGTACGCTAATTGTATACGCCCTACAATTAGATACTAACTACCGGTATCTGACATTCGGGAGATTTCATTTATTGGATTAAAACAAGCAGGGCGAAATATCGGCAGAAGCTAAATTTAATGGCGAAAACTGTCAGGTTGTTGGTTTTTGGGGATAACTTTCCACTTTGCGGCCTGTTGAGAATTGTGTCATGAGATGATGAAAAATCGACGTTTCCTTGGTGGCGCAGGTGTTAAATCATGTCCTTCACGTCTGAGTATTTAAACAATGTTGCATCCTACCGACTGCGGCGTTTGTGAATCACGTTACCACAAAGCGTCGCATACGTGTTATTTTCGGTTTTAAGCTCGCAGCTAATTACTACGTGGGTTTTACGACTACTTTTATACACCTAGAAATGTAAATTTTTTTACGTCATTAAGAGACAAAAAGCTCCGGCTTAATTGCTACATTCTACGTCTCGCGTGAATAAAGTGGTGGCTTGCATTAAAAATAGAAAGTTGCTATTTTTGTCACAATATAAATTGTATGTTTGATGGAATTTCAAAAACCGTCTGACAATCTGGTTGAAATTAGAACGGCGCTCTCCAAGCTCAACATCCGCAGATGATAAAACTGTTGTTGGCGATAAAAACATCCTTTTTATTACTTTTTCTCAGCAGGAATGCGTTTTTTACCTGTGGCTGGGAGGTTTTACGAGCCTTCCTTGCAGGATCGAGCAAAAGTAAAACGTAGAAAGCATTTATCTCACTAATGCATCGTACCCCCGTATAAATCGTGATGTAAAGGGTTAACATATGATTCAAGTTAGAATTAGGGTAAAAGCACAACGCTGTTACATTTATTAAGTAAAATTCTGCATGATTTGTAAAATATCGTTACTAATACTCCATTTGGAGGAATTTATTGCTGTCACAAATACGGAGTTATGAAATAAGCATAATCGGAGAAAGTGGGACGCGTTCAAGCAGAAAAATAAGTAAACAAGAGTGTGTCTGCACTGTGAAATTTGATGAAGGCGCCATGCATAACTATGCGTTGTCGGAATTTTCGAGCTACATAGGAATTTTATTTCAGATAAAAAAGGACAGTGGACTGCGCCGTCTTGTCGCTGTGGCAATTAAGCGATTAAAACAAGTAATGTAATAATCCACCAAGTGTAAATTGATTTTAAGCGAATTGCATGTTTTTTAACAGCGGTGCCGAGTAGGCAATCTAATAACCATTTATATTAATACTCGTCCGTCTAGTTGGAAATTCAATTATTTTTTGCAAGTTTGGGTGCTTGTCAGTTCGAAATGTATTTGAATAAATTACGAACTAATTATACACAGATGGGGCGTTTTCGTGGGGAAGAGGTAATTGATTCGGCCGGATGAATAATAAACCCGTTCGGAGAACTACATCGAATGACTATATTAGTTTTTGGAAAACTGGCGTTCAACGATTATTCCATTTACCTGAAAGTTAAAAAACTTTGTTGCCGAGTAACACTGATGTAACAATTTTACTTGAAATGTGAGAACAATAATAAGTGTCTGATTCTTACTCGCATTGTTATGAAAACGTACAATTTCATCATCGCCATTTTTTACAAAAACTTCTCAATAACCCAGCGTCGAGAGCTCTATTAATTTTTTTCGCCGTTTCAAATGAAACTTATAATTTTAACTGGCATTAAAAGTTGGTGAACGGGGAAAATGCGAAAGAGAAATCGTCGGAATATAAACGAAGTTCGCTTAACAGTTTTTACACAAATGTATCGAAATCTGAACTTTGCGAAACTTCATTTGTAAAAAATGTGACGCGCCCTCTATCGCTTAGTAGCCTGACCGCAAAAAAGTTCCACACACACACGCATTGACGCGACCGTACTGCACCCTTAATTATTTCGGAAAAAAGTTTCAGCTTCAAGAATCCATTGTTTCTGGCAAGACGTGCCAACGCGATTAACGCCGCCATTGTTTTTGCCACACTCGCACCAACCACGTATCAGGAAACATTATATCTTGTTCGCTATAAATTTTCATGTAATTGACGAAGCGTCTATATTAAACGTTGCGGTTTCGCTAATAATGAATTAATGTTTGGAGCGTACACAAGATGTAGGATGGTTTGCTAAATTGGTTTTGTGATGAGGGAAGGCAGACGTACGATTTCTTGGCAATGACGGAGATCTAGAATCTCGCCTTCTAAGCGTTCATGAATTTAAAATAGGATCTAGTGCAGGCATCATCATTTCCAGCAGGAAGTTGTTTGGGGCGCAAACGAAAATCGAATTTCCTTCGAACTCTGACACTTTGTTCGAAGCGTGGAAAAGACTCCGGGGCAGTTGTTTAGAGAGACAGACGGTGGTTTGAGGGAATTTTTGCAAAATCGGAATAGGAATTTGATGATAACTTTTCAGAGCTCATTTTAATTGTATGTGTAAAGTGGATCACTTTCGGTGGTACGTGAATAGCATTTGGACGTTGACCTGAA